AGAGTTTTTTTCTTCAGGCTGGCTTCAACACGAAACAAATGACTTTCAGATGTTCAGAGGCTAGTGGGCTAACAAACACGAACTCACTAACACGAGCTGCGAATTTAGGCTTGAATTTTAAGCGCTCGTAAAAGCACACAAATAATGTAGCAGTGAGCGTGTTTAGGAATAAAAGAGGTGAATGCAGTGGCTGAGAGAGAGAGAGAAGCTGGGGAGTCAGCAGCGCGACTGGAGTTTCCGATGGCTAAACGTCAATTCATTCAATCCTATGAACTCTCTTCGGTGGGAAAGCGAAGCAAGGCGAAAGCTGATGTTGCGGCACTGACTGATTTTTTTTTTTTTTTAAAATCTAGCCAACGTGTTGTTTTAATGTATGGTTACGCACCTAAATATCGATGACGTTAAAATAACAATTAATACCTCTTCTGGCTTTAAGTCACGCACGGCAAGCTAGCCAAATAGCTAGCGAGCTGGCTAGCTCTATCAAATGTTAGAATACATCACCCAAATGACCGCGATAGGACAACGGGGAATTCTACCTTTTGACGAAACTAATCTGACAGACCTGTTTCTCGAGAAAGAGATAGCTATATGCAATATTTAGCCGTCAATAATGTACGAGACTTTTCGTACGGTCGGTGTACCCGGACGGAGCTCGTGACAGAACGGGCACTGAGCTCGCTCTGGCGCTTCCTCCCCATATGTCCCGCCTCCAGCCAGTTACTCCTAATCTGATTGGCTAGTTGCACTTCTGTCCCTGCCATTCAGTGCATAATTTGTCCGTTTAAACCTCAATCATTTTTTTTAACCAGTTTAATTGGCTTGAAAACAAGATCGACACTGTTGAAAGTAATAAGTATTAAAAAAGTGCAAGTTTGTGGGAACGGTGGTAAATTGCCAAAAGAGAGGTTGTAAATTATACCAAGTAAATCTGACGATTGCTGTTCTCCTGTTTAAAGCTGCTATTTCCAATAGAGTGCAATTTAATGCGTGATAAACAAACAAACAAATCTATCATAATGTGATGGCATAACTGCCAGAATCAAAATCACAGAATTGTCTACATTTAACCACAAAATCAAAATTGAATGGTATGAGCTCATTTGCTTGAAGCTAATAAAGCAATCAAATTACTACACTTTATAAAGCGATCAGTTGATATAAAAAATGCTTTAAAGCAAAAAGTTAAAAAAAAAAATGTGGAAACCCCCTTGCCTAAAAATGATTACGTAAAGTATTAAAGAATAAATTCGTTTTCTGAATTGCTAAAACACATTTCTCAAAACCATCACCCACTTTCTCAAAACCTTAAACCCTATTTTATCTGTGCTCAAAATCACAATGCTTTCAGATCATAGCCTACACACAAGTCAATAATATAAACACGACAGATAATTTGAGGTTTGACACTAGGGGAGACCAGGGACAGTTGTAACAAGGGACGGTTGTAACACTTTGAATTCCTCCAATCAGAAACAACCTAGAGTGATGAGACTCACTCTGCTCATGCTCAGGTAGTTTCCCACCATTTTTTTCCAAAAGGGAGCTACAGTTGAAACTTTCTGGCAGAGTTATCAATAAAAGGTTGTTTTTGAGGTAAAAAAAAATACTTTTCTTTCTGATGTACTTTTTTGGATGCTCTTATAAAATAAAAATTTTATTAATTCAAACAAGTATTATTAGAATCACTGTTTTTTCAGCTAAAAATAGAAATGGCTAACAAGTGTCAAACTAGCAGTCAAGCTAGCTCACATGAGATGAAAACATGGTTGCTGATACTGGGACGGTTGTAACGCCGCCGTTACAACTGTCCCTGTATCACCAACCAAGTTTCGTTTAATATTTTTAAAAACTAATTAAGTTTAAAAAAACGGCACATAGTTTCCATTTAATGTGCAAATTAAAAAGTAAAATGTGCATTGTGCATAGCAAATTAAATGTAAAATGTCATCATATGGCATTTGCCATGTGACCTGCACCGATTCCACAAGAAGAGGAGTCAGGGATCAAAGACACTTCCCAGAGTTGGATACTGGATAAATTAATAGTCACAATAACATGACTGATACATAATATTTTCCATTTTGAGTAGGTTATATCATTTAATTCATTATGTAGCCTATATTTAGACATGTTACAACCGTCCCTGACATATGTTACAACCGTCCCTGTACACTGGACGGTTGTAACAGTGGAGATACTATATTGAAATTAATTTTGCAACCTATACATATTTCATAAAACCACTTTAATACATTGTTTCAGCAGTAGACTGATTGAAGTTTATAATATAACAATTGGATATTCCAGTATAAATGTTTTTGATATATTGCCTAAAAATTGCAAAAAATGTTACAACTGTCCTGGGTCTCCCGTAAAAAAGAACAGAATCCAAAGCATGCAGTTGCAGAAAATTAAATTGCAACAAAGAAAACTGATTTTGCAATTAAAAATAGTTATCACAACTTACAGCAGTAAGGTGAATACATTGTATTCTGTGTGCACTGAAAGTAGTGTTGTTCTGAATAGTTTAACTTTAGGTCTCGGATGTCTGTATATTTAGCCTACTGTGAAAAAGTAACTATGCATCTGCAAAAGCCAAAAAGTTTTTTTTTTTTTTTTTTTTTTAAGTCTAAATGAAAAGCATGTTACAGAACACTCAGAAGAAGAGTTGTGCAACTGCAAAATCAAGGTCAATGAGATTCGTTCTGCCAAGCAGCATCTTCATGTTGGGTCCGACCTGCAGGACTTTGTCCATATCACATTGTCGTCTCTTGTGAAAACCCCTCTGTTCCAGATCCAGCGTTGACAACATTCTTCACACTTTGCTTTTTCTCATCCGCTCCTCTTCCTCCTCCACTTATTATTGTTTCCATCCATTATTGGTATCAACGTTCAGTGCAACATTTTATGTCAATTGTGATACTGTGAACTGACTTTTTGTATTGTTTAACTTTAATCACATAATTAGAAATAAGTGTAAACTATTTTGAGTCGTTGTGTGTAAACAGTGCTGTAGTTGTGTATAACTTTGCCTGCCAGTGTTTAACGAACATAAATGCATAACTGTCAAATGTGTTTTACTTTTAGTGAGTGATAATGTGTTTAGAATTTTGTTAAAGCAAATTCTTTAAAGAAAGAGTGATTTATTCGATAAATAGGTTTAGGCTATTGTGAATTTGGTTCATAAGAATGGGATTTAGTGCTTTACCAAATCAGAAAAAAATAATAATCGCGCTACACTTTGGTCCAATGAAAGTTACGCTTAAAAGAGCGGAAAAAACGTAGAGAAGTTCAGCCTATGACGGGGAGCTGCAAGAAAGAGGGCGGGGAATTTAGAAAATCACGTGATGGTCGTCCAATCAAATCATTTAATAGTCACAGCAAAGAGGCGGGATCAATACAAGTGTGTTTTACATGAGCTTTGCTGCAGTCGTAGTTGAATCCAGTTTATCGAAATGGCGGAGACGGCAGACGGAATGGAGGTAAGCTGAAGCTACCCAAGGCCATTTCGCATAGAGCACCTCCGTTATGAATTAGCTATCTATGTTACTAACTTATAGCCGAATTGATATGGCAACTTTGTTTGTTATGTTCTGGTTATTTTTGTTTAACGTTAGTCTTTGAACACATTTGTGTGCTGCGTATGTAGTTATTTCAGATGACTATGTGCGCACACGCATCTTGAGCATCCATTTTAGCCAGCCTCGGATAGTTCATTCATTTCGCATCACGTGTCGGCTATTGCTAATAGGCTAAAATGAGTTAGATCCGATAACAATGTTATGAACAACCTTTAATTTACGGAATTCAATTTATTAGTGTGAGTCCCGATAGCTGGCTGGCCGTTTCGTGCCTATGAGGGTCATTTAGATAACGCTGGCGGGGTGCTTGAATGACTTATTGTTTGCACAGACCGCATGGGAATGAACAACGCATCTTGAAGGCTATGAACTACTTTTGTTACTTCTTGTAAGTTGGCTTTGTTCAATTACCGCGATTAACCCGATTTTAATTAGCGATTGATTAGGGTTTTGTAATTGGTGGTGTGGTACTTTCTTTCTTATTCTTTTTTTTATCGACCACGTTACGCATGGTTCCCCCCTCCATGCGTATAATCAAATGTTCAAGATGTCTTCCGATACTGTTAAAAACAATTATAGTTGTTTTAAAGGCGAATTAGTACAACCGCATAATAAAAATATAACGTTATATAATTTTTTTGATATCATTTAAAGTGTTGCTGTAAAATAGACGCCAGATAATATCTCGAATTCTGGTTTTAAAGAGTTAATACAGGTCTAGAAGTGATTGAATTAGAATTATCTATCAAGTATTATTTAACTCCAAAAGGTTAATTTTATGCCGGTATAATTTTATTTTGAATTTCCACACAATTCCATACATATGAAACCAAAGCTTATTTATGATTACCTTTAAGTCTTGTTGTGTTTTTCCCCATGAAAATGGCATTTTAAAATACAAAAGACACTGACAACTTAAGTGAAGCCTAGCTCATGCTTACATAGTGCATACTTTGCGATTTTTCTCTTTTTAAATGTCTTTTTTTATTTGAGGTGTCCCAGGGTGAGAGCTCAGTGAAACCTGCAGCAGAAGATATGACCTCCAAAGACTACTACTTTGATTCCTATGCACACTTTGGCATTCATGAGGTACAGTCCTATTGGTCCTTGTCTCATAATTTGTCTCATAATGTGTACAATTAAATGTCTTCAAATCTGTGACTAATGTAAACCCATTCTGTGTCCGCAGGAGATGCTGAAGGACGAAGTTCGTACTCTGACGTACAGAAATTCCATGTTTCACAACAAGCATCTCTTCAAGGATAAAGTGGTGCTGGATGTGGGAAGTGGAACCGGCATCCTCTGTATGTTTGCAGCCAAAGCTGGGGCCAAGAAAGTTATTGGGGTCAGTGTAAATCCCTACCTGTTTCTGTAAATGTCGCCTCTTTGTTTTCAACAGGCTTTGTTATGTATATTGAGTAATTTAGCTGAATGATGTAACTGCCCATCCTGTTAAGGTGATAGGTTATCATGCTGTGCTTTTGTCAGGTTTTTCATTATCCTTTTGTCATTCCTTCCCCAGATTGAGTGCAGCAGTATATCAGACTATGCTGTGAAGATTGTGAAGGCCAACAAGTTGGATCATAGTAAGGACTTCTCAGAACTTTTGACTTCCACATTCTTACAGACCTTGGCTGTAATCACAAACTGAATTTATTGTACTGTGAGTTGTTCCTAAAATACTTAACCTTTATTTTTCCTGTCTAGTCGTTACCATTATTAAGGGAAAAGTGGAGGAGGTTGATCTTCCCGTGGACAAAGTAGACATAATCATCTCTGAGTGGATGGGATACTGTCTCTTCTATGAATCAATGCTCAACACGGTCATTTATGCAAGAGACAAATGGCTGGTGGGTGTATGCTAATGTCCTAAAGCTTTAAAGTGTTAGAGCTATTCAGCTTACTCACCTTAACTTGATAAATGTTCACGTTGCACTCTGTTTTCCTTTTTCAGAAACCTGATGGTCTGATTTTCCCTGACAGAGCCACGCTCTACGTCACTGCTATTGAGGACCGACAGTACAAGGACTACAAAATTCACTGTATGTGTCCATCTCTGAATGCACTTTTGAGGTTTTCAGCCGTGTCTTGATGTGACTTTCATTTTCATCTTTGGATTTCATTTTTTTTTTTTTCTCATCAGGGTGGGAGAATGTTTATGGATTTGACATGTCCTGTATCAAGGAAGTGGCCATTAAGGAGCCTCTAGTGGATGTTGTTGACCCCAAGCAGCTTGTGAGCACTGCCTGCCTCATTAAGGTTAGTTTACTTCACCAAAAATGTGCTCTAACGATACAAAGCTTTTTATATAAGCCTTGCTTATTCAACTTATCCATTCTCTCTGTTCATTAGGAGGTGGACATCTACACCGTGAAGATTGAGGACTTGTCCTTCACGTCACCTTTCTGCCTGCAGGTGAAAAGGAATGACTACATCCATGCACTGGTAACCTACTTCAACATAGAGTTCACTCGCTGCCACAAGAGGACTGGCTTCTCTACTAGTGAGTACTTCAATTTTTCTTTGCCCTCTCTCTACTATACCATTTTCACCATGAGTTTCTTGATTGTGTAAACCCTGTTGAAAAACAAAGTGAATTTGTCTTTTAGGTCCTGAGTCTCCTTACACTCACTGGAAGCAGACTGTGTTCTACCTTGATGACTATTTGACTGTAAAGACTGGGGAGGAGATCTTTGGCACCATCAGCATGAAACCTAACGTCAAGAATAACGTAAGCCCCATCTGTACTTTAATACTCTAAAAGCTCACTTGTAGGGGTGTAAAGATTCATGTATTTGTATTGACCTGTTCCGTTTGAGGCTTTTGTTTCTGTACGCATTACAAACCGAATGATTCGTTGGTCAATTGAATTTTTTTCCTGCCGACCAAAAACCACCACAAAGTTGCTGAGAAACTCATTTTGTACTTCACGGACCATCTATCAGTTTGGACCAATGTCAGTGCAGCGCAGGCTGATCTTGATGACGCTGCACTGTTAGTACTATTATGCTAATTTTTAATTCACCACTGAAGTAATAACACTTTGGCAGAAATGGTAAAATGCTAATACCATCTTTTTCAGAATCGATCCAATGCCAAAATTGAGTACCACCTGATACCAGCAGCTTTTATTTTAAATCAAGTAGAATTTCTATAACTATGTGTGTTGAACTGATAATCACACTTTTGTGCGTTAAACACAATCTACTTAATACAGACAACTTCATTATAAAGAAAAAATAAAAATAAATTTTTTTTTATCATAATCTGAAAAATGCTATTATAAACCATTCAGCAGTAAAATTTAGTCTATAAAAAACTGTTTCTCTGATATTTCTTTTGGTTTTATCAAATGTACCGAACTGTGACACCACTATTAAATCGTGAATTGAACCGTTAAACCCCTAGAGTATTACATAAAAGTGTAGAGAAATATATCTTGTAAATCTTGATTGTATTAATTTTATTTTATGCAGTCTTTGGATAGAACGTTAAAGCTTTTATTTTGAATTTCTTTTGTAACATTGCCTTCGTTCACTTTTGGTCTTCCTTGCTAAATAAGTGTTAATACCTATTAAAAAAAAACCTTACTGACCTCAGTGTTTTAAATGGTAGCATATTGCAGGCTTGAAACAAAGAGATCAAATAATGTCCCCCCCAACAATGAACCTAAACATTGTTGATACTAATATATATATTGTCTACATTCCTGTTCATTTAAGTGGATACAAAAATATCTCTAAAGGTTTGGTCTAACTGTTTAACCCCTCCTCCCCTATCTATCTTCCAGAGAGACCTGGACTTTAACGTTGACATCGACTTCAAGGGTCAGCTCTGTGAGGTGTCCAAGACGTCAGAGTACAGAATGCGCTAGAGTCCTTTAGCATCAGTGTGTGCGTGGCATTTCAGAGCAGTGTATGCGTGTGTGAATCATGTACTTTGTTACATGACTGTGTGCGACGGACATTTTTAGATATTCTGTTTTACAGAATGTTGTCTGACATGGAGTTATTGAACATTTTTAAATTAACTTTTTTTTTTTTTTTCTTTTGATTTGTGTAATGCACCAAACGGGACTAAACATGGTAGATTTGTGCTTTTTTCCATGTGCAAATTTCCCTTTTGGCTGTGCTTTTTCCAAATTTTAGGTGGACCATCTTAGATGGGATCCATTGAACTTATGCATGCGTGCGCACGCATACAACTGCTCTCTTTTGCCTCTATGACATGTCATCCATGTGTACGTCTTTTATTTTTATTTTCTCCTGCCATGATGATGTGTTGGTCACTGTAAAAAAAAAAAAAAGAAATGCAAATTAACTTTGTATTTTGGTATTTCATCTGGTTAAGCTAACATATTCCATGTAGGTAAAACCTGTTGTCATGTTTCACTGTGGTCAGGAGCTCGACCCAGTGATTTCTGAATGAGCCCATATCATTTTGTATTTCTGCTGTTTTGGACCATCAGTAGAGGGCACCTCCAAAATGTGCCCTTTGTCTTCTGTGGAGTAACTCTTTTAATTCATGTAGTGCTCCTATGTCCTCCTTTTGTAACCCCTCCCCCCTCGCCCCTCCCCTTTTTCTTTTTTAAATGATACTTGTGGCAATGACCCAAATGGAGGATAATATCGAGATGGTGTAGTATTCTCTTGTACAACTCATAGATGGTGTTAATGAGCACTATTTTAGATCTTTTGATCTTTTTAATGTCATATAGGAAGACTCTTCATCCAATGGCTGACTGTTTAGTTTAAGCTTATCTGCTGCTCTTTTGCACTATAAGCACTTAACTAAGTTTCTCAGACCCAGAGCTGCCGTTTAATTCCACGGAGGAAAACCTTCAGACTAAATTTTCCATAGAAGTGCTTTTATTGAAGGTTGATGCTTTTCCTGTGTTTGAGTGACTTCACATTTGTTCCATATTGTGATCTCTCATAGTGTTGCTGTGTACAACAGTGTTTTTGTTGAGGGGTGCAAGTTCACGTTGTGTCTAGCACTGGTCAGGATTATTACCAGGCAGGCATTTGTCCACTAGGAATTGTTTATTCTTTACTTTTCTTTTTTGAAATAAAAACAAATTAAACCAGCATTTGTTTTTCAGTTATTAAAAAAATGTAAACTTGCTTTATCACTTAGAATTATGAAAGCATTTATATAGGCGTATTTAGATTTATAAGCTATTCAAATTTGAAATGTTTAGTAATCTACATAAGGCTTATTTGATGGTGGTTTTAAATTTGCTTCTAGGTTAAGCTGAGATATTTAGCCAATGTTGCAGACCTGCAGTTCTTTTATTATTAATTTGTGTACCACCTGCTATTGTTAATGCTATAGAATTTTAATTGTTCTGCTTTCAGTTTTTAGAAACATTGCTGCGCACCTGCTTTTAATAGCGTGTACTGCTGCTTTCATATCTGATTGAGTACTTTGATTGTTCTCTTGTGTTCGTTAGGTCTTCATCCTTTTGCATTGTTTTATGGTGTGAATTTTAACTTTATGTTCTCAGGTTTGGTAAAGTAGGTCAAATCTGACCTAAGTATTCAAATGATACTTAAAATTTTAGTGGAAAACTTGGCAGTCAGTTCTTGTTTAAGGTTTAATCAATGACAACATTGGCTGATGATTGCTTACAAATAGTAATTTATCAGTTGCAATTTTTCAGAAGTAAAAGCAAAACTAATTTGTGCAATCAGCTGGCTGTCGGGAAATGCTTGATCAGTTTCCAATTGGATGGTCATCAGTCTTTTATACTTGAGCACTTGTGTTTTCTCTTCTGCTGTCATCATTGTAAGGCTGCTAAGGCTACTGTAATGGTTTTTCTGATGTAGCCTGTAAGCTCTCTTCTGTGTCCATCTCCTTTTCGTCTGTAAATTTTGCCTGATCTACAGCATTACATTTTTTTTCTCATAAGCATTTTAAAAATGCTTTCTACTGTAGTTAATCACATAGTTTATTAGTTTGGCTGATGATTGCTTGTTTGGCGGACGCACAGCACAAGACTTTGACTGATTAGAGATAGAGACAAAGAAAAATCTTTGAAAAAGCATGCAAATAAAGTATGCAAGTAGGAACCTGCCCCAGACATATTTCACCAGTCCTAATCCTTTCAGCATCAATTATTCAAAGAGTGGGATAGGGGCTCCAAGAGCCATTAAAGACAAAAGGTGAGAGTCTCGGAGATCCACCACCATTTGACTTTCAAATTAAAAAAACAGGAATTGGAAGAAACGTCTTGCCAGCTTTAACTTTGCTTAACAGAATCATTCATTTGATGTCATCATTACGTGTACTTCACCTTAGTTTTTCATGCTTCTGTCAGGACAAATGGTCAGCAGATCTTAAACATTAAATTTGTAATCCCACATGTCAAGTAGAGTAAATGTAAGAAAAAGTATGTAAAATATTGGTTATTTGGAAATATATGATCTTTCCGTGTGTGTAATAAGATTTCAGAAGTCAATATAAATTTGCAAGATAGGAATTTATTGACATAGGTGCAAAGCTCTAAATATTGCATTTCAGAAGATAATGTTCAAATAAATGTGTTAAAGATCCAACATAATTTCTTAATAAATACATTTTAGTTACTTAAATATACAAATGTCTTATCAAACTGTGCATGGTCAAACATTTCGATATACTCTGTGCATTTATTAATCAAACAGTATGACTGCATGTATAACTTTTATATGACCTCAAATCTAAAAAAAAAAAAAAAAAAAAAACATATATTGAAATACCTTTGTTTACTTTTTGTTGTCTTTTATCTCTGGGGACAGAGTAATCTGGCCTGTTTGTCATTTATTCAAGTAAGCAAGTGAATCAAATATCTTCATCTTCGAAACAAACATTAAAGGGCATGTGATATTTTAAAGAAGCATTTTTAAATCACTTAGCTCTACCATTTTAACTTAACATGAGAGAAGCATAGCCTTTTCACTAGCACATCTCGGGTCTCTTGGCTGCCCGGCATCGGAGAACTTTGAGGAAACTGTCAATTTTGTGGGAATCCCTGCGGAAGCAGGACAACAGGAAATGGAAATTGACAAGTCGAGAGGTCTTATCCTGGCCAAGGTTGTTGAAAGAAAAAGGGAGAGAGGACAGGTTGTCTGAGGATGAGCCCATCTGTAGAGAAGAGAGAAGGGGCCAAGCAATTTAGATTTCTTTCTTTATATCCAAATGTCATCCCTCTTACAAACAACATACACAATATGCAATGTGAGCTGTTCCTAAAAGCGCACTCGCCTTGTGAAGGACACGCTCCAGACCTGCACCCAGGCTGTTGATGTTGTCTTGCAGCTCTTTGGTTTTACTGTTAATGGTGTTGCGTTCTGGATGTGCCAGGCTGGACGCTTCAGAGGAGAGGAGGGTGAGGGGATCGGACCACGCCAGCAGCAGAGACCGAGCCAAAGAAAGCAACTCATCCTCCTGCAGAAACAATCACAAATCTTCATTTATTGCCCATCTGTTCCGCTTGTAATTACACACAAGACCACAAGAGGTAGATGTTTACCTATGGTTATCCCTGCCTGCACATTGAAGTTGGTACAGAGAATGTCTAATTGTTAGACCATCCGTTAGACGGGCTCTGGTTGGTATTAAAAACAGAAGTTTTTTTTGTGAAACAGCCTCTAGAGCAAGAAAAGGCTAGGGTGCAACTCGATTTTGTCTACTGGTGAATTTAAAACGTAGGTTGACGTAAAGCGATTGTGTCTCTTCAGAAGACTTGGATTAAACAGCTCGATTCACATAAAGCCCTGGTTTCACAGACATATTTTAACATGTTTCATTGTTGATATGTTTTATTGTTGACATTGTTTTATGTCAAGATGCACAAAACTAATGATTTATTTTACGGCATATTCATAAAAGCTACTTAAATGTCTTAATTAAACCAAGGCCTAGACCTGGATTAATCTAAACTGTGTCTGTGTGACCAGGCTATGGATTTATGATCTCTTTAAGAACTTTTTAGAGTCAAAGTGTTGGTTGAATGGGACTTTCAAAAGAGGGACAAACATTTCGTAGATATTTCTTCATTTGCGTTATGAAGATGAACAAAAATCCAATAGATTTGGAACGGCATGAGTGTAAGTATAGCCTACATGACATTTTTTTTATTTGATGAACTATCACTTTAAGCTAGGATGAGACTCTTTCTCATATTTACGAGCTTTTTTTAAGTATTTATATAAATTTAATATATTACATTAACATCATATATAAACTGTTTTAATTGTGTTTTTATATAGTTTGTTTTACATTTTATATAAATTAAATTAATATAATACAAATATTTTATTTATATTATACAAAACAATATTTGAAGAGTTCAGATGCAAAAACCTCTAAATGCCATTTGAAATTTTCTTCTTTAATGATGATTTTTATCAAACTTGTATATTTAAGTTAATTAATTTCACTTAAATAACAATTAATAGGTAATTATCATTGCCATTTAGGTGAAATTACTGAACTTAAATATACAAGTTTGATAAAAATCGTCATTAAAGAAGAAAATTTCAAATGACATTTAGAGGCTTTTGCATCTGAACTCTTCATTTACTATATGATGGAATACGAGAAAGTATTTTTACATTTCAAAAATAGTAAGATGGATGCATGTGTGCTCTTACCGGCACTTTCAGGGCTTGGTCTTTGTCATTGGGAATTTGAAGGGAAGATGTGTGGCACATTGATGGACGGGGCATCATTGCCCTCCCAACAGGAGGAAAGTGAGAATCCTGTAGTTGAAAGGTTTAAATCAAAAACAACCAACATCAAAACTATGAAAAAAAATACCTGTTTGGATAAAACTGAAGTCAAAAACAACCCAATGTGCATGTAAGTGTCACACACACACACAATGGACTCTTCCTCACTCCTTGCTGCACTCTCACTCACATACTACATCAATCCAGCATCCCTCACGATTCTCATCTTTTTTCACTTGGACATCAAGCACACTTGGATTTGATCACAGTCTCGTCAATGCACTGTAAAAGACACCCACTCAGGAAACTCATTGTCTGGTTACCATTATGACTACAGATACCCACCTTAAAAAGATTACTTCCCTGTTCACCATCGTATTCCATTCAAGCATTGTCATCTGCTTGTTTGTCCTCTTCTATTGTGTTCCTGTTTTGTAGGGATATGGGGAAATTAAGCCTTAAAGCACTGAGGCTTTCCCCTGACTGTTCCAGAAAAAGATTCAAAGAGCGGCGGTTCTTAATCTGGGGGTCGCAAAAAGGTAGAAGGTGGGTCGCGGGATAACTTTTATTTTGAACGCATGTCTAAAATGCCCGCCTATTAGCACCAACTACCAACAACATGATAGAGCAAATTAGAAGTAGTCACATGGGCTTTGCAATTTGTGGTTTATATTCATAGCTGGACTGCTGATTAGACATGGAGCAATTTTTTATTGGTGCTGGGAAAAGTGTCCTGTTGAAAACAAGGAAAGAAGGTCAAAAGCAGAAAATATGATGATAAGTCCTCAGAACATGGCTTCACTGGGGATTTCCAACCACAGTATGTGATTTATGGCAAGGTGTTAGAAAAATGCTAAGACTTGACAACTACACACAAATCACTGCATGCTGACAAAGCCACTTTAATTTTTCCAACGAAAACTACAGGAGCTATGTGGTCAAAAAACAATGCTACAGAAAGCCACCACAGTGAATGATAGGGCTCTACCATACACACAAGAAATGGACACAGCGACCCCATAGACTTCAACGGTGAGTTAGTCTAAGCCTCAGACGTCAAGCCCACGGAACATTGGCTAAACCTTCAGCCGTCAGTCTGAAGGTCTGGCTATGCGAGACTAACGGTGAGTAGACTTGACTTGAAAGTAAAGTCAATTAGTAGCACTCACTTCCTGATTGCCAAGCAAACTGCGCAGGCTCAAACTTATCGTGTCGATGCAGATGTGACGTGAGCAACCTGTCTGACAGTTTTACGTCTTCTAGTAGCTGTGCCAAGAGGAATCTAAATAATTCCCTTCCGAATCTTGCAGACCCAGAGATCGTGAGTATTAGCAGTCCATGATCTAGCAGCAGGATCAACTTTATGACTCTCTATGGGCTTCTATCTTGACTTTATGCTTGCATGTCCCCCCGATTGTGCGCAAGCCTCTACTGTGGGACAGAGAGTCCCGTGGTTATGACGCAATCGTTAGCCTATTTTTGCAAAAACTTCTTCTACGGGGCCATAGATCCAAGGTAATGGAGACTCTTATACATTGTCGTGTTTCTTTACAAAAAAAATAATGGACAAATGGAGTCATTAAATGCCTCAGATGTAAAGTTATTCGCTGTCAAAGTGACGACAAAATGAATGGAAGTCAATGGAATGCTAACAGCAGGTGAAGGCTTGCTAGCAAATGGCGGCCCCCCCGGGAGACTTCAGTTTCCGGCTGATGGATTACCCCCTTGGGCTCTACACACCTTGTTTATTATTTCTCATTGGATTGCCAAAACTGAGAAGCCACACAATTTAGGTGAGACTTTTTTCTCTACCCCGAGTTAAAGAGACTGGTGCTGTTATGTGTGGAGAAAGTGCTGCTGATCAATTAGCATTGATTCCAGTTTCAAATGATACAGTGACAAGTTGTATTAGGGAAATGGTAACAGATGTGAAAGAGTAGATAATCACAAAAATCAAGCTTATTTTCTCTCCAACTTAAGAGCACCGATATTGCAGGAGAATCACACTAAATGGTTTACGTTAGATTTGTCGGTGAAGGACAATTTACGGAGTATTTTCTGTTTTATCGCCCTCTTCTCGAATATGCAACAGGTGAGCAACTTTTTGCCACATTGGATTCATTTGTACATAAACATGACATTTAATTGAAGAACTGTGTGGGTATTTGCTCCAACGGAGCACAGGGAATGACAACGGAGCAACGGTTCCTGTATAGGCAGCGGAGAACAGGGAACGCGCAAATAGTGTATTGGTGATAAAAGTACAGGCTCTGTCTCTATTTTTATTATGAACGCATTGGATGATCCACAAGCAAGCCCATGCGCCTAAGAAAATGGCACCTGATATGAAACAAGTGATGGATGAAGCAGTCCACACAGTCAACATGATACATACAAGCCATTATCATTACCAATTACCTGTTTGAACTGTACCCATGTCTTACCTGTATGCTCACCTGTGTCTTTAATAAACCTTCTTTGGGTTCTTTCCATCATCCAGTCAGTCAAAATTACAGATGACCAGATCTACCAACACTATGAACCAGCAGGCACCGCCAACATTCTGCACTCCCTGATTTAGCTACTCTGTGTCCCTGACGAGTCCCTGTTCACCCTTACCCAAGATGACCACCTGGAAGAGTATGTGGAGGATTTCCTTGAGATCTGTCATGAGTTGCGCTGGGATAAGTCCCTAACACCTTGGAGTGGGATGGGTGACATACTTGGCCAGATGTTATTGTTGAGTGAGGGTCATAGTTCCTTGGTGGACTTCATTGATTACACCCTATGGGGTTGTGGGGTTGTCTTCACACAGTGGGGAAAGTGGAGGAGCAGACCCACCAGCCCATCTTCCCAGTACAAGTAGTTCCACCTCGGCTCCACCATGGTCAATCATCCAATACTTGCCTGTTCTCCATCTTCCATTCCACTCCAGCATTGTCAACTCCTTGTTCGTCTTCTTGTGTGTTCCTGTATAGTGAGTGTTACTATCATCCAAGGACTATTGCTCTGCCTTTACCATTACTACTGTTTGATCAGGATCCATTGTCTTACCTGTAAACTCCCCTTTGTCTTCAATAAACCTGCTTTGGGTTCTTTCCATCGCCCATTGTCTAAGTTAACGTTACTGTAACAACATGCACTTTATCTTTTTTACGAGGGTGTTTAGTACTGACCAGGTCATTGGTGAGAGAGGTGCTGAGGGAGTGAAGTTTGTCTGAAAGTTGAGACGCTCTTTCCAGTAGATCATTCAGGCCGACACCATTGATTGAGGCAAACGCACACATCAGGACAGTCACTAAAAACGAAAAGAGAAAAAGGAACAGTTAAACAATATTGTCATCAGGAGTATGGACAATGAAGTAAGCATGAACTGAAAAGGGAAATGGGGATGTAACATGGGAATAGAGATAAAGTGTAAAATGTGGTGGGGAAAGGTTAGATTGTGGAAGATAAGGTTTGCTTACCTGCAAAGTATAGTCTAGATCCTTCAGCCATCATTTTAACTGGATTCTTTATTCTCTTCCTTGAATCTTTGCAGTCTGTGTTGCTCTCCTGAGCGTTTCATTATATAGACCTACTCCTTTCATTTGGGTATGCAGTAAGTTTTACACTCCAGGTGTATTGTACCTAAACTAGTTCAGTCCTGAAACTAATGAAAAACATTGTTTTCAGAGTTTGGTTAATCAATATTGATAAGCTAGTTGAGTAGATACAGGACACAGGAGGGTAAAATTCACCAGGAGTCACATGAAGTGCCAAATAAATAAATGTAAATCATTCTTTCTTTTACTGGATGGAGAAACTTCTGATTAGAACTTATTTCAAGTGAAAAGGGGATTTTGGAGATGTGTGTTTTTGAATTTCAAAAAATGTGTTTACTGTGATGCGATTACTTTTAGATATCTGAATGGAAGAACAAATGGAAAATGAAACAGTTCTCATACTGCACCACTCTGGAGGTACCCATGCACTCGTGCACCCATGTGGCGTTTAAAGAAAGTCTACACATTACAGACCCTTCCCCCATGTGTAAAAACTAATTTATCATGTCCTGCCGTGGACTGAGGGCTTTTATGCCCTTTTTGTTTCTTTTTCTTTCCTCCTTTATGTATGTCTGAATGTGCTGGTTAAGCCCAATTCTTATGAACAGTTTCCTGTTATATGCTGCCTTGTTTTGTTTTGTTTTTTTATTTAATTTTTTTATTTATTTATTTTTTTACATTTTTCCATGTCTGTGTGGGAAATTGTTCTGTTACCCCCCCCCCATCCCAGCTTCTGTGAACAATTCATTCTGAATACACACACACACACACACACACAGAGAGAGAGAGAGAGAGAGAGAGAGAGAGAGAGAGAGAGAGAGAGAGAGAGAGAGAGAGAGAGAGAGAGAGAGAGAGAGAGAGAGACAGACAAACAAACAAAAAATACACATGCCCCCTAAACTCAAGTTGGGCTGAGAGCTTGTTGCCAAGCTCTTCTTTCAGTTTCCCTCCTTTAATGCAAAATATCAACTCAGCTGGCAGGTAATATCCTCAGATCATTCTGAACGGTTTTCTCAAAATTATGAACAAACGTTCTTCCAATAAAGTTAATACGTTGTTCATTCAAAGTTATTCTCAAAACGTTAGCACAAAAACTTTATTATTATTTTCATGGAACTTTTCCTGAAACTTTCTTTGGGATGTTTGTTCAGTGTTTTTTTTAGGCCTAGACTAATACAGAAGTTTCAGAGAACATTCAAAAAATATTTTTTAAAATATATTATTGTTAGTTTATTGTTTTTATTAGCCAGTTACAGTGCATGACCTTACATGACCTTTAAATGTAAAACTTTAGGGCCTCATGTAATTTTATGGAAGAAATTTTACATGTTAAAATCATTTATTCATTCTGTTAGCTAAAATTGGCTTAAACTATTTCCAAACTGCTCATATATTTCAGAGAATTTACTTTTCATAAATATTTTAGGGAACTTATACATTTAATTTGACAAATCCCTAAAGACCTCATCAGTAGACTCCCACCCCACTGCTATAACATTATGTATTGAAGGACAGCAATTCCAATAAACAGCTTTGTAATATTAAAGTAATGAACAGTTTGGTATTCTAGTGTGTCCGTTGCATTATGGGGCGTTACTTCTCCTCAAAGACTCCTAGAAGGAGCATAGACAGTAAAACGAGAAGGAGGCGTGGATCCTAGGCTACAGTTCAACAATATTCATTTTGTTTTCCAGTTAACTCTTGCCAGATCCTTCCGGGCTGCAGATCCAGGTAAAGTAATTGGTTGACATTTCATGCAAATGCAATTAAAACACTTTAGCTCGTGGACAGCAGAGCAGTGTAAATATACATGTATGACAGTTGATTGCTCAGAGAACACGGCGTTCTGGTCGCAGTTGTTAAGTACCATCGTCATTTTCAGATACGCCTTATGCTTTCAGACATTTGTTCCTATAGGTTTTATCGCATACTCTTGATTTGGACCGACAGGAGTTAAGAAAGTTAAGGAGGCAAGTTGTTGCAGAGATCCACAAAAGTTTAGATATTCGAAAAGTAACAGGTAGGCTGATCCTGAAATGTTTGGAATATGTTCGTTGCAGTTAAAAAGGATCCACTCCATGCCTCACGGGTCGATTGCGTTTTAAAAAGAATGCCAAGAACAGCGTTACGAATTTAATACTTTTGTATTTTTAAAGTATTTTAAAATACTTACCTTAAAATACTTTTGTTTATTCAGCGACCATAATGCAAACAAAAAAGAGAAATAAACTAAGGTGGAAAAATCACAATACAAACAATTCAATTAAATATTGTAGGCCTAAATTAATATGAAGAGTTCAGATGCAAAAGCCTCTAAGTGCCATTTGAAATTTTCTTCTAGAATGATAATTTTTATGAAACTTGTATAGCTATTTAAGTTCAGTAATTTCGCTTAGAGGGTTTTGTATTTGAACACTTCATATTTATTTATTTATTTATTTATTTATAAACATTTATTAGAGGATCAGCCCCATGAGATGAAACATCTCGTTTTCATGGGGGTCCTCATATAGCCTCATGCCTATATAGCCTGTATTTTTAAGTCATAAACTATTGATATGATTTACATTTCTTGTTGTGCATCCAACCCAACTGCGTGACATTAGTTTATAGACCCTATTTAAATGTATTAGACGAATATTGCGCTTTTTTTTCTTAATTTTGTGCCCCCCAAAATATTTTGTTGAATCTGAACATGGCATGCAATATATCAAAAGAAAGAAACAAATATATACTGGCTTTGTAATTTATTTTTTCGGTAACTCTTTACAAGGTTCATTAGTTAGGCCTAACTACATTAGTTAACATTAACTAAGAATGAACAATTAGGCTACTTCTACAGCATTTGTTAATCATTCTTAATGTTAATTTCAATATTTACTAATACTTTATTCAAATCTTGTTAACATAATTAATGCACTGTGAACTAACATGAACAAACAATGAACAGCTGGATTTGTATTAACTAATGTTAACAAAGATTAACAAAAACAGTAACAAATGTATTGCTCATGGTCAGTTCATGTTAGTTAATACATTAACTAATGTTTAATAAATGAACCTTATTGTAAAGTGTTGCCATTTTTTTTCTTTTTCTTAAAAAAAAGGAACATATTGAACAAAAAGCTGAGAAAATTGCGTTATTGTCAAAGACTATGTCCGAGCTTCGGTAGGCCCAGAGCCATGGCTCTGGGTAGGCCTAACACATTTTGGGATCGAGGTCCGAGGCTCTAGCCCCGCCCTGCACGTGTACCTGCTCTCACTGGCCCCACTGTGGAAAAGTGGCTACTAGTGCGCAACTCACAGTAGTTTAAAGGGGAAGTCATAAATAATATGTGAGGCACTCTAAAGTGGCTGTTTTTTTTTGTTTTTTTACCTCCTATGATTTCGTATTATAAGAAATATTATTTAATTAATCTGTTTACATGATATACATTAGTATACATACATGTAAATGTGGGGACGGTAATCTGAAGCAGTGCACGTGTCATGAAAATATGTTGCCATTAGGGGGTGTTCATGCACAGTCCATGACATAACAAACAGTGCCGCTTTTCTGTGTCCAAATGCAAGTTTCTCTGCTGCATACTTCTCATCGTACTTCGTTACTCACTGTGCTTTTAGGTGAAGAAAGAAGCACAATTATTTAGCTTTTTTGTGTGTTTGAAGGACCAAACTTTTAAAGTGGTGTCTTTGCTGAGTATGTTTGAAGCCGATTGATCTCTTGCGCATGTGTCTCAAACATATGTGCACTCTTATGTCCGTCATCCCCCCCCCCCCGTACTATGTACACTCCCCCTCCCTCTTGCCAACTCTAACTCCCCATTCTCTTTTTTTCTTCTGCACATGCAACCACAGGAGCGCACAGAGCAGTCAAGCATTAACACCAACACCATAGACCATGTCGGACTCAGAGACTGCAGCTCCTGCCGAGACCCCTGTCCCAGCACCCTGTGTGGCCATCAAGGCAGATTTAGACAAATGGTAAGTGACTAGGATAGCAGTCATGTATAGTCCATAATACATGGTCCGTTCTGCAACCCTGTATGGACCGCATGAATGTTTGTTAAATTCTGATTCTTCAATATGTAGGTTTATTCCCACCTAGCTTTATTATTGGTCTCAAATAGTTAGGGTTGTGTGGTGTAAAATTATGATATGCTGGCTAAATTCTATATTGTGATGGCGATCCAAAATGGAGGGAAGGAAGGACCTTTCGACGAATGCGAAGTGAAAGGTTCACGCGGAGGAGAACCAGTATTTTTTAATAAGATGTAACTCGATTAACTTTTGTGAGTTTTTGTAAATGGTTTGATTGGTGTCAGTTTTATGAAAGTTGGCAGCAGCAGTGGGGGGTGACGGGGTTACTCATTAAGACCATTCTGGGCTTTTTCTTTAACTTCAGTTCTTCCTCACGGCTGATTGGCTGTTGGGAATGTGTCTACGTCATTTTTTTGTCTCTCGCTCATCCTCCCCATCCCTGTTTTACCCTCTCAGTCTTCGCCATTTCTGTCCCTGCAGTCTCCATTGGCTCACTTTGTCATGTTTGAAGGTTGACCATTTAAATGAGAGGGAATTACTTATGTTTGCGAATAAACCTTTTCTCCGTTTTCCCCTGCCCTCCCACTTGTGGGTATTGTTGGTTTTATATCCTGAAAATGAAGGGGATTGTACTGGCAAGTGATGAACGTTCATTTGAAATGTTATCTCTTCTCTACTTTTTATGGTTTCATTGTGTACCCTTTCTCATTGACACCAGCCATTGCTCAAGCTGTATTTTGACCCAAATCCCCACACCCACTTACCCACCCAAAATGCAGATTGGCTGCTTTTGGTGTTTGTAGTGTCGACAAGCCTGGGGAGCATGAGAATGCAGATAAGGTTGCAAATACCCTGACCTTTGGTGTGCTAGGACCTGATAGGGAGAGGGTGTGGGGTTAAGAATTTGGTTGAATAATGTGTCACTTTACCATCTGAAGCATGCCCTGTCTAATATCACAATCACCTCCATTTACAGAATATAAAAGCAACAAAATCCAGTAATCCAGAAAGCATTGGTGAGAGGGCAGGAAAAATTGAGAAAGGGTTAACTGAATTTGCAAACATCAGTAATTTCCACATGTGAGCAGTCACAACTCAAACGTGAGAATCGGAGGCTGCAGGGACAGACATGACTAAGACTGTTGGGAAAAAAATATGGATTGGAAGAACTGTTAAGAGTTTAAAACTTTATAAGCAGGTCAATGACCTTTCTGTGATCATTTTGACCAGAATCTTGCATGTGTTGCTGACTAGCTGAATGTTTAAACTCACAGAAGGCCGACCTTTAAGTAACGTACACCACACTGGTATTTATAGTGCACTCGTACAAGGCTATGTGTAGATGTGTGTTTCTGTTATTAATTATTTATTATACAGTGTGGCATGTTCTATTTACTGGATCATTTTACACCTGGTCTTAGCATGTCACAGTGGCCATCTTGTGTTTTTTTTTTTTTTTTTTTTGTCATGCTACGCCACAAAGGGGATTCATCATGGGCTTTAAAACCAGAAGAGGATTACCGTTACAGGTTTAACCCCAGTTATGCACTAGGAGAATGTATCTAGTAGTGTGCTGCAGAACATTTGACCTTCAGATCTCTTGTTGCTGCTTTGTGCATTTCATATGACCTTATAACCTTGAGGTGTTCACTATCTTTTACTAACTCAGCCATAGAGTTAGGATACAGCCATTTTGTTCTAGGTGTGTCCTTTCAAGAATTATAATGCAAAGCAAAAGTTAATCTTTTACACTCAAAGCACCCCCTTTCATTTATGTTAGCATGCCTGTTCCTGTTGCATTTGGAATGCATTATGTTTTGCAGAAGCCCCCCTCAGGGTAAACAGTGTTACTCAATCTATCAATAAACAAGGACCTAGCACAGGATGAGCTTAGTTGTAGGAGCTCCACATGGAGCTCATCTACTAAATCAATTGCATATGGACTCAGTTGTTATTAGATTCTTATTGGAATTTTCTTTGCTCAAGTAAAACAATCCAATTTTTAGAGTACTATTTCCTATTTGTTGTGTTTAAGAGCACTCCTAAGCCGTGCCCTTTTTCCTTTTGCATTATATATGTGGAGGACTAGCCATCATGTGAATTATTCAGTCTTAATTTGGGGAAGGTGATCATCATCTTCCCATTTGACTGTTGATGTTTGCTATCATTGTAGTTTTACACACCAGAATAAGGTGTTCCCAAACCGAGGTGTGCTATTTGTTGACTCCCAAATAGCACACCCTGGTTTATTTAATGCACTTTTGCTCTGATTTAACACATTTTAAATAATGTATCTGTCTTGAAGGAATTGTTCACCCAAAAATAAAAATTCTGTCATTTACTGACCCTCATGTGTTTCCAAATCGTTCGTTCTTCTGTGGAACACAAAACAAAATATTCTGAAGAGTGTGGGTAACTCAATAGTTTAGATTTCCATTGACTTCCATTGTATGAAAAAAAAAAAAGATGATGTTTCTCAGAACATCTTTTAAGTTCCACAGAAGAAAGTAGAACATACAGTTTGGGAACAACATGATAGAGAGTAAATGGTTACAGAATGTTCATTTTTGGGTGAACTATCCATTTAACACTTGCTTTTAAATAGATTGTGCGTTTTTCAACCATTTCTTTTTATACCACATGGTAAAGTGTTTAAATATTTGACTCCCAAATCAAAAATAACCATGTTCTGATTCATTATTTGCAGACCAAAACGTGAGTGGTTTTCTAGATGACCTAAAAGGGTTTTGTGATCTCCAGTTACTGGTTGTTGAGGATAAGGACACAATCTGACCCTAGCTGTTTTTTGTACAATAGAAGGCAGCTTGTCTCACACTGTTGATTTAGTCTTGTTTCACAGTGGTCCATTCTCCCACTGCATATCCTCGCTGAATCCCTGAAGTATTAAAATGGCTGCTTATGAAAAGGAAATGCCCTTGGCGAGTGCAATCCCCCATGCATCCACATAACTACGTCACATGGTTCATCAGAATGAGTCTGCATAAGGCTCTTTATATTTAAATTGACCAGCTGTGTGTTACATCACTGCTCACTGAGGAGAGGGAGCTCTCGCTCATGTCAGCGTGTGAGATGCAGCAGATGATCTGTGGGGGAGGAGACACTGAAATCATTTTCTAACCAGTGGAGGGGCTCTCTCTGTCACGACATCTCCCTCGCATGTCTCTTTTTCATTACCTGCTTGCTTTGTCACGTGATTCTAGGGCTCTCTCGTTCAGATGGATTATCTGCCTCCCTCTCTTAGCATTTTTTCCCCTCCCTTCGCGCTGTTATTCCAGCCCTCGTTTTCGCTCCATCACTCTAATGCAGTGTGTCAGTGTCTGCCGTTTTTTAGTGGGGAGAGGCTCAAATGATCTCACTCGCACAAATGGATACATACTTTCTCATTCAGTCCCAGTAGAGTCCAGCCTGTCATGAATTCACATTGATGACTAAAGACACAACTAATGTTATGTATATGTCTTTACAGTGTGTGGGACAGAACCTTCATAATTTTATGCAGTCGTGTGTGGTATAGTGACAAATTCTGAGAGTGACAAATCTTATTTTGTCAGCGTTTTTTATGTTGTATATGTAAATGACTATGTGTATAGGCCTATGTGTGCTGGAGTAATGACTATGTGTTCTGTGTGCTTCAGTGTAAAGGAGAATGGCGAGGAAGCGTGTAAGGAGCTGATGGAGGCATTTGCTGCCTGTGTGAAGAGTAATGCTGAGGCTTCATGAGGAGCTCAACATGTATGAAAAGTAATGCATATTAACACGCTTCATTCCCCTCAACGTTGTCAGATGTATATTTCATTTATGTCAGTTCAGGCGTTGCTATCAAGTACTGTCACAGTGTGGAACATTAAATGTATTTATTTTGAAATGCATTGATTTTTAAAAATGTATATGTGTTTAACTGATTGAGACCATTTTTTTCAATTTCTTTAAAATGAATTTCTACTACTGATATATTGTGCATCCCTAATAAAAATAGTCAAGAGCCTATAATCGCATTGTTGAATTTTGTACCCGTCATCATATTTGTGTTTGTTCTCAGGGGTTTACTGCACTGAGTCCTCCCTTCCCAGCATTCCCTGTAGCTCATGGCACTGGACTAAATGATGGGGTTTGGCAGCAGAGACCATACTTGTGTCTCTTCCCTTCTCTACTACTCATGTGAAGCTTACGTGGATTCCAACAACCACCAACCTCCTCTCCCCTATTATGGCTGTTTGTACTGATCTGTTTGTCGACAGTTTGGAAGACCTTGTGATTTGATGTAAATGATGTGTCTCAGATGCTTACAAAATTGAATAAAGATTTTAAAATGGTTCAACATTGTGATTGAATTTGTTTCTCAAACAAAAACTGCTCTCATTATCTCACTTTGCAGATCCTACCTAGCCAAAGGTGACTTCTAATGAGTCCCTTTGGTTTTATTCATATAGGGCCTACATGTTCAAACCTTTAAGGTGGCTGCAGTGAAGTGGATTGTAGTCAAGGATTATGTAGATCTTTGTAATGGGTTTAAGTGAACTAAAGAAGGAGATTAGAGTATTAGTGACATTGGAAAGCTTAAACTCCTCACTTTGACTCATTAAGACGCACACAAATACATCCATTCAAATCCCACCTGCCCTGATCTCATCATTCAATCAATCAGATCTAAGGCACTTTCCTGAGCTGATCTATTAGCAAGCTAGAAGTGTGAAGACTGGTTCTATAACTGAGAAAAACGAAATCCTAAGGGTTTGGGCTATGCTCACACATGCAGTAAAGGCAGGTTACGTCTCATTTAAATAGTTCAAAACAAGAAATGAAAAAGCCTTGTCATGCCAATTTCACCGCTTGCATGAGCAAAGAAAATGCTGATTATATTTGGATGATGATGTCCATGAAGGACTGATTAAATGTTCAGATTGTTTGTGAGTTAAAGAAAAGATAAGTAATTAAATAATAAAAAAGTAAAAAAAAAAAGTTTATTAAAAAATAAAAAAAAACAAATTTGTAGGCCTATAGAAAATTAAAGAATTGAAGAAATAAAGAAAAAAACTTTTTGTTTACCTACGTCACAGTTAACTTTCAACAGAACTATGCGTGTGTTGTTTAATAATTCATATTCAAAACATTTTAGGACAAATTAGACTTCTGTTGACAAAAAAGATAAGGAATCTCTATGAGAACTGAATTGTGACATTGGAGGGGTGTGTCGATGTAAAACAAGTTTGTTGTGAATGATGGCAATGTACGGTTTTACTTCTATAATCTTATTTCATCCATTTTAAGTCACAATAGCTTAAATAGACTAAGTAAAATAAGTAAGCTTAAATAAACTAAAATATAGCTTAAAAAATAAGTTAATCACTTCCTTTCGTGGTTATTTGCTTTTTGCAAAATATGCTAAATGTATTTGTTTGTTTCATGCTCAGTTGCAGGAAGGAACAATAAGATGATGATCAGGTAAAACAGCTTTAATAATCCACACTCAAAAAAACTCAGGCAGACAAACTCTTAACGAGACTGAACAACTGAAGAGTGAACAAACAGAAACTTAAGCCAAATTATGATAAACACCCGTGCTGATTAAATGAATTACCATGAAAACTAAAGAATGTCAAGAAAACTAAACAAAGGAAGACAGGAAACCAGTGAAAACAAACTAAAAGTCCATAATGAAACTAATGAATGTTTGTGACAGCATTTCATGAGAGATAAAAATGTAAATTATATAAAATCTTACATTTAATAAGAACTATAGGCTATGAAACTTGTAAATTATTATAGACCCATTGATAGCTTTTCACATTCATCTGGAGAGCAGGTTGCGTTAAACAGACGTCTTGAAATCTGCATGTTTAAAAAGGCAAATGTTTACGACACTTGATCTCAAGAGGCAAGACTCTGTGACATTCGCTACTGTAAAAATATATATATATATTTTTTCTAGATTTGTAATCACAACATTTTTCTTTTGTCTAATCAACTTAAATAATTTATTTAGTTGAGATAACTTATTATTTTGAGTTTCTGATGATTATATGAATCCCCTTCATTGTATTAACTCACTTTTTCCAGTTCAATCAACTTAAGATTTTAAGGCAACCAGGTTACTTACTTTTTTAAGTTAAACCAACAATACTTTGGGAAACAAAGACTAAAATAGGCGACAATCACGTGCAAATGTCATGAGCTTCTCTACTAATTTTTGTGCAATTGATTTCTTAATATTTGCTTTAGTAGTAGGCTATTCTATTGGAAAATCCTTATGTTGAGCTAGGCCTGTAAAATATGGGACAAATCGCAATTTCATTTTACCTTGAAATCTGAGGTGATCTTGTATTTTACTGGGGCCGGTTTCACAAAGCTATTTTACAACGGTTTATAGTGTTAGACAAGTCTAAAATGCGTTAGTTAGACTTCAAGTTAGACTGTTTTACAAAAATAAAGACCGACTTACGTTACGATTTAAAATAAGCTTACTTTCCTGTGAGCACCTTACACATGTAAAATACAACAGTTGTTCTACTAGTTGTTCTAACTTTAGGCCTAATGTCTTAACTTAGTTGTAAAAATCTTGCAAGCTGTGGGGTAGCTACTATTCACATAGCCTTATACACTCTAAAAAATGCTGGGTTGTTTTAACCCAACTTTGGGTCAAATATGGACTAACCCAGCCGTTGGGTTAAATTTTTACATTACATTTTTAACCCAACATTTCGGGTTTGTCCATATTTGACCCAAAATTGGGTTAAAACAACCTAGCATTTTTTAGAGTGTAGGCTACTCAGAAAACCCATGTTGAAATTAGCCTAATTGATTGGTTTGAGTGCCATATCGTCAAGCAAAAAAAAGAAAAAAAAAAAGAATAAGTTTTTGTTCTTGTGAACTGTGAGATATAGCTATTTTATAGTTACTATGCTTGTATAAGTGAAGTATACTAAATTGGCAGTACAACATACTATTCCAGTTTTTAAGGCAATTCACACCCTCCTTTCTACGAATGTCCTACAGAGAGACATGAACATCCTAAAGTTGACATGAACAACAATACACTTAGAGGAGGAGTGAGAACAGATATATTTTCGGTTGTGAAGCTAGACTTTAAGAAGATGTGCTGTTGCTTGGAGGTCTGCCAGACAGAAATCTTGCATTACTCCGTAAAGCATGTAGGAAGGTTACTGAATATGTTTGACCTTGGGAAGATTTATGTAAGGGAAAGTAGTGCTAAGTGAGTTGAGTGTCCAGGTGAATTCAGCAGGAATCACTTGATGATCTCAGTCACATAACACAGTTTAAGAAACCCCAAATATATAGTCAGAAGATGTGACACATTTCAAATGTGCACCCTTGAACTGACACAAGATGCAAAATATACAGAGTTTCATATGGCCTTAATATTTAAAAAAACATATATCTTAAATAATAGATCAAAAGAGCTAATGCCCCCTGCTGTTTGGAACAAGACAACAGCCAGCATCCAGGACCACTATACCTTTCGCCATTACAATTGTTTTGGGGTAAGATTAAGTATCATACATGCGCATTATCTTCTTGCTATATCCTCTTACATGAACACGCCCTATGTCTTTGTCTCTACTGCCACCTTGTGTTCACACCTTAAACGGCAGGGATGGAGCTTTTTTTAATTTCAGTGTAACGGAGGCCAGCTAGTAGTTACTGTGCAGGTAAACCTCACTCCTCTGATCTCAATAGGCGCTCTAGCGACAGATGCTAGAGGCTGCAGTCTTTAGCCTCCTTGTTAGAGCGCCTGACTCTCATGCCAGAGAGTTGGACCCGAGTGGAGGGGTTACATCAGCAATTAAAAAGTAGTTTTATTAGAGAACATACAGTTTCTTAAAGAGCACCTATCATGGATTTTTGAAAATGACTGTTCATGTAGTGTGGAATAGCTCTAAGGGAATGAAAACATCCTGCAAAGATTTATATCTGAAAGTGCACCGTATATAAAGTTATTGTCTTTCAAAAGTGAGAGTCGACTCTGAGTCTATGAAATGCATTGTTTTTGAAACGAGTCATTAGCTGTTTCGTAGTGACGTAGATACGAAACACTAGCTCATTGGCCGCTCCCAACAATTGCGCGCGCAGACGGAAGCATACATTTGAAGTGACTTCTAGAACACATTCAATTACTTCAGCTGAATCGCATCATGTCGAGAAGACGCTGTGTTCTACATAGTTCAGCCACTTGTTTTCATTGCTCAGGGACGAGCATGTGAAGAATCAGTGGTCAGAGTTCATATTTGCAACGATAACAGTATAGCCCGAACCTTGTTTTCTCATCATTTTAATGACGAATCATTCAAAAACTTAAAAGAATTCAAATGTGGATTTACAAGCCGGTTGTTCCTGAAGGAGGGCTCAGTATCCAGTGTATATGGATCAAGTTCGTCCTCCTCCGAATCACAATCTGTAAGTATTATTATTAATGTTTGCTGCTGAGTTTTCTGTAGCATGCACACTATAGTTATATTGTGTTGTGTGTGTTGTGTACACTCTGTGCAGCTTCTAAGCGGGGTAAAGTTAGTTTTGTTTTTGATATTCACCAGACATTCATTGTAAAATGGCAATTACCTCCTAAATGACTTAGCCAAATATGACTTCGCTCTAGTCTATATAATAAGCACTGCCCCTCAAAAGCCGCCGCAATGTGAGTTTCGCCGGGAAAGCTTGCACGGTGTGAAAAGTGCACTTTTTCTGACACGTTTGTTCAAACACTATATACAATTTTCAACACTTGACAAGCTATAATCCTGGTTATGGGCGTTCCGTTGCCGACAGTCTCTGCCTACGGTTTACCAATAACAACTGACTGGGTCATTTGACCAATCGCCGCAGATTCGCGTCACTCAAAGGGGTGTTTGGGAAAATGAATCGTCGAACGAATCATTTGGGAGTCGTTGAGCAAATCAGTTAAAAATAAATGCATATTATAAGACAAATAAAGTGTTTTTTATTCTTGCATGCACGTGAAACTGTTTTTGGGAACTCCCAAAACAAAAATAGGAACATTTCAAATGTTATGATAGGGGCTCTTTAATCTAGCTTGCTTAAACCTGGCATTTTTTAGCCAAGGCCTACTATATTATTGGCTTTGTGACGAATTATGTTCATTTGCAAATTGCAAGTCACTTTGGATATGAGAGCCTGCTGTAAATATAACAAGGTTCATAACTGTAATGATGCTTATTCCGGTTGTTGTGGGTATTTTTTCCAAAACAACAACAACAAAGATAAAAATGTTTTAAAAAACGAGGCAGTTAGTACATAACATAAATTATGACAACACATGGATTGAAAACATTTATCTATCCTATCAAAAACAAACAAACAAACAAACAAACAAACAAAAAAAAAACCTGACAGATGAGTCCAATGACAAATTAAGTACGGAATGGGTTCAATTATGTGAGGGACGTGCTCTCGGGCGGAAATGGGGTGTGGGTTTAGTATGACGAGCATATTCGATGGGAATCGCGAAAGGGAGGGGACGCAAGGAGCGCAGAACCCGGATGCTGATGCTGCTCGTGTCGGATGGGGAAAAGGAATACTGGGAGAGTGAGAGCTAGAAAACAGAGAAAGGCCCCACTGACAGAGGGACTGATATACTTGCGGTCACCAGACAAGCGACACGAACGGATTAAAGCCAGGCGGTTTCAAGAGACTGTAACACAAACTCGAGAGAATGGGTCCGCGCGCGGTAGCCGAGGCGACGGGAGGAGAGCGAGAGAAGAAGATGCTGTGAGATGCACATAGCCAGCGCGAGCGGGAGGGAGGGGGAGAGGAGGCTCCTACGCTAGTTAAAGATGCTTGTTTTTTGACGAGGAATGTGTTCCGTACGCATAAACCAATGGATTTCTGCGCAAACCCTGTAGTTTACAATAGCGCAATGTACACTTGACACACGCACTGTGGATTAATTGGCGAATTCATGTGACGGAAGACACTGAGGCTTTCATTCGCGAAAGGGTGGCTGTTTTCCTCCATATTTCCGGATGTGAGGCCTGGAAGAGACCGTAGTTTAAATCGGGCACGGGACGCTCATCCTTCACATCAAAACTTTGATTCAAATCAGACGAAATCCTTTGGGGTGTCGTTGACAAAAGAAGGATGCACTAAATATTAGACAGAATATTACGCGTAAGGTGTCACAAACCGGATGTGCGACTCTCGCAGGATAGATGTGGCCAAGTTTTTAATAAATAGGTCACTTCCAGTTTGACATTAACGGGCTACATAAATATATATTTTTAAAGATAAAATACCGGCGAAAATAAACAGATGACTGAACCAGTCTATCTAATAATCCCGTTATCTTTATCTTACTTAAATATTCTTAATAATTTAACTGGTACTCACAGCGATTAGTTTATCTGAAGTATAGTGTTAGCCCATATAGTGTAGTGAGATATTTAATCGTGTCCCCTCATCATTCTTCCATGAGACACCACAGGCCTTGCAAGACGCAATAACTGTTGTAATTTGGCAAATAGGCTCGGCTGGTCGCGCACCCCCTGTTTATTTTTGATGTCATCGAACGGAACATGTTATCGATCGATTTCCAGGAACTTTGAGGAGACGGCAGGCAGATGTTTGGGAGTAGGCCACGGCACTGACATCACGCCTCAGCATCCCTGTGTCATCATCGCTCACCGTCTGTGATGTCTGTACGGCGGAGTTATTACGTGAGCAGGACAGGCACCAGTGGATACATTGTCAAAATACACTGATTTACCCCCTTATATTGTGACACGAAATCGCTGTCGAACGAAATGTCCAGTAAGGAGTTGTCGGGGAGTCAGGCAGCTCAGTATGTCGGGCCCTACCGACTGGAAAAGACGCTGGGGAAGGGCCAGACAGGTAAGAGGAGCCTTTCCTCTTTGGGTTATTAGTACTCAGTTAATGCATTAGAATAAATTCTGCTCTACTTAGCGCGTCTCATTCAAGAATTAATCTATTGAAAGTTTGATTTGCAATAAGCAAAGCAGTTAATGCGTTTGCAGGGTTATTTCAGCTGATGAAATGAAATGAGGCACGGAAGCAAGTAAGGGCAGCGATTGAGGGAGGAAGATTATTTGATCTTTTAGGCGCTTTTTTGTCACATGGCAGTAATTCATCGAAATAGTTTAAAAACCTGAAACCAATCAGGTTGTTTTCTCATTTATTTATTAAAACTCCAGTTATTTATGTAAGTCCGATTGTATATTATATTAATTTCCCCTATTAATTGTTCCAGTTACTATTATTCTAGTACTTATATCAGCCTCCCAGATATTCAGTTGTTCACTATTAGTTACTGTTTATTTGCTTTTAGTTCTAGGCTACTATCCTATTAGAAAGAAATGTAGGCTATTCCTTAGAGCTGCTTGTAACAAATTGCACAATTTTGCAATTAATTGCTATGGGAATATGTGGTTCAGATATTCTGTTCACTTCTGACTAATTGTATTCAACTGTTCAATGGACATAGTGCTAGTTACTAATCTAGTAGTATATTTATTCTAGTAGTTTTACTAGTGTACATTTATTTGATACCAGTACGTATGCAAAACTAACGATCCAAATTGTTGTAGGTGGGTCAATGACGTATAAGGCCTTTGAGAGGCCCATTTTTAAAATACTTGAAATAATAATATATTTGTCTATTTTCTAAACATGTGGAGTGTAGTCTACACATGCATGTGTGTGAAAACTTCAAACAAAGATATTTTAGTGCTTTTAAACTCAAATGAATAGGGCAATGACCTTAAAAAGGTCATTTGGGGCGACCGTAATTTATCTAATAATTATTAGATTTCCTTTGCATAAGTTATATTTTAAGAAGTATCAGTAATTAATTGAACTGTTTAAAAAAGATATACTCATGTGTCCTTTCATTTATTGCAAATTATGTTAAATACATTTTTATCTATAATGGCAGTGTCACACTCATAAAGCAATTACATATTTTTTTTACTCATATAATCCATAAAACTGATTTAAAATGTGTAGAAATAGTATCCACTTATTGATGTTATACCAATGAATTATATTTCAACCAAAATGGACAGACATTATTTTTTGAATTTACTGCAGAATTGAATATAGTTGGTTACCCCACATGACAAATGGTCGCCCCACATGATGAAAAACAGCAGGCAATTAAGACTATTCAATGATTTTGATAGTTAAAACACATTTAATGGAATTTTATGAAGAATCAGCATATTTAATGAAATTTTATGAAGAATCAGCATATCCATCTCATTTGACACATTTCATAACATTAACAGTTTCCTCACTATTTCATTTGACACAAAAGCATCATATTAAAATTTTCAATACTAATGCATTAAACGCTTGGACATAACATTGAACAGCATTTTCCTTTTTTATTTTCATTTCATTAATCACTTAAACATACAATGTTTGCATTTTCATTACTATTTTCATTTAACAGTTGAACATAGCAGCATTCTGCAGACACATTGAACAGCATTTTCCGCTGCCTGTAGCGAGCAGTCTTTTCTTTGCTTGTTAGTGGGGCCATCTAGAAAAAAAAAGTATATTTAAACATACACAGAGTTAGAAAAAGAATTGGAAAAAGTAGAATGAATGCTTAATATCACACATTTCTTTGATAAAAAACATAATAATCAAAAAGAAGTAAGCTTAGTCCTCTGAAGGGAAATTATTGAAATTTAAAAAAAATATGTGGTGAAATGTAAAAAGTTATTTAAAACAACTAAATGCATATAATGAATGTAAACATTTGCATACAGAAACTACAAATACATGATATGTGTTTTCTATTATTTAAGCAATCAGTGGCGGTCGCCCCACATGATGCTCGGTCGCCCCAGATGATATTTTCAAGTTTAATCAAGTATAACAGGCTAATGCTTAGCTATAGAGCCCAAGTTAGCTTCTTCTCACCACATATCACTGACAAATTTACAATTTACAAATTTAAAAATAAAGATTTGCGTATAAAACTTATAATTTACAGTTTTAGGTTGGTCGCCCCACATGATATCAAAATGTGACGTATACACTGCAGCAGTTTTAAAGAGGATTTGTTTGTAAAAATGAGAGTGACAACTCACCTGCTAGTTGTCTCTGTGGGACCCTCACCATGAGGCTGGCTGATGCAACATCCTCTTTGAGATGATTATCAGAATATAAGTCCCTTATTTGTATTTTCTTGATGGTCGCCCCAGATGATATTTCAGATAATGAACATCTTCGGACAAGATTTGTTTGTTTATTATGATTGAAATGTGTGTACAAATGTTTCATAACTTTGTCAATCAATGGAAAACAAGTTTAAAATTATGCCAAATAGGGTAAGGATTATATTTAAATTATTTTAGTTTGATTTAAAACCAGTTATCCAAACAGAAGTCAAGGCCGGACGGTCGCCCCACATGATGTTTTCACACTTCAGGTGGCAGAAAATGCCAATAAACCAATTGTTTTTAAAGAAATAAGAGTGGGCATATGTATAAGGGAGGTGGTAGACATACATGTTATAATTTTATTAATTTTAATGTTTATTAATTGGTAAAAAGTTCAGTCGGACAGAAAAAGCAAGCGTCACGTCATTGACCCAGGTAATACATTTGAAATTGCAGAAATTGCAATTTGCTGTTACAATAAAGTAACAATAAAACGGAAAAAATAACTATAGTAAAGAACTTAATTAATAAATGACTAAAATACTAGTATAAAAAGTTAATTGTAAAATTAAAAATGATTCCAGTCATTTCTAGTAATGCAAACCTGGACTGTAAAAAATATCCTCTAAAAAAATGGTAAACTACTGGCAGCTGTGGTTGCCAGCATCATACCGTAACTATACAGTGTTTGTTACTGTTTTTGTGTTAGAGCATATAGCTGTTGAATTAAAGTTTTATACTGTAGCTGACAATACAGTATTTGGCTGATAATTTCAAAAACAGTAACACACTGTATTTTTACAGTATGATGCTGGCAACCACAGTTGCCAGTAGTTTACCGTTTTCTTACAGGATTATTTTTTACAGTACGTTTTTAGGAATAACAATGGCTTGCCACTGATCTGTTCCGAATTCAAAGGCCACAGAGATCCTGTTTTTCATACATTGTTAATTGAATGTGAATGTGCACAAGAGTGAGGGATATAGATCAGTGCATTTGGAAGTAGACACATTTTTGGCAAGTAATAGAGGGTGTCCCATTAATGATTTATGTGATTGCGTATATGAACAGTATACTGGTGTTTTTAGGATATCAATAGTGTATTTGGTAGTACTGTTTTTTTTTCAGGTTTAATAAGAATTTGTAAGTGAGTGTTGATTATATAAAATTGTGCAGTGTGTGCAATCTGAATGTTGTTGCTGTTATATGCTGCCGACTTTTCAGTTTCTGAAATCTCATTTTGATTTTAATGTTTTGCAATGACCATCTGTGTTCCTCTTGCAGGTCTGGTGAAATTAGGAGTTCACTGTATCACAGGACAGAAGGTGGCCATAAAAATAGTTAACAGAGAAAAGCTATCAGAATCTGTTCTTATGAAAGTAAGTTCTGCACACAAAGAATTTACAAAATGGAAAAATCGAAAAGTTCTAGTTTTTCCAAGTCATCTCATGCTTATTCAAGCCTTTTCCTGTTTACGATTGCTCTTCAATAACACAGCAGCCTGCATATCTCCAACTGCTTTATTGACCACACAGCTTGCGCTGCATCTGCCCTAATGTTCTGTGCTAAAGAAATGCAAGACTCTCCCTGTTGAGTCATTTTTGTCCATGTCTACTGTGTATTGTCAGAATATATTGTTAATATATTGACTATTAGTTGACACCTAATTTAAAGTGATCATCTTGGTTGGTCTTTTCCTACATTGAAGTAGCTCCTTTCTCTATTCAACTCATTCAATGTCCCTCACTCTCCCCGTTTCTGCAGGTGGAGAGAGAGATAGCTATTCTTAAACTAATAGAGCACCCTCATGTCCTAAAACTGTATGATGTGTACGAGAATAACAAATATCTGTAAGTACTGCTCTGTTTCTCCACACATCTGAAGCATGCCTGGTCTTGTCTTGTCTCGTCTAGACTTACATCCCTGCATTCTGTGAAGGTGTGCTTGTGTGGACAATTTCATGTGCATCTATCTTTGTGCATGTGTTTCATAAATGTCTTTCTCTCAGGTATCTAGTGCTGGAACATGTGTCTGGTGGGGAGCTATTTGACTACCTGGTAAAGAAAGGCAGATTGACCCCTAAAGAAGCTCGAAAGTTCTTCAGACAAATCATATCTGCTCTAGACTTCTGTCACAGTCACTCTATATGGTAAATGTCTCTTTATTTTTATTTTATCTGCTGCATACACAAGTTCCTTTATAGGCATATATTTTCATCATATTTTTGCAAAATCAGCATTCTGTAGAAAGTGTTGCCAAAAGTGAAAGTAATGGCATTTATGATGTTACAAAAGATTTCTATTTCAAATAATCCTGAAAAAATGCATTATGGGTTCCACAAAAAATATTAAGTTGCACAATTGTTTTTAAAATAATAACAAGAATTTGATCAAATAAATCATTATATAATGATTTCTGAAGGATCATGTGACACTGAAGACTGGAGTAATGCTACTGAAAATTTAGCTTTGTCATCACAGGAATAAATCATATTTAAAAAATGTTTTAAAAAAAATAGTTATTTTAGAAATGGAATCATATTCTTCAATATTACTGTTTTGGCCAAATAAATGTGAGCAAGTATAAGAAACTTCGTTCAAAATCGTAGTGTCCAAGGTTGATTTTTTTTTTGTATGCTGAGCGTCCTCTTTGTAACAAACAAACAAACAAATAATATGAAAACGTATTACAAAATTGTATAATTTATTCTTGTAACATACTGCAGTGTGTGTACAACACAAACAATTAATCATTCTTATACTGTAAACTAAAGGAATTCTCTTCAGGAAGAACATTACAGTTTACAACAATATACAATGCTGTCATTACCTTTGTTTACCAGCCACAGAGATCTTAAACCTGAAAACCTCCTGCTGGATGAGAAGAATAATATCAGGATTGCTGACTTTGGCATGGCCTCCCTACAGGTTGGGGACAGCCTGCTGGAGACCAGCTGTGGGTCAGTAGTTTGTGTTTATGTGCTTTTAATTCTGAGCTATTGAAGATGAAGTATCAATGCTCTGCATTATGTATCTGCAGATCACCCCATTATGCATGTCCTGAGGTCATCAGGGTAAGGACGAGATGCTCTTAGAGCATAAGCACCATACGTTTTAAAGTCTCATAGACTCAAATCTAACAAAACAGCAAGTGCTTATTTGTACTTAGTGTTCCTTTTCTTTTACAGGGAGAGAAATACGATGGACGTCGGGCAGATGTATGGAGCTGTGGGGTTATTCTCTTTGCTCTGTTGGTGGTAAGAAGCTTGCTCCATTTTATATTTGTCATCATAATTGCTAGCTCTCGGTTGCTCTCAGAATTGTGTGTGAAATGTAAAATCTCACTTCACAGGGAGCGTTGCCCTTTGACCATGATAACCTGCGACAGCTGTTGGAGAAGGTGAAGAGTGGAGTATTTCACATGCCTCACTTCATTCCCCCAGACTGCCAGGCTCTCCTCCGTGGCATGATTGAGGTCAACCCAGAGAAACGCCTCACGGTATAGAACATGGACACAGTGCACCTCTTTTTATATACACTTATAGTGTATAATATGTATTCACTTCCATTTAAAAATTTTATCAAAAATACAGTAAAAACAGCAATATTGTGACAAATCTATATTTTTCTATATTTTCTATTTGAATATATTTGTAATTTATTCATGTGGTGGCAAAGCTGAATTTTCAGCATCACTCACTATGGCATCATTACTGCAGTCTTCGGTGTCACACAATCATACATCATTCTAATATGATTTAAAATGTGCGGCACAGTGGCTCATTGGGTAGCACTGTCGCCTCACAGCAAGAAGGTCTGTGATTCGACCCCCGACTGAGCAAGGAGTCCTTGTCAGCGTGGGTCTCCTCCGTTTTCCCCCACACAGTCCAAAGACATGCATGTTAAAGGGATAGTTCATCCAAAAATGAAAATTAGCCCATGATTTACTCACCTTTAAGCCGTCCTAAGTCTGTATTACATTCTTCTTTCAGACAAATACAATCTGAGTTATATTAAAAAATGCTCATCCAAGCTTTATAAATGGACTTCCAAAAAAATATACCCATTGACTCTCATTATATGGCTTGGTGTGTGGCCAAATTGGCCATAGTGTGTGTGAGTGTGCGTTTGGAAATGCATCCGGCATAAAACCTGTGCCGATGAAGCAAAGTAGAGGACCATCCAAATGAGCGGAACTTACGCATGGAAAATATATATCAATGTTAAAAACAGTTGTGCTGCTTTATATTTTTTGTACAGACCATGATACATTTGTCTGGATGAATTAAAAGTGAACAGTATTTATTTTAATTTGAAATCTTTTTTAACATTATAAATTATCAATTTAATGGATCCTTCCTTCCAGAATAAAAGGATTAATTTCTTACTGTACTGTCAAGGCATATTTATGATATTTCTTGTTTTTTCTTTCCTCAGTTGGAAGAAATACAAAAGCACCCTTGGTATCAGTAAGTATCACGTGAGCTATCTTGAAAATTAAAAATCTGTCGTCATTTTCTCACCATTTGCTGTATTTTTCCATCGAATACAAAAAGAGAATTGAAAAATCATAGAACACAAGATGCAAAAAGTGCTACAAGGGTTTAGAGACCGTATCTTGGTTCTCTTTGGATGCAGGATAGTTCAACTTGCAAAAATGAGGCCAAGGCACTCGAGAATGTATAGAAATATAAAAAGCCATTATTTATGTATGGCTATAACATTCAAATCAAAATCTTTGAGTAGATTTTGTTCACACATTGTGTGACAAACAATAGTGTGTTTGTCAAGCTCCACAATGTTCATTGAATTTTTGGTATTCACCTAAAATCATTGAACATCATAGGTTCTCAAATGTCTCATGATAAAACGTCATTGCCATATTTAGAAGCAGAAATAACATCTTAAATTTGGGTCTTCTTTGAAGTTATGGAGTATAGTGCATAAGCCATAAGAACCACTGATTGTTCAGGTCTTTTCTTCGTTCCACAGAACTATTCCAATAAAATCAGATTTTCTTTTTTTGTGTTGTTGTGTGTCTTTCTGTCTCAGAGGGGGCAGGAATGAGCCGTGTCCAGAGCAGCCACCCCCGAGGCGTGTGTGTGTGAAGAGGATTCTGTCTCTTACAGATCTGGATCCTGATGTTCTGGAGAGCATGCATTCCTTAGGCTGCTTCAGAGACCGTGTCAAGCTCACCAGAGACCTGCAGTGTGAAGAGTGAGTCTGAACTTCTGTGTGTGTGCTCAAGACATTTCAGCCTGCTTTTCAGAAAAAAATCTCTTTGTTATGGCGTGACATAAGGAATGCTGCTTCTGGGTCCAAGCCTCTACTTACAGTGGTATGAATAAGTTTTGGCACCCATGCTAAAGTTGCCTAAAAAGAGGAATAAAAAAATCATCTTTTGGATATTGATCTTAATGCCTAAATTAGAAAAATGAGGAAAACTCCAACCTTTAAGGACACCAATTTTCTTTGTGAATGAATAATGTATCATAAATAAATAAATGTTTATATAAAAGTCAGGGCACCCCTATGTTAAATTCCCATAGAGTCAGGCAGATTTTTATTTTTAAAAGCCAGTTATTTCATGGATCCAGGATAATATGCATCCTGATAAAGTTCCCTTGGCCTTTGGAATTAAAATATCCCCACATCATCACACACCTTCCACCACACCTAGAGATTGGCATGGGGTACTTTCCATAAGATCATCTTTCAATGCAAATCAAACCAGCTATTAGGCTAACTGAAGTAAAACCGTGCTAATCTCTAGGTGTGGTGGAAGGTGTGTGATGATGTGGGGATATTTTAATCCCAAAGGCCAAGGGAACTTTATCAGGATGCATATTATCCTGGATCCATGAAATAACTGGCTTTTAAAAATAAAAATCTGCCTGACTCTATGGGAATTTAACATAGGGGTGCCCTGACTTATGCACCCTGTATTTTAAGGAAAAAAAATTATTTATATATGATACATTATTCATTCACAAAGAAAATTGGTGTCCTTAAAGGTTGGAGTTTTCCTCATTTTTCTAATTAAGGCATTAAGATCAATATCCAAAAGATGATTTTTTATTCCTCTTTTTAGGCAACTTTAGCATGGGTGCCAAAACTTATTCATACCACTGTATTTCACTTGAGAATACTATCTCAAGATCCATTTATTAACACTATTTATTCATATTAGACATATCAGTTATGCATTTAAAAACATACAGTGATTACTGCAGCAGTCTCCGTGCTCACGGGGTCCTGGACACAAATATTTTAACGATTTATAAAAGACAAATCACTGTTTGGCCATCTGGGCTTTTAGTATGGACAGTGGGGAGAACAAGTATTTGATACACTGCCGATTTTGCAGGTTTTCCCACTAACAAAGCATGTAGAAGTCTGCAATTTTTATCATTGGTACTCTTCTACTGTGGGTGACGGAATCTAAAACAAAAATCCAGAAAATCACATTGAATTGCATTGTATTTCAGTTCCAAGTTCACAGTTCCAAAAATGAACTAGTTCATAGTTCTTTTTTTCCCATATGTTGCTGCAAGCTATTTTTTTTATTATTGCCACAGCCCACATACAACCACAGACAGACGTTATTTTATAAGGCAAAGTTTGCACAGAAATGTAAAATTTTTCCCATCCTCACCGACCTTGTCTTAAAACTGATCATACGATGCGACGCCTCCTCTCTGCTTTGTCGACTACTTGCTGCTTCTTGTCTTGATGACGCATGCGGTGGCCGCGATGCGACACAGGTGGCTGGTGTTGCCAGATTGGGTGTTGTTTTTCGCTACATATTATGGCCTGTTTACGTGTGTTTTAGCCGAGTTTTCGCCTGGAAGGCTCTATAGAAATCTGGCACAGGATTGAATGAAGTTAAACTGAGAAAGCATGCATTCACAGACACCAGAATGAACGAATTCACAGAAATGTTCATCAGGCAGTAATACAGTACGTTCAGTTCACCTTCGCCCAAAATATGAATGAGTTCATGAACTGTTGTTCAATGAACGCATTCAGGCACAACACTGCCTACCAACCAGTAAGAACTCCGGCTCTCACAGACCTGTTAGTTTCTGTTTAAGAAACCCTTCTGTTCTCCACTCATTACCTGTATTAGCTGCATCTGTTTGAACCTGTTACATGTATAAAAGATGCCTGTCCACACACTCAATCAGACAGACTCCAACCTCTCCACAATGACCAAGACCGGAGAGCTGTGTAAGGACATCAGGGATAAAATTGGAGACCTGCACAAGGCTTGGAAGGGCCACAGGATAATAGGCAAGCAGCTTGGTGAGAAGGCAACAACAGTTGGCGCAATCATTAGAAAATGGAAGAAGTTTTCGAGATGACGGTCAATCTCCCTCAGTCTGGGGCTCCATGCAGGATCTTACCTCATGGGGCATCAATGATCATGAGGAAGGTGAGGGATATCAGCCCAGAACTACAGAGCAGGACCTGGTCAATGACCTTAAGAGAGCCAGGATCACAGTCTCAAATGCCCCTTTTCCACCAAAAAAGAACTGGTTCGGAACTGGTGCTGGTTCAAAGTTGGTTCGGAGTTGGTTCAACTTGCGAACCGTTTCAGAACCTGTTTGTTTTTCCACTGACTAGAGCGCCCAGGGAACGACGTCGTTACGTCACTGTGTACGTCGCCATACGTCTTAGAAACGCTTGCAAGTACAACAATACTTTGGAATCATCTCTAACTCGTGTACCAAGAAGGCTTTAAAAACAATTGAAATATGTAAGTCTTTTAAACTTTACTTTTGATGTGTAATCTTTTCTGATTAGTTATGTACCCCTGTCTTGTGTCTTTTTTTCTTTCCATTTATTTGTTCTGTATTGTGACTGTTTTCTTTTTTGCTTATAATGTTTTCAATAAAAAAATGAAAAAAATAGAAACGCTTGCGCCAACTTCAAGCATAACAATTACAAAGGCTGACTCCATTGTGTATCTGCAAATGTTTCTCCTGGCTTTGCGATTCTTTATTATGGTCAGAAAAGATGTTTACAACACATCTAAACCCGCCCCAGCCCCCGACGTAAGCATGACATGGTAAAAGACCGGTTCTAGTCCAGCAAAGAGCTGGTGCCGCTTTGGAACCAGTTTTCCCGGCCGAGAACCGGTTCTTTGGCTGTCGAAACACAAATAACTGGTTCGCGAGCAGGCACCGGCTCCGAACCGGCTCTCAAAATGCTTTGGTGGAAAAGGGGTAAAAGAAAACCATTAGTAACACACTACACCGTCAAGGATGTACACCCTGCAGAGCACGCAAGCCAGCACATGTCCAGGCCTGTCGGAAGTTTGCCAATGACCATCTGGATGATCCAGAGGAGGAATGGGAGAAGGTCATGTGGTCTGATGAGACAGAAATAGAGCTTTTTGGTCTAAAATCCACTCGCTGTATTTGGAGGAAGAAGCAGGATGAGTACAACCCCAAGAACACCATCCCAACCATGAAGCAAGGTGGAAACATCATTCTTTGGGGATGCTTTTCTGCAAAGGGGACAGGACGACTGCTCCGCATCGAGGGGAGGATGGATGGGGCCATGTCTTGCGAGATCTTGGTCAACAACCTCTTTCCCTCAGTAAGAGCATTGAAGATGGTTCGTGACTGGGTTCCAGCATGACAACCACCCGAAACACACAGCCAGGGCAACTAAGGCGTGGCTCCGTAAGAAGAAACTCAAGGTCCTGGAGTGGCCTAGCCAGTTTCCAGACCTGAACCCAATAGAGAGGGAGGGAGGGAGCTGAAAGTTTGTATTGCCCAGTGACCGCCCTGAAACCGGAAGGATCTGGAGATGGTCTGTATGGAGGAGTGGGCCAAAATCCCTGCTGCAGTGTGTGCAAACCTGGTCAAGAACTACAGGAAACATATGAACTCTGTAATTGCAAAAAAGGTTTCTGTACCAAATATTAACATCTGCTTTTCTGATGTATAAAATACTTATGTCATGCAATAAAATGCAAATGAATTATTTAATTTTGATTCTTTTATCATAAGTTTTCTTTCGATTATTGTCTTATTTAGTACATATTGTACACTTTTTCATTGTATGCTTGAAATAAAAAATAAATGAATAAAAAATTACTTAAAAATCATACAATGCGATTTTCTAGATTTTGTTTTAGATTCCGTCACTCACAGTGGAAGAGTACCTATGATACAAATGACAGACTTCTACATGCTTTGTAAGTGGGAAAACCTGCAAAATCGGCAGTGTATCAAATACTTGTTCCCCCTACTGTAGATAAAGGTTAGGATCATGATTTTCTCTGTGGTATCACATCACTTCCTAAATGTATTTTAGCACCGTTTGTTGTTTTCTTTTTGCATCTGATGACGATGACGATGTCAGACTAAACGAGTGGATAGTGCACAACCATAACATTTTAAACGAGATCAAACTGACCTTAAAGTCACCATACTTATTTCTTATGGATTATTGCATTGCTTATGATAAATAATTTATTCCTGCACATCCTTTTTTTTTTGTTTATGTGGAACCGCCCTACATTTTGTTCTTGTACGCCATTGCACTTTGGATATATGTCACAATAGGAATGAAAATGCTTTTGCAACTTATGTTTAATGCTAACTTTAAAGGTATAGCTCACCCAAAAATCATTTACTCATTCCAATCCTGGATGACTTACTTTCTTCAGTAAAAAAAGATTTAACGAATCATTTTGTCGATACAATGAACATCATTTGGGTCCTCTGAATTGTATCTCTCCCTTCCCAGAGAAAACCAGGAGAAGTTGATCTATTACCTTCTGTTGGACAGAAAGGAGCGCTACCCTAGTTATGAAGATGAACATCTTCCCCCCAGAAATGATGTTGGTGAGTGAAATTTTGGAGTTCAGGTTTGTATGTGTTGCTGTGCTGTCACATCCAAAGGTAGTCATTGAAGACCATGAGAATAGTTGGTAGCCTAGAAAGCATGCTGGTACTTTATGCCTTCAGGTAAGCCAATTTCAGTTAAGGGCTCTAAGCAAGGCAAAATATGATTTGTAAATGTAACATATTGAGGGCTTGTTCCCCGCAATAAACAAATCAAGACCGGACCAGGACTAAAAAGACATTTCAAGGTGGAGAATCATCATCATTAAGAGCTTGACAGGAGAGTCGGAACATATGGTTGTTTTAGGGCAGTGTAGTAGGTGGGAGAACAGATGCTGCAGGTTGGATAAGAGCAGGACTTTCCTAATGTTTGCTGATAAAAAATTGTCAATCTGTTTTCGATGCTGACATGATCTTTCACATTTACTATATACTGGCATAACTTTTGTTTATTAAGAGGCTTATTATTTTAATGGAATGTCTCTTGATAGCGACAGAGCAGAGTCCAAAAACAAATTTAAAAAAAGTAATTCGCATCTGATTTTGTAGTTTTTGCACACCTTATTTCATTGTGATTATCAAAGCTGCAGCAAATTGTAAGATGTTCAATGTTTTTATATAGCAGTTGCCACACACAGCAAGGAGAGTAGAGAGGCCGGATCTAATTCTGCAGTCCCTTTACTTTTGCTATATTAACAAAATAAAAGATATGCAGGAGCACTGGATCAACGCATGAGAACAAGATAAATCGTGCAGCTCTACTGCCTGACTAATAATACCTTACTGTCCATCATCTCATGCCATGACTCCTCTCTCATATAGGCCATGTCGAATGCAGATACTTTTTACCCTGTTGCTTAGAAGCTCTGTCTCTCATCAACACACGGAAAAGGACTTCTTTTTCAGCTTCTATGCTTCTTTCCCTCCTAACACTGTAATACAGATAATCTCTGCTGCATTGCAGTTGTGTATTTTATATATAGTTATATATAAAAAACAAACAAACCTTAGATTCCATCTTGGATATTGTAAGGTTTGTAATGTGACTTCTTCATGAAGTGTATACACAGTAGATGTTTGTGTTAAAGTGGGTGTTGTTGTGGTTGTGTGATCAGATCCTCCCCGTAAGCGGGTGGACTCGCCCATGCTGACCCGTCATGGGCGCTGTCGGCCGGAGAGAAAGAGTCTGGAGGTACTGAGTGTGACAGAGCAGGGCTCTCCAACACCTCCCCGCAGAGCACTGGATACCTCTGCACATAGCCAGAGGTACATGCAAACTGTTTAAGATAACTTTCTATAAACCTTCATCTGAAAGTCAAGTTGATCCTCTGTACAATTTCAAATAATGTGCAGGTAAAACCTTAAATAAGTTGCACCACTTTTGCACCACTCTACTGTAATTTGTTCAAAACTAACATGCTTCATTTCTATGTAAATTAGGCTAATTATCGATGGCACCTTATTTCGTAATTTAATTGAAAAGATACTTGTGTAAATGTTGTATTGATCAGTGATAATGGCGACATTTTTCACGGTATGCTGTAGGTGACAATTTGTTTTTACAATCTTGTATGTTCTTCCGTGGTTGTTTTTGACCACAAAAGCTAAATGCTGTCTATGAGACAAGGCCACTGTGAAAAAAAGCTTATTTGGGGCATCCCCTTCCTGTTGCTGGCCATGTCTCTCATGTGCCCTCATTATATTGTCATAATAAGGAGTTTCCAGCACATGAATGACCAAGTGAAATCATGGAAAGTGGGAAACTTATAAATGTAGATTATGCCCGAGTTGCCGAATTGTGACGTTGGAAGGGGTATGTTGATTTAAACATGGTGAACTGAAAACAAATCATTAATTTATAATATAGGAAATATCATATAAACCACAATATATAAATAGAGATCAGTGAGTGGATGCAAGCCTGGTGTGAATGGTGTAAAGTTAACCATTCATTTCACATCCATCAACATAAAGGGATGTGTGACTGATATGTCCTGGTGTTCTGACAGGTCTCGATCAGTTAGCGGAGCTTCAACCGGCCTCTCATCCAGTCCCCTCAGCAGTCCCCGAGTAAGTTACTCCACACTTGTTGGCCATAGAAGTAAAATTCATCTTTGCAGTGCTCAATTTACAATGGTAAAAAGTATTGTGCTTGTTATTGTGGTATGAATAGCAAAGCTGGATTGCTCTTTTTATGTTCATCTACCTCATACTGTCCTCATACTTGAGTCATTATTCACACCAAAGACATGCACACACACTCACACAAATATATTTATGTTGTATTAACCTGCACTTTGCACATTAATTAATGTCCTAACAATTGTTTACTAATTTATACTAGGTTTCACATGCCTTTCAAAGTGCTATGCATCATTTTCCTAACTCTTCTCAGTTGAATTCGAATGTTAATAATAATCATATACCATAGCTTTCATTAACGCTCATGACCATTGCTGTGTCCATCTCTCCATTCCTCTTTCCCTCTCCATCCTTCTATCCTTTCTCTTCCTACCTGTCAGAGCCCAGTTTTCACTTTCAGCCAAACTGAAGTCACCTCTGCTTCCACCGCCCCGTCTAAAGACCCCAAAGCAGGAAGTTCCACCACACCCCGGGCGTCCCAACGCGTGCCTGAGCAAAAAACCCAGACCCTACCCTCAAAAGCAGCATCTGACCGCCCCTACCTGCAGTCTATGAAGTCCCTCCCCCTGCAGACTCCTCCGTCTCCTTCGCCTTCCCCCTCTCCGCTCCTGTCCCCCATCCCTCGCTTCTTCTTCCCTGCTCCTTCTGTCCTGAAGTCTGTCACTAAGACCATCTATCCTAACTCTGCCCATGTGTCGCAGGTCACCCCGCAGGGCTCCCCACTCCCCACCCCTCTGGGGACCCCCGTGCACCATCCCCAGCACCCCCCACCCACCCCGCCCTCCTCCTCCTCCTCTTCTTCCTCCTCACGAGCTGAAGGGGGTGGTGGTGTGGGTGGTGGTTCCCTGTCCCTAACCCCGCCCTCCAGTCCTGGGGGAAGTGGTGGAATGGCTGCCAGTAGTTCAGCCCACTGGAGGACACGCCTCAACTCCTTCAAGAACAACCTTCTAGGATCGCCACGGTTCCACCGCCGAAGGCTACAGGGTGAGAGAAGCGTCAACCAACATCGTATTACTGTTAATCATTCAAACATCATTGAAAGTCAAACATCACTGTACATTTTTTGATTTGCATGTTTGTTTCAATAGTTCCTACATCAGAAGACATGTCCAGTTTAACTCCAGAGTCCAGCCCAGAGTGAGTATTTAGAGGAATAAATATTGCTGGGTATTGTTCATGTTCATTTCCTGTATTTTTACTTTAAGATTACCTTGGCCATTATGTAACAGTACATTTTTTACTAAAACTATTAAAAATAGTTTTCATTCATTGAAATTAAGCAGAAAAAAAATAGCTGAAAAACTTAAAAAATAAAATACATTAGGTGAAGTAGTAAAATGACTAAAACTGAAATAAAAATTAACAGCTTAAGCTAAATAGACTGAAAATTAAATAATTCAGAAGAATATTTATAAATACTAAAATAATACATAAATAACACTGAACGACGCAATGTTGTGATTCTTAAATTCGCTCGCAAAATTTAAAATGACTTATTTTAGTTTTTTGTTTAATTTGACAATTATTACACAAAATACAATTTTAATATCCTCAATTTTAAATCAGTTGAAGTTTAAAATTCATTTTTGACAATGAATTTTAATGTAATATCTTTAATTCATAGGTGGAGTTTAAATTTCGTGGCAGATGGGATATAATAATAAATAATAATAATTGAAAAAAAGTGTTGAACCCACCCTCATTTGCGAAGCAGTCCAGTGTAAAATGATTTACGCAATATAACAAAATAACCTTTTAATGAATTTATCTGGACATTTTCCTCTTAAATGACATTCAACTAAATTGTCCAAATCAGTTAAATTTCATGAAAAGTGGAGTAGTTTGCATCACTAGATAGTCTCTGTCTGTCGGTCACTGAACATTTCTATCGTAAAACAGTTGTCTAATACTTACATCTACTTAAATCTTTCCACAAAGCCTCGTTGTGTTGTGACAGTTTCAGTAAGACCCACTTGATTGGCCATCTCGATCATTTTGACATTGACTAACGCTGTACCTAAAAATATAACTTTTAAAACTTTTTGTCATCCTACCCTCAACAAGCTTTACTCATTGTACACTAAAATTATACGATATGAATACTATAATTTTTTATAAATGTTTTATTCATAGCTCAGACAAAATCATTGGCTTTGTCTGGGGTTGGCAGTGCCATATAAACATAGACTCAAATTTGTATTCTGTGAACAATGAGAGCCATGAAACAGTAGCAGTAATGTGTACTACCTGTGTCATGTGTATTTATCTGCATATATTTGTATGTTTTGCTACAGGCTAGCAAAGAAGTCGTGGTTTGGAAATTTCATCAGTCTGGAGAGGGAAGAGCAAATTTTTGTGGTGATCAGAGACAAACCACTAAGCTCTATCAAGGCCGACATTGTCCATGCCTTTCTATCAGTTAGTATCTTTTTCGGATTTTATTTTATTACATTTTTTTCCTCTTTCTCTTCACATCTGCTTTGTTTTTTGAAGATTCAAACCTTGATGTACGTCCCTGTTGTCCTCTAGATTCCCTCCCTGAGTCACAGCGTCATCTCTCAGACAAGTTTCCGGGCGGAGTACAAGTCCTCTGGAGGTCCGTCTGTCTTCCAGAAGCCTGTCAAATTTCAGGTTGACATCGCTTTCTCTGAAGGGGAGAGAGAACGAGAGAGGGAGAAAGAGAGAGAAAGGGAGGGAAGGAGGGAGACTGGCATCTACAGCGTCACCTTTACCCTATTATCAGGTATTTAAAAAGACAAGAGAGCCTGTGTCATGTGTCTGCATGTGCTGTCATTTCTACAAATGTGCTAATATTGTTTTGCAGGTCCTAGTCGCAGGTTTAAAAGAGTGGTAGAGACTATTCAAGCTCAGCTTCTCAGTACACATGACCAGCCCTCTGTGCAGGCACTTTCAGGTGAATGTACCAAAGCTACACCTCTATCTAAAGACATGCACTCATTCACAAAACATTAAGGTGCGGTTTCACAGACAGGTCTTAGATTTAGCCAGGCTTAGGCCTTTGTTCAATTAGAACATTTAAGTAGCTTTTATAAACGTGCCTTAGAAAAAATACATTACTGGTGTGCATCTTGAGACCAAACAATGGCACTGACAAGTGCAAGTTACTTTCAGATAAAAAAGCTCAAATTGTATTTTAGTCCCAGCCTTGCTTGTGAAACCAGGGGAATATGTACATAAATTTATTTTGAATCATTTTTACCTCAAGGTTTTTTCCCCCATTTCATTTTATTTACATTTTTTGTATTCTAAAGAGTTTATTTTTTATTTTATTTTTCATATTTTATGGGAGTCAAAGTTAATGTGCTGATGTTACATTATGATGAAGAAGATGATGATACGGAGAGTGTAGCAGATCATATGAACAGCTTTACTTTATGAAAACAAAACAAAAGAGTGACATCCAACACGAAACCAAATGGAAACAGTGAGCTCTAAACAGCCAAAAGAAGACAATGAACTGAGAGAAGTGAAGCAATTATATACTTAAGATAATTGAACTCAATATGAAACAGATGTGAACTAATCAATGAAACAATAATAATAAATATCCTGTATATAGTGACATTTACATGCATAATGGGGGTGAAATTGGAATGTTTCATTTGAATTTCTATCAGTTAAATGTGAAACTTTTGATAATACATCATGTATCAAAATCTAAAATTAAAATGAATTAAATTAGTTAATTAACTTTTATGTGTATCTGCATGAACACTAGCACACTCCTACCCTGATGTTTTATTTTCTTCTCCCAGATGAGAAAAATGGGCTTTCGTCTCGCCCACCCAGCACACCGACCCGTCAGAACTCTCATCGCTCCGAGGGCGGAGGTGACCGTGGTGAGCGGGCAGAACGCAGCGATCGAGGGGAAGGGAGCAGTATTGGCGGTAGTGCCAGTGCTCTACAAAGGAAGGGGTCTGGCAAGGATAAAACTCGCCTCATTTCCTCAAATGGGACCCAGTCTCAGCCCTAGTGAACTAATCAGACATACTATTGAGTGGGTGGGGACAAACCCCTCCTTTGATTCCCCCCAGACACGACTCCCTCAAAGTTCATCTGCACAGTACACAACAACAGGTATACTCAGCCCTGATCTTCACTTCACATGCAGAAACCCTGGGATCCAACTGCGACAGAACAGTCAGGAGTCTACCAACATGGAAGTGTTCTTAAATGCAAATATTCATCTGAAGAACAAAAAACTACAAGGATTTGAGAAGTTAAAACGAGATGTATCGCTGAATATAAACCCTAGCTACAAATTATTTTGTACACTACAAACAAGGAGTTTGACATCAATGGTCAATGGTCAAATCAAGTGATCTAATGGCACCAAACTATAGAAACTGAGGAACAAACACCAAGTGGGACAGGAAAGAATGTCTCCCAAACGTATCATCATCATTATCATCATCATCATCATCATTATCATAAACAAAATCAAGCTGCTTGAATTAGATAAAAGCAAACAGGAAAATAGTAGGAAGTTCTTTATTCTTATTACCACTTGGAGCACAAAAAAATGATTTCTAAAACACTGTGTAAAGAAAAGAGTAGGATTTTTTTTCTTTTTTTTTTTTTAGAAAGAGAATCAACATTTTGTAACCCAAAATGCTACTATAGTCCTATGCGACTATAGTTTTATGAGCTGAGGGATTATGCCTTTAGTTAGAGTTGAAGAGATTGGCTATGTTAAACACTGATCCTTATAGATCCTGAACTCTGTGATATGTTGTAAATCCAAAATCAGCCAGTGTCAGATATGCAGTGGAGAGCCGCCCACTGGAAGCTGCTGTTGGTAACTGTAAAGATTGGGCTGTTGTACGTCATTGTTCTCAGTTCTCAGAGTATCTCAGATTCACCCCACTCACTAAGCAGGGCACAGAGGGATGAGCAGGCATCTAGATTTCCTATGACATGTTCACAAAGAGACCGAACAAGAGGAACGTAATAGCCACAGTCACTCTCTTGTGTCATATAAAGAGACAACGTGAAGAAAAATGTTAAAGCCTTCATCTTCTCATGTGATGCCTAGTAAAACTTCCATAAGTGGAAGTCCCAAAAAGTCTTTTTTTTTGTTTCCTGTTTTATATTTATATTATATTTTTAGGCCAAGATGTGAAATGTTTCCATAAAAAACAAGAAAAAAAGTCTGTCAAAAAACAAAAATAGAGGTATTTACATTTATTTATTTATTTATTTATTTATTAGTGTTCAGGCTGGTCAATTCAAATGAAGGAAGAAAATTTTCGAAAATAGCAGTAAAACTTCCTATTTGTATTTGTTGTATGCTGCAAATGTCCTTTCAAAAACCATTTCAACTGCCTAATTTTTTCCATCTCATTTTCATTTCATTTTGAATAAAAAAAAGCAAACTCACAAAGGAGTAAACTGGAGAACAACAACCAAGCAATGACTCCATGCCTTGGATGTCTCCCACAGGGAAAATAATTCAAAACCCTAAGGATGTACGACCTAAAGACTGAAGTGAACCTTATGGAAGCAGAGGAACAAAATAGAGGGAACAAGAAGGAGGCCCTCTCTGTTTGCTCTCTTTTCGAATGTTACCCAGACAAGAGCCCAAAGTTTCGGACTCGTGCGTACTGGGCCAGCCCTTTGTACGAAATGCGAGCAGTATTTTGTCTTTTTTCACACATGCACACACAGACACAAGAAGACTCTCTTTCTCAAAACTGACTATATGAAACAAAATGAATGATAACTGGACTTTGAAACTGGAATGCACTGTCCTAAAAAGAGAATTGTATTCAAACAAATAGTTGTCCCTTTCCTCGCCCACCCACGGGAATCAGTGAAGTGCTCTCTTAAGTGCAGACTCAGGATCAGAGGGGCTTTTTAGCTCATTACGTTTGTGAATGAGGGGAACCTGATCCTGAATACCCACTTAAAAGCTCTTTTAAAAGCTCCAATGAGCCTCTGCCCTGAAGCCCAGAATCTGACCGTAATGCTCCTCTCTCTCTCTCTCTCTCTCTCTCTCTCTCCCAGCCTCTGGTCCACTCTTTTCCTAATGCAAGGAGCATTTAATGTAAAGCAAGGTTTTGCTCTGGTGCCCCTCTGCCACCATCCCGCAGACATAACATCCACTCTTGCCCAAAAATAGCATAGCGGAAATACAAATACATTGAGCTTCGGACTGTGTAGTCATCAAGCAGCTCGTGCAACACCATGAATTGATTTTGAATAGCACATTAAATATATATCACTACTGTTGAATGTTTAGGAGCATTGTTCATTAGATATAATAAGGGGTATGTTCTTATTTTAGTACACTCCAAATGCCTTAAATCCACATATACAGCATGTGCGCTCTCAAACATGCCCAGTCACTTGCAGAGGCAGAGGAAATGCCAGAGCAAAACCCTGAAGATGTTCTATGATCAGTTCTGTTAGTTCTCAGGCAGGGTAAGTCTGGGAGTGTGCAAATACAGACTGTCTGGACACCAGCTCTGAGTGAATGTGAAATACACTCCAAACACTTTCTCTGTGTTCATGACACTCTCCTGCTCTATATGTCTGTCCATTCCTCTTCCCCACATTATGCACTGAATGATATTATGTTTTTGTTACTCGCCTCACACATACAGCACACATATCACATTTCATATGTATTGTTAGTCTTCACTTATTTACCATACATTATATACCTCATCATGCTCCTGTCCCCCAATCATAGAATTATACTTTAGACCATCCCTTCCATCTTCTCTCATTATACATACAGTATGTCCTGCCTGCCCCCAATGTATGCTCACCCCACCCCCCATCTCTGTTCATTGTAAACAGAAAATATTACTCGTGTCGTCATTCTTTATCCATTCTATATTCACCTGAGGTGATTATCTTTGTCGTCATAACTGATTACTCCTCTTAAGATTGTAAAGCTGTACTCTTTCTTCCCCATTGCGCACAGTAGGGAAAAAAAATCATAAGAAATGCAGAAATGTCATTAAATTGGAGTGAAAAAAATAATGACAAGAAAATAAATGTCTGTGTTATTATTTAAAAAATGAAAGTGCACTATTATTGCCTGTGATAAAGAACAATAAACAATACAAAAACTATTGTGACATGTTTTATCTTGCTTTATATTGAAACACTGCATTGAAATACAAAGAACATAAAATGAAAAGAAAATGTAAAAATACAAATAGGTAAACAAAGGACACGATAATATCTTTAATATTATAATGATATGATAATATCATAGTCCTCTAGAAATCTATTATACTTATGAGTTTAAGAGATTTTACTTTACAGGCTAATCTAGGCAAAGTTGTAAGGTATGTGAATAAAAATGCTATGCAAAACAAAGATATTTAGCAATAAGCAACAATTTGCAAAAAGTTTAAATCACATTTTATAAAAAGAGATATGAAAAATTATCCCAAAGAGAATGGATCTAATTGTATTGATAAAATAAATGAAGCCTACACCATGCTGGTTTCCAGTGAATACTGTCAAAAAATTGTCCTAGTACAATTTAGATCTATAGGGAATGTGTGAACTATATCATGTAGGCTAACTATTATGTTACACATTATGTTTATTATTAAAAAAATATATATCAAGAAGGCAAACACCATCCAATTAAAGTTTTTGGCATTAAAGCAAAGTGCACATAACTTGGAGATAAAGCTTTGATCATTATAGAGTTAAAAGTCCTTGCTGGCAGAAGATAATCATACAAAGATCAATTCTTCATATTGAGAATGTGACGTCGCACGTGCTGCATTGCATTGTGGGAAAACGTCGCCATCTTGGAAGGATACGCTATCCGTTGTCATGGTTACTTCGACAGTGAGACAGAGAGAAATAGCGACAGAGAAAGAGAGCATGCAGCTTGATATTTGTTTGCATTTTTGCGATAAGGCACAGTTCCTTGGGAATAAATGAAGAAGGTGGAAGCTAAAGGAAAGGAGCTCTATTGGGAGAGACTGAATAACAACACCAAGCAGCGTTGTTTAGAGAAACTACTTGACATCAACAACATGGACCTGTACGACCTGCTACAGAATTGACGAAAGACCCAACCACTACCACCTTTCACATACCCTGACATAGTCAATTACCTGGTTTATGGTATCAGTACCAAACATTACTGTCTAACATTTCACAATGCAGAGTTCAGCTTCATAAGGTCATAAGGTCATTAGAAGCTTATGAACAGTTCTGCTGCGGCTAGGTGCAAGACTTCGAAACCCCCAAACCTGTAATCTTAAACGAGAAATTCACCCATTTCAACATTAATCTTTATTGAAAGTGGATATGTAGTCGAAATGTAAAAGTATTTTTGAATTTGGTGTCCTCTTGACCGAGAAAAGGCAGAAAATAATTTGTATGTAAGACAGCAAATCCCACAATGCACCACATTGTACAGCTCCGCAAGCCACACCCACTATTCCAGAACAGCGCAAACAGAGAAATCACTCTTCCGTCTACAAGGCTAACGTTAGCTGTCAAAAGAGTTTGAAATTCATTTCACACAAAAATTCTAGTTAGTTAGCTCAGCTAACTAACTAGAATTTTTGTGTGAAATGAATTAGCTGTGGCGAGCAGGACGAGGGCGAGGGGCGTGAGAGCAGCGCGAGGCCAGTGGCGTGAGTGTTGAAAGACACCGGTGAGACACACACCAGTCCCGCATCTCTCATGGAGGAGCGGAGGTATAAAGGAGGAGCGACGACGGCAGGTCGAGAGAGAAACAGGCATGATTTTAATGTTGGGTTTTGTTTCAGCAGTCGTGTGAGGACAGCAGTCGTCAATGAGGGGCTGCTGGCTTATACTTTTGTTTTGTATTTGTTCATTTTACTATTAAAATGTTTAAATATCTGCCGGTTCCTGCCTCCTTCTTCCCACAACAGCAAACCCCGTTAACATTAGATTGGCAAACTCATAAATGAATTACTCCTCGTTTGTATTTCTTTCTATATGGTGAATTACTGCATGATGGGATGTTCAGTCAGGCGAAACTAGGATGGTTCACATCACAACACAAACGTCCGTGTGCTCGTCTGATTCAGAGATTTTTTTCCAGGAGAAATTGCCATCATTGAAATTCTCTGCAGCAGACAGACTCTATCTGTGTTCGTAGCGCACAGTGAGAGCACAGGCACCAGCAGTCCGCCCAGCTCGAGTCAGTCCGGGCTCCTGTCCGCGACAGGCAGCTGCCTCCGGTTCCTCCATCAGGCTCAGCTGCTCTTCACTATGGCTTGTAAAGATAGCCACGAACATCGGATTAATGCAGCAGAATTTCAAAATCCTCTTCCATATCTTGTTTAGTTTCTTCTGTCATTGTCATTACTTCCTATTTCCACAGCACTTGTTAGCTTAGCTACCAAACAAGATGGTTGATATTGAGTATCTGCAAGTGAAGTCCCACCCACTGATCTGTAATAGGCCTGTAGGGTGATTGGGTCCCATACCCTTGAATAATAATGAGCTAAAGTTACAAAATTACGATTTTTACGTCATAATAAGCAGGAAGTAAAATAAGGGAATAAACCATGACCATTCAAACATATGACTGGATTTCTAAAGATACAAAGCTTAATGCAAATGGGTGAAGTATCCCTTTAAACTCATTCATATGTGGAAATAAATCTGATATGAAGTGCATTTGCACCTGCCGTGCAATGTCAAGCGGACAGATCGGACATTCCCCTGTCAACGTGAGTTGTACGTCAATAAAAAAGTGTATTTTTAAAACATTTCGCGGTGCATATAACAAATTAAACAACTCTAGTTGAATAACAGAGTATTAATTTTGTTTGTTTGTGTTAAATAAAAGGTACTGAAATGTGTTGCTTTTGAAATCAATGTGCGCTCTTCCTTCTCCATATCTTCCAAAGAAACTGCGACGTATCGTTAATATTTAGCCTAAACCTGTCTTTCTGTCGCTATTTCTGAAATGTTTAGTCGCGGCTCTGTGAGGTTCTGAAGGCGTTGTCCCTGACAACCGATAACGTCTCCTCCCATCATTGCCGCCAAATCGGCACGAGACTCGGCACGAGACTCACCTCTCTCTCTCTCTCTCTCTCTCGCGCTCTCTCTCTCTCTCTCTCTCTCTCTCTTATGACTCTTCACTCTCTACGTCTTTACCTCTGTGCCGCGTGATGTCATCGCGTCTGTGTACACACACACACACACACACACACACACACACACACACATTTCCTCAGGTGTTGCGCGCTTTCTACAAGTGAAAGGGTGGAGAACGTAAAGTTTACATCTGTATCGAAAAACTGTTCCCGAACTCACATTCAGACTTACAGGTATGATTTTTCAGACATGTCATAATCTATTTTTTGTAACGAAAATACAGATTTGTTTTTGGTTTGAATAGCTCCGGTAATTCTTTGCAGCGTGTTGATGGCTCGGGCTATTCGATTATCGAAAGATGTAATAAAGCCTAGAGAAACTTTGCTGGGTTTTGTTTGCTTAGTCAATGCAATACAAGTTTCCCCACAGAAATGTAAAACCGGAGCCACTTTTTTATAGGCTAACGTTACATCACGCACCCACTTAATTATTAAGTTCGTATAATAATTGCCTAAAGTAGCACAAACTAGGAAACCTTTTTCTTATTAATACTTTTTCTTGATTTACTCTATATGCTAAACGACTTAACGTATCGTACAGGCTACAACTAGCTAAAGGTTAAAAAATGACGCCACACCCAAACACCACGTCACGGGATCCCCGAGTAGGCTAAGTTAGCCTATTTTTAAGAGCTCCAGTAAATATATCCAGCTCTTGTTTTGCTCTGTAAACTTAAAATATCTTTGATCAAACAGTGAATGCATATAATATGTATGCTGTTTTTACTTTGTGAATTATCTTTAAATAACTGATCAGAGCTGCATTTTGAAGGACAAATCTGTGTAGCAGCTATGTTTTGATTATTTTCTTTCTTTTATTTGTGTTCTTGTTTGTTTGCATTTCCTCAATAACTGAAATAAACCTCCAGTTAAAACAAATTCTAGTGGTGGTAGTTTCTAGTTTCGTTTCTGCATGTTTTACCAGTTTAACAACATTCAAACCTTCAGCCTAATTTTTTGCCATTTTTCCAACAATCTTTCTTTGTTGTCTTAGTAATAATGGATAAATGTCTCTGTTGACTACCTCTCATTTTCCCTCCTCCTGTCTGTCAGCTCAAAATGTACGTTTCTGTATGTGAACAGTTTTGGCCCTGTTGACTTCTAGAAATAAACTATTTTAAACCACTTTTCACATTCTTTCACTCTTTTTTGTTGTTGCTATTGTTTTATTTGGAACTAACAATGTACGATAGAAAGTCAATTTTGTTAATCTTTTTTTTTTTTCCTGCAGCTATCATTTCCATCAAATCTGAAATTAGATAAACTGTTGTTTTGAATTTCAGCAATAGCGTAAACATTTTCTGGGGCAAAACCCCAAACTTTCTTGCAGACTTTTTACTAAGACTAACCTATTTCACAGCTAGCATTTAAATGCTCACAATTAAATAATATTTTCACATTTTTTGTGGTTTGACAAATTTGAGCTACATTCATTGAAATGCAAAATGCAACTCCTTCATGTAGTAAGTTCAGTGTTTCATAAATGTGGGCATATGCTTGTGTTGTGTGAATGTGTGTTCCCCTTCGTCAGCTCACTATGAAGTGATTCTCGCTCGAGAGCCTATCTACTTCTAGTGTAACTAAACTAGCCAATGCACATTTGCATGAGATAAATTGCACCAACTACTGTGCATCGCGGGGCAAGCATATAATGAGAGGCAGGTGCATCGCATCCTTGTCTTTCACTCCAGAGCCAAATGCTGTTCCTGCTCTGCAATCTTATCTGAGAGTGTTTTAATTTCAAAAGACGAGTCTGCTTCTTCAGGAGAACGCCTCTTCAAGCTGATGTTGTTATCACAACGCAGACAGCACTGGCCGCAGTCTCACAGAGAGCAAAACAGCAGTTTTCACAGCTCAGAATGTTGTGCCTTCAATGAGAATGTGAGTGCTCATATCAGGCTTGCACTATCGTCCTGTTTGTGGCCATAACTGGGTGCTTCAGCACCAGAGAGAGAGCAGTTTCCCGAAAGAGCATACACAGGTTGACACTGCGTCTTTTTCAAGATTTTATTCAAACGATTTTATCGTTTCCTATCCTGATATGACAGGCACGATCACTGTTTCACATGTCTGGGCTTAAGTGTGTTGAGAGTGCGTTCATGGGTGGTTCATGTTGGCACGTTGTCGTCTCCTCTTTCTCGTTAAGGCTTGAGCCGCTCACTAAGGGCCTGTTCTTAGTGTTGGCTTGCAATGCCACTTCCGCCCCTCTAGGCCGGATACATGCATCTATTTGCTTCAGTAGTGTTCCTCAGAAATGGCTAACCCTGTTGAGTTCCTCCGTCACACCTGCTGCAGTCAGACGTTGCGGAGCATCTGACACCAGGCCTACACTCGTATGCATTGTGGAGCCTGGGCTAGGTTGGGTGTCCATATCTCACGTCCGGCTCCTCGGCGGAAAAACAAGGATGCACAGCAGCTGGTGCAATTATCGCATGCCAGTGTGCATTGGCTCGTTTAGTTACACTCAAAGCAGATAGAGAGAGATCCCCATTCGTCAGAATCACTTCTGAGTCTGACGTACGTCTCCGTTCTCTCTTTGGAGAAAGAACGAGGGTTACCATACATAACCGAGACGTTTTCTCTATTGTTAATATTAAATAATAGAGTAAATGCTTACATTTATAAGATGGATTCTTAATAAGCACCTAATTGGAAACTGAAAAATGTTCCCTTTTGAATGAAGAGGTTGTGTTTTACCTCATTTATTCACTGCATTTGTTAATTCAAAGCAAAGCCTGGTGCGGCAATTGAAAATAATGAGAATGCAGCATGCTTTTATTCTCACAGCATTCCTGCTAGCTTTGCATAACCTTGTTCACACCAACTGTGCTTGCCCACATCATTTTCATGTTAAACTGAAGTCCTGTTACTCAAGTACACCAGATTCTCTTTCATTTCCTTTAATATTTTGCTGTAATTTTTCAGATTTTTATAAATGGACACACACATGATTATATTTATTCTGTGAATACCTGCACAAATAATGTTAAGGGTTATTTTATATAAATACACCACTAGGGGTCATTGATGTCTTGGTTGTAGCTTTAGTTTGTGAAATTTGGCCTTGTATTGCACAAGTACCTTTTTTACATTTGCTTATGTGACTGTTACGTTGACGGCAGTTTCCTTCAGTGATATTTCTAAAGATAAGGATGGAACCTGTTACGTTAAAGCAGAATAAAATTTGGTGTAAAATATATTTATTTTGAATACTATGTGAGCTTTCTGAAGATTTTGTCAATTTTTCATTCAGTCACTCTCATGGGTCTGCAACTTTAGCTTTAATAAAGGATGGAACCTGTTACAATAAAACAGAACAAAATTTGGTAGCATGACGAAAGCAGATACCATGAGTGGATGATATACAGCTTTTTGTATTTCAATAATCCAGTGTAGTTTTTTTTTCTTTTTTAGTACTGAGACTGTGTTGTTTCTGTCTATAGTCATGGCAGAGGCTCACCAAGCAGTAGCGTTTCAGTTCACCATCTCTCCCGAGGGGATCAACCTGCATCTGTCCTATCAAGCCCTCAATCAAATCTACCTCGCCGGACTGCGGTCCTGGAAGAAGCGCATCAGCAGGATTAAAGTCAGTGACCTGAATGAGCGGGAAAAAAATTCATACATTTTGAACTTTTTTTTATTATATAATAAGTAAAAAATAGGTAAAAATCCCATAGCAATGTTAAGAGTATAAGTATGAAAACACTATATGAAAATGAAATGCAGGACATTTGTTCTGCCAAGAAATTAAGCTCAATAAAGTCACCATGAATTCAAAATTGACAATTCTTGTTTTTTAATGAATAATTGCAGTATTTATAATAAATTATCATTTGTAATAATAAATACTGCTATATTTCATTAAAAAAAACAAAAAAAACAGAATAGTCAATTTTGATTTCATGGTGACTTCACTAACTGTAGGGTTGGCATTATTTTTCAGTGTTAAAATCCCAAAAATTGGCAGTGTATACACAGGGGCCATTAATACGTATGAACTTTGACTTTTTCATGGACAGAACAGAATAATTAAAGGTGTGTACCCAGCGAGCCCCTCCTCTTGGATTTTTGTTGCCGTAGCAATCTTGGCCTCTATATACATGCAGTCCGATCCATCTATGGGTCTCATCGCTAAGATTCGGGAGCACCTGCCCCTCAGGTAACACTTCCTTTTACCCTTCAGTGGGCACTATCTTCTAAATGGTAAACAATTCAATGATAAAATTATTAAAGACTATTTTCTTATTAAAGTACTGATTTTATATTTAAAGGACAACTCCGGCGCAAAATGAACCTTTGGTCTAATTACACATTGTTACCTAGTAAACCGTTATCTGAGATTTGTTTTCATGATTGCCGAATGTAAATAGTTTTATCTCTAAAAACAGTTTAGCCTATAACGCTAGTATAATGCTAGTATATAAGGCATAGAGTAATGACAAATAAAAATCGCTTGTTATTACCACTAAAAAAGGCTCAAAATAGCCCCACACCAACGCAACAGCATAACAAGAGTCCCTACATTCAAACCGAAGCATTGAGAACTTTGTCAGTGTCCATACAGTTTAATAAGAAGATGTTTTATACACACAGTCAACTTCGCGAATACAGGAAGAAGCCATCTTGGAAAAATAGTCTCGACCAGTCGATCTACGAACGCCGATCCAAGTGCGGTGGTGAGATGTGAATAAGGTGATAATGTGAGCGCGAACAGTAGGCTACGTGTACATATTGAAGACAAGTAAACGGTTTGTGTTTGTGTTTCTTCTGGAAACAACGGACCATATGAGATTCTGCACAGTTCAGCGCACATGGATCGGCGCTCGTAGATCGACTGGTCGAGACTATTTTTCAAAGATGGCTTCTTCCTGTATTCGCGAAGTTGACTGTGTGTATAAAATATCTTCTTATTAAACTGTTTGGACACTAACAAAGTTCTCAATGCTTCGGGTTGAATGTAGGGACCTTTGTTATGCTGTTGCGTTGGTGTGGGGCTATTTTGAGCCTTGTTAGTGGTAATAACAAGCGATTTTTACTTGTCATTACTCTATGCCCTATATACTAGCATTATACTAGCGTTATAGGCTAAACTGTTTTTAGAAATAAAACTATTTACATTCGGCAATCATGAAAACAAATCTCAGATAACGGTTGACTAGGTAGCAATGTGTAATTAGACCAAAGGTTCATTTTGCGCCGGAGTTGTCCTTTAAGGTATTTTCGCTCTGGCTTTTTTTTATCCTCTCAAAACAGTTATGTAAACAGTGATTACTATTCTTAATTAAACTTTTCAATTTTCTTACAGAATTTTTTTAATGGTATTTATTCCTAATTATGGGAGTTCTTTTTTCAATAATTATTATGAACGGTTTCAGTTGTGTCTCCTATTTTTTTTAAGTATATTTTTAAAGTACACAAATAAGAGAGCTTTTTACATACAGCAAGACTATAGAGCTGTGCAATTTAAATTGAATTTTGGGAAATTTGGTTGCTAGATCATTTTTTTGAGAAATGTTTTTATTAGAAATCTCTTATTTGTTTTGATCGTTTGGCATCTTGGCAAATCTGTGCATAGTTTGACACTTTTGTTATCTTTTATGAAACTACAGAAGATGCAAAAGTCTTCAAGAGTCTTTTGTTGTTCTATGTTTCATATATTAATCAAGAAGAGAGAAAGCTGATTTGCTCCATTGTGTTTTTCTCTGTCAGTCTACCATTGAGCGCTCAAGGTCAGACGATGCTGTCGGTGCTGCTGTTCAGTACTATTTTGTGGTTGTCTCTCATTCTGGCTCTGAGGTTCTGCCTGAAGCTTCTCTTGTCGTACCACCGATGGATGTTCGAGCAACATGGATGCATTTCTACCAAGACCAAAGTCTGGGCGGTTAGTGTTTCATTAAATTTAGCCTAGCATTGGGAAAAAATGCTTGTATTTTTTTTTAAGATAATTTCTGCAAAAATATGCTTTTAAAACAATAACAATGAGGATTTGTCTTCTGGTCAGTTGTTTTACTTTCTCAACAACTCTTTCACTTTTCTTGTCACAAGCTATAGAATAGTTACTTGGGGTCAGTAAGTTTTATTTATTTTTTAATTCTCTTTATTGAGTTTTTTTGCATATCAAATACAGAAAGACAAAAACACAGTAACAAACAACAGACATCAGAGGACATCATTGCCATTGCCATGCTAAACCAATCAATTACACATTCTCACCAAAGTAATCTATAAAAGTTTGCCACATTGAATAAAATATTTCAGACTTCCCCCTAAACAAATATTTAATTTTCTCCAATTTCAAATGAACCATTGTGTCTTTCGATAAGGCTGATGAATAACAATGACTCTCTGTGCTAACAAGGTCACAAATCAAACCGTGCTGTTTTGGTTGTCCGTAAATTGCACATTGCTTGGCTTCTCACCAAAAAGAGCCCAGATTGATAAAACAGGATGTATTAAAATAAATAAATGCTGATTTTTAAATTTTCTATTTATCAAATAATCCTGAAATCCAGCATATTTAAATGGTTTCTAAAGGATCATGTGACACTGAAAACAAATCAGAAAATTCAGATATACCATCACAGGAATACATTATATTTTAAAATACATTTGAAATAAACAACAGTCATTTTAAATTGTAATAATATTTCACAATATTACTATTTTGATCTCATGCAGTTTTGGCAATCATCAGAGGATTCTGTATATAATTAAATGTCAAAAATGCAACTTGACGATAGCTGTGAGTTGTAACACTTTTACTGGGAAATTATGGTATGTTATGTGTTAAACATTTGTTATTCAGCTTTGTTTTCTCTTTATAACCTATTCAAACTAATGCTCTAAAGACTATCACAAATCACACATGCAATTTCAACTAACATTCATTTATATTAACCTGTTAGACAATAAAACCTTGGTGAAATTTAAATAAATACATTTCCTACAGCACTATTCTGTACATCATAGAAATCTAAATGTTCAAGGCATAAAAATACACATGCATGATCACTAGATGTGGAATGTGTTGAAAACACGGCACTGGCCCAATGTGGAATTGACATTACAGTGAACTGGCCCAAAACTCTCACCTTGGACCAAATCAGGTCATTCTTATTGTTGAAACCATTATATTGTTTCTTTCTCTTGTCCTCCCTGTCAGACCCTTGTTAGGTTGTTGTCCGGAAGCAAGCCATTACTGTACAGTTATCAGACGTCTTTACCGCACTTGCCTGTACCTTCCATTAAAGACACTTTGGAAAAAGTGAGTCAGCATATTATGTATTATTAATATGTATTAAGTCGTTTGCATGTAATGTGTCATAAGGGCTGGTTTGCTGGGAAGTCTCCTCTAGAAATGGTCAAGGTCATGGAGTTTTAGGCTTTAAAAGTTACCACTGAATGCTATCTCAACCATTTTCTCTGTTTTAGTATCTTGAGTCAGTGAAGCCACTGCACGATGCGGCTGGTTTTCAGCGAATGAAGAGACTGGCTGCTGAATTTGAGAAAAGTCTGGGTAACCGCCTACAAAGATATCTCAAACTCAAAGCGCTGTGGGCCACAAACTATGTATGTGCTGAAATCTGTACAGTTATTTTCTGGTCAATGTCACAACTATCATTAGTCTTATCATGAGCATGTAGTTGCATTACTATATTTACACAGTACTACAGCTGTTCAAAATCATTAATCATTAATAAAAATGCATTGGTATTGAATGTTAGATGCATAAACAACTTTATTAGAGTGATAATGACTCAAAAATATCTCAAATAGGCAGCTCTTCAGATAACATTAAAGTGGTTGCCAATGGGTATTACAGCTTTCTGTTAAATAACAACCCTTTGAAGCCTGAAAAATTAAGCTTTTTTTTTTTTTTGAAGCAACATTCTAAAACTCATATGACCATTTAACTACTGTATATGTGTGTCAGATCAACACCACAATATCATTTAGTATGTCATATTTGGAGTTTCTTTGTTTCTTCCAGGTTAGTGACTGGTGGGAAGAGTATGTTTACCTCCGGAGCCGGAGTCCTATCATGGTCAACAGTAACTATTATGGCATGGTAAATGAGCCTACAGCATTACTCATTGTCACTCACCCCTATTTTCTTTAAAGCTGCAGTCCATAGCTTTTTTGGGGGTTAAAAATGATCCAAAATACATATTTGAGAAAATACATAACCAGCCATTGATCAACGCTATCTGCTTGCCGTAGCTCGATTCAATGTGGTAAGCTTGTAATAATGTTTTTAATTCCAGTGGTACTGGTGGATTTCCGGGGGAGATTCGAGCATGTCCTTGCGTCATTATGTCACATCTGTACACATAAAGGACTCTCGGCTAGAATAAGCTATATTGTGTGTGAGGATGTTGGAGTGGAGATTTATAGCCTTTTCTCACAGCACTCGATATAATTAAATTTATCAATTTGATATCGGATCCAGAAGGATTCAAACGACAATCACCAGTCACTACAGATTCACCCGCTGTAAAATCAAAAGACTTTGTTCGGACTTCGGAGTGGCTACAGAAAAAAAGTGACTGCAACCGGACCCACGCGAAAACAAGGATGCATATCGTAAGGACATGTAGTCACGCAATGCTGACGTTGTTAACTTTAACAATTTGAGAACAAAGTATAATTTGCATGGTTTTGTGTGATATGATATGCGATTTTAGATTTAATCAGCGCAATTTACTGCAATGTCAGAACCAGAACAAAAGTGGCTGTTTCTTACTAGTTCAAATGACATTTTGCAGTGACTTGACAGACACACAGTCTCCTCAAACATTGTGTTCATCCATGCTGTACTGTACAACTCACGTAAAGTTGATAATTCCGCGAATGGCTGCAATTGCAGATTTCAAAAAGAGATGGTGACAGAGGAAAAACGCCGGACTGCAGCTTTAAACATTTAATCTTAAGACATTTACTGAATACCATTATTGTTTAGGACAACTTGTCCACCTCTGTTTTAACGTTCATGGTGTTGAATGAAAAGTGAACCTAAGAATATATAAACTTAGTCTCACATATTTTTGTGCATGCTGATGTTTATTAGAAAGTATTTGGACACTAAAAAGGCACACTTAATGAAAATTTAAATGTCATGTGTGTATATATAGACAGTGTGATTATTACACAGGTGTGCCTTAGGCTGGCCACAGTAAAAGGCCACTCTACGTTTTGCTTAAAAATATGGTATATCTTGTGCTTAAAATGTGTCATATCTCTTATATTTTATCTAATGCAATGACATTCAGGCATTCATGTTTGCAAAGGAAAAAAATCTATTATCTTTAATTAATCATTAATTGTAACAATACCTTGACACAAGATGTTTTCTTGGATTTTAGCAGTGTTTCAGTAATATAATCCTATAAAAAAAGGAAAGGAAAACTTCAGGTTTTGGATGGATGTTTCTCTTTTCCAACTGTCTGTATAATTCCTGCACAGGATTTCCTGTTTGTGACTCCAACTGCCAGTCAGGCAGCTCGAGCTGGGAATACCATCACTGCACTGTTCCTTTATCGCCGCAAGGTCAATCGAGAGGAGCTCAATCCCGTATGTTACACACCTCAATGTTCTCAGCAGAATTTGAACCAAACCCCACCCAACGCCACTCTCACTTTCTGAATGAGAAACTATTTTAGTAATCATGTCTCTACCTGTGTTAACTCACTTATTTTGCTGGATTTCCTTGATTCCTTTTGATTAGTCACTGGCCAGATAAACGCTATATAAATTCTTTTTCAAGGTGATGGGCTAAACTTAAAACATTTTAAACATCATTTCTCAATAAAAAACAAAACAATAAAGATTGTAATACAGGTTTTATAACCTAGTATTAATTGATAGACTACCCTGAATTTTGCTTGCACTAATAAAAAATGATTTATACAGACCATTTGACCAACAAGTCACAACTAGTAACAATACGTTGATTAAAAGTGATGAAAAAATAATACACTTTTTACATTGAGTGGAGTTACATTGATATACATTTTAATATAAAATAATTTTTTTAATTGCCTAGTTTGTCAAGATTTTATTGAAAATTGTTCTTGTATGTGACACCTATAGCTAATCAAACATTTACGTTATGCTTCAACGACCCAAATGTATATAAAAGAGGAATTCTAAATTAAAACACAGCAACACTGTCACACTTCTGTATTGTTCAATTCAGAATATAGAGACATTTTGGACAGTTTTGCAGTAAGTCATTGAGCTCATTTGTTCTGGTTTATCTAGAGTCGTATTCCTGGTACTGTTATACCACTGTGTGCAGCTCAGTGTGAACGTATGTTCAACACCACCCGCACACCTGGAGAGGAGACAGGTACATAAACACACACACACAAATACACATAAGAGAGTGATCTTGTGTCCTTGACAGTTTCTTGATCTCTCAGATGTGCTGCAGCACTGGCAGGACAGCGAGTTTGTCGCCGTGTACCACGGGGGCCGCTTCTTCAGGTTATGGGTCTATCGAGCAGGACGCCTGCTGTCACCCAGAGAGATCCAGTATCAGATTCAAAGGATCTTGGATGACCCTTCACTTCCTTCTCCAGGAGAGGAAAAACTAGGAGCACTGACTGCAGGAAACAGGTCAGTGTTTGTGTGTTGCTGTCCAGCAGGGTGCGTTAAAGGGTTTTATGTCAAGCACAGCTTCCTACAGAATTTATTTACCATATCACATCCATTTATTCCACATTGTCTTCTAGTTTTTGGGCCTCTGTGAATCTTTAACACGTATATGATGTAACTTGATGTTATATTTACATATTTTCTTGCTGGTATCAACTATCAACTGTAACTTCCTAAGACACATAATGTGCATACTGTTTTCACTTTTTTGCTTGGATTGTGCCAGGATTGTGTAACATTTATCAGAGTAATAATAGCAGGGTAAAATGAGTCATTCTGAGGATGTCTTGGCAGCAATGTTTGAATTTTTGGGGAGCTGAAGACGGGAGGACAATAAATGAGGAATGTTACAAACAAAAGTGTTGCATCCCTTGGAGACAGGACACAGCAAAATCCTCAAACATGAACTAAAGTTATTGAATAAGGGTCAAGAGCCCAACTAAACCAAACACTGATCACCATGATGGTGACTTTCTGTTTTCTGAAAATTAAAAAAAAAAAGTTTTCTCCTTCAGAGATTCTGCTTGTTAACATCAGGTGTCTACAGTAATGCTCAATCATAACTCAATTATTCACTTAATTATCTCATTAACTTTAACACTGCTTCAGTGTTCATTTAACACTCTGCTCAGAGTTTATATAATGCTCACTTCTCAGTGTTAATTTAACACTGGGGATTTGAAGAGTATTTTCATAAGTAGTGATTAAAGCGTAATATAAAGGTTTTTATATTTATATTTTATTATTTATTTGTTTATATAGGGGTTGCTAATGAAATTAAACATCCAGGCAAGGAACCTGTACAGACTCTTACCGACAATGCATAATTAGCAGGCTGAACAAATATAAATGTTATATATATATATATATATATATATATATATAATATTTTAACAAAACTGAAAGATTATTATTTTATAGGACAAACAGTGTAGGAAAACCAAAATCAAGCATGCAATATACATACTCTATCATAAAACAAAATGTTTAAAATATAAGAGAGTTTTTATAAGTTAAACATATTGGGCCATTGCATTATTACAATACTTCATACTACATGCATTATATAAGCATTATAAAAACTTAAAAATGGTAAAAATTTGTACCTTTCATTGAAGTAAAACAATTGAAATCACACAATGTTGAGTGTACTGGCAGTATTGCGGGACTGGTAACTTGTGCGAAGAGTATAAATGCATTTTGAGAGAATGTCTAGCATTATGTGTTGTCTGCCGTCGAGCCGGGTTGGCTGGGAACGTTGAATTCCTTTTGATCAGACGGGAAGTTTATGAATTATTTATCTCTGGGGAGAGAGACCCATAATCAAATCCTCATAAATTAAATTAACACACAACCCTGGACTTTTTCTATAAATGGTAGATAATTCCAGGGTGAATGTTTTCCTAGAGGAACACCGTAATTGTTTGGATGCCAATTAATTAACCAAATGCTGCAATTACATCATGTATCCCTGAGACATAATTGCCATCTCTTTAGGGACTTTGTAATCTTAAAATGCAATACTTCCACTTCTGAAAGTATTTTTTTCTTTTCCACTGACACAATCGAACCAACAGCTGAATAGGCATTACAAAGCAAACTTGTATTTGGGTCTGTCTCCGTTCTCATATTGCACATCTACTTTTGTTCATCCAATTAATTCCTCATAGATTAAAAATAGTCGTAGTCCTATTTTTATATTGTTAAATATTATTGGAAGTGAAGTGGGTTGCAAGTGCATTTTTTTTATTTTAGTATAAAGGTTGGGGATTAAGTGCTTGCAGAAGAATTGTATGGAATGCATCTGGTCCAGTAAAGATCAGTTCATAATCAAGGGAAAGCGATATTAAATTGTCTAATTTCATTTTTATGGCGAGGCAAGCACTGCCTGGCAGACCCCTTAGGTTTGCCTTAAAGCTATGGCTATCCATCAAAGAAAGAGTCTATGTAGGAAGGAATACCCAAGCCATTTGGAACATCAATGCCTCGATGAGGGTTTAAAGCTACATTGGCAGAAAATTATATGATGAAGCATCCACTTTATGTCTATTTGATGCCACTACTTTTTATGTAATATTTAAAGGTCTGACTGTGCATGTTGGATTTTTTTTAGATGAGAAAAGCCTGACAATGCGTGGTGTGCATTATCCTCAGACAGGAAATAAATGAGGCGATGTTATTACCCCCCCAAGCTCTGATGCTGAGTCAGTCTGCTATACTTAACATACTGGGAGGGTTTAATAGACAGCATATCACATCTATAGGCTGAATGTTAACATAGATAAATAAAGCTGTGTTTTAACTGTTTGTATGCATCCCTCACATATCTTTCACTATTTATTTGAAAAGACACAATATCTGTTGTTCAGGAGCATGGGAACTGTACTGCTTGTAATGATTCATTTAATAGATTACTAATTCTTTCTGACCTAGATAAAACATGAGTCATTCTACAACTGTGGTGGCATTTATGTTGCCATAAAAATACAGATAAAATATGTATTTTAAAATTCCTATTTTAAAAATAACAATCACCAAATATTGAATTAACGAACAGACAGACAAAGAAACAAATAATAATTTGTGTCAACAATTATTTTTTGTCATTTTATTGACAAAATATTTATATTAACAAAACTATTGAATCAAAATGTTGATAATGTGATGGCACACAGTATACAGCAGATTTTTTCCAAATGATCAGTCAGTAAAAAGGCCAATTTTCAGGCTATTTTTTCATTTCATTCATTTGCTGGGACCTTTACTCTATATAAAATACAAGATAAGAGTGAGAATGTTGATGAACGTTCTTCCAGATTCAAAGCCAGATATGAGTTAACTATCATTCTTAAGATTTTTCCCCTTTTACATCTCTGGTGGCTACAAGGAAGTTTGTGCTTTATCAGTTGTCAGAAGTGAATATTTTATCCTAGATGACTCAATAATAATGCTTTAATCCGACCAGGAAGTTGTTTTGTGTCTTGAACTATCTGTTCTGTCAGAACGCCATGGGCTCAGGTGAGGAAGCAGTTCTTCAGCTCTGGAGTTAACAAGCGATCATTGGACTGCATTGAGAAAGCAGCATTCTTTGTCACACTAGATGATCAGGAAGAAGGCATGATGGGGGAAGACCCCTCTGTGAACTTGGACCGATATGCCAAATCCCTCCTTCACGGAAAATGCTACGACAGGTGGGATTGCATAATAACATAACTTGTTCTTATTGAGAAACTTTGCATGTCAAGGACATTGTTTCATCTGTTCATTTTGACCTCTTTCTTTCAGGTGGTTTGACAAGTCATTTTCTGTTGTGGTGTATAAGAATGGAAAGAATGGGCTGAACGCAGAACATTCATGGGCAGATGCTCCTATAGTGTCCCACCTGTGGGAGGTGAGTGTGTGAGTCTCACATGCAGCAGCAAAAAAACTTGGCGGTCATCATAGATCAAATGTCATTGTTCAAGTTTCTGTTTTAGTCACCTACCCACTGCCATGTCCTTTCAAACATTTGAATAAGCTATAAAAGTGTCTGTGGGCGTTTTGTATGGACAAAGACCGCTGTTTATCTCCCCCACAGCAGCTTTCGTCAGAAGACGTGTCTTCCATGCACGCCTCCACACATACTAAACATTTACATCAAACATTTTGTGTTCCATAATGAACGTTTTGTTACTTAAAAGTAGGGAGGCACCGAGACCATCTTTTTCAGAATCCATCCAATCCGGTACCAGCGCAGTCTTTTATTTAAATCAAGTAGAATTTCAATAACTCTGTGTTGAACTGATAATCACTCTTTTGTGTGTTACAGTGAGGAAAATAAGTATTTGAACACTGTTATTTTGCAAGTTCTCCCACTTAGAAATCATGGAGGGGTCTGAAATTGTCATCGTAGGTGCATGTCCACTGTGAGAGACATAATCTAAAATGTATGATGAATGAAATTGATGAATGAAAATCACAATGTATGTTTGTTTTTTTACCTATTCATTTGTATGATACAGCTGCAAATAAGTATTTGAACACCTGTCTATCAGCTAAAATTATGACCCTCAAAGACCTGTTAGGCCCTGTTTACACGAGAATGCTCGCGGGTGAAAACGTAAAAATATTTTATCGGATGTGCCTTTCGTTTACACGGCGACGGCGTTTTTGAGGCTTAAAAACGCAAAAAAGTGAAACCACCCTTCAGAGTGGAAATCTTAAAAACACTCCACCGTCGCGTTCCCGTGTAAATGGTGAAAATGCAAAAGTCTGCTTGACAGTGAAGGTTGTATGCAGGCGCGTGAACTTGGTGTTGTTGTGTGGCAGTGCTCCACATTGCCACCTAGCCGCCTGGAGTGCATACTACATTGAATTTCACACACTTTTGCGTCACCAAATGTACGCGGATTTCCCACCCAAAACGCTCGTATAAATGCAGAATAAAAAGTAATAACGCAACGCCACTTTTGCGTTTTCTCTTCAGAATCGTTTCCGTGTAAACATAGCCTTAGTCTAACTTTAAAATGTCCACCTCCACTCCATTTACTATCCTATATTCGATGCACCTGTTTGAGGTCGTTAGCTGCATAAAGACACCTGTCCACCCCATACAATCAGTAAGAATCCAACTACTAATATGACCAAAGAGCTGTCCAAAGACACTTGAGACAAAATTGTACACCTCCACAAGGCTGGAAAGTGCTACGGGAAAATTGCCAAACAACTTGGTGAAAAAAGGTCCAATGTTGGAGCAATCATTAGAAAATGGAAGAAGCTAAACATGACTGTCAATCTCCATGCCAGATCTCACCTTGTGGGGTCTCAAGATCCTGAGAAAGGTGAGGAATCAGCCCAGAACTACAAAGGAGGAGCTGGTCAATGACCTGAAAAGAGCTGGAACCACCATTTTCAAGGTTACTGTTGGTAATACACTAAGACGTCATGGTTTGAAACCTTAAAATGACGTATTAAGGAGAGGATGACCGGGGCCATGTATTGCGAGATTATGGGGAACAACCTCCTTTCCTCAGTTAGAGCATTGAAGATGGGTCGAGTCGAGGCTGGGTCTTCCAACATTACAATGACCCGAAGCACAGCCAGGATAATCAAGGAGTGGCTCTGTAAGAAGCATATCAAGGTTCTGGTGTGGCCTAGCCAGTCTCCAGACCTAAACTCAATGGGCTCTATGCACGGCGGTATTTCCGATGAAGATATAAGGATGCTCGATTACTTCCGCCGATCGTAAAGTCCAATACAATACCGAGAATTTATATTGAATTTTATACTCTATGGCTACAATAAAGAAACGTTAACAAAAACAGACTAAACAGACATCCCTTGTTGTGTTTATGCTTCTTTTAAAAATTATATTAAATAAACATAACTATATATAAAATTACATCTAAATGTATGAAAGTTTCATTTCAAAGACGGGAGGACAGTAAATTTTTAAGACTCTGCCATAATACTGTTTTCCCCGGTTTTCCTCCGCTTTAATCCCCACAACCGGAAACAGACGAGCATCCTTGCATCAAATGCGGAACTTATGCTTGCATAGAGCCCATAGAAAGTCTTTGGAGGAGCTTAAACTCCGTGTTTCTTGGCGACAGCCCAGAAACCTGACTGATCTAGAGAAGATCTGTGTGGAGGAGTGGGCCTAAATACTTCCTGCAGTGTGTGCAAACTTGGTGGAAAAACTACGGGAAACGTTTGAACTCTGTAATTGGAAACAAAGGCTACTGTACCAAATATTAACATTGATTTTCCCACGTGTTCAAATACTTATTTGGAGCTGTAGCATACAAATAAATTGTAAAAAATCATACATTGTGATTTCTGGATTTTTTTTTTTTTTTTTGTTTAGATTATGTCTCTCACAGAGGACATGCACCTACGATGACAATTTCAGACCTAGTCTGAAATTTTTTAGTCTAGAAAAAATCGTGTCTTCACAATTATTGTATAAAATCTGAACATTCAGTGAAAAAAACATTTAGTGGGGAAAAAATAAGAGACAACAAGAGTAACACTAAATCTGGTAAAACGTTACAGTGCTCTTTGTTTTGTTGTAAAATACATTCATGAAAAACAATAACAAAAATCAAAAAGATAAATTGTTTTAGATATAGCCTTAGGCTACTGTATAATTGAGACATGTTTTAAATGTATTGCACAGCTGTTTAATGAGGCAGCAACATGATGGATAGCACAGAACAAGAAAGGCTATTAATAATCTTTTATTGTGCAAAAGTACAGTATGATATGAATAAAGAGCAGAATGATGTGCTTGAAGCAACATGAGTCACAGTGCTTCGAGTCCGCATTGAAAAGTTTAAAGCACAAAGGAAATAAATATTGATGCTTTATGTGTATTATACAGTATCTATCTATGCAATAGTTTATTGAGCCTTTTCTTTTAACAGTTTTGAATGTCAGTTGCTGCACGCTTGAAGAACAATTATAGTGCATGACTCTAGTGTTGTGATCGGACACCCGGTAGAAAGTCACATGATTAAAGGTACAATATGCAGAATTCTTCACCACCAGGGGTCGCTAACCTCTTTGTAACAAAGTTCAGGGAAGAAGGAGGCAGTAACGGGATCATAATAATAAAATAAAACTTTATTTAAATAAAATAAACAAACAAATTACCTGCCAGCAGCCCCTCGCGGACGACTGCTGGCTACCCAAAATAAAACATAAATACCGGCCAGCAGCCCCTCACGGACGACTGCTGGCTTACCAAATAAAATATAAAATACAAACAAAAGCAGGCCTGTTCCTCTCTCGATCATCCACTCCGTCGCTCCCCCTTTATGGCTCCGTTCCTTCGTGAGAGATGCGAGACCGGTGTGCCTCGCAGGTGCTGCTCATTAGCAATCGCACCACCGGCCTCGCGACTTTCTCTCACGTCCCTCGGCCGTCCTGCTCACCACATACCCCCCATCACCCCTCACAGGCCGGGGGGTACACCCGAGACTGTGCCTACTTCCCCCCCCGGCGGCGGCGATCCCTGGGGGGTATGGATCGACGAGCCGAGGGAAACGGAGACGGAAGCCTGAGGAGCGATGGACACGAGAGAGGGGAGAGAGGAAAAAAAAAAAAGTCCGGCTCCCACAACGCGCTGCCATCTTGTCTCTCACCAGCTGGGCGATCTCCTCCGCGGTGCCCGGCGGCAACGCTGGATGGCCCTCGGTGAACGCCTCGACGCTCCCCTGCCCCCAATGGACGGCGACGGCTCCTCGGGTGCCTTGGGCAGACGGTAGGAGTCCCCCGCTCCCTGCTCCTCCCCTTCACTGGCGGATGGCAGCAGGCTCCGGCCCACGGCAAGCGGCGGTGACTCCTCCTCTCCCTCCCGAACGGCAGCCGCCCCTCCATTTTCCAGGCGGTCGGCGGCGAGCTCGGGCGTCCCACCGGCAACTCATCCCAGCGCCCCGCCTCGAGCGTCCATGGCCGCGAGTCCCCCGCTCCCTGCTCCTCCCCTTCTGCGGCGGACGGCAGCAGGCTCCGGCCCACGGCGAGCGGCGGCGACTCGCGCACCATGCTCGATGGCACCGCGGATTCCCCACAGCGGCGAGGACCCTCGGACAGCGCGTTCCTCCCTCTTCCCGGGTTTCGGCACCAATGTAACAAAGTTCAGGGAAGAAGGAGGCAGGAACCGGATAATAATAATAAAATAAAACTTTATTTAAATAAAATAAACAAACATATTACCTGCCAGCAGCCCCTCGCGGACGACTGCTGGCTACCCAAAATAAAACATAAAATACCGGCCAGCGACTGCTGGCTTACCAAATAAAATATAAAATACAATCAAAAGCAGGCCTGTTCCTCTCTCGATCATCCACTCCGTCGCTCCCCCTTTATGGCTCCGCTCCTTCGTGAGAGATGCGAGACCGGTGTGCCTCGCAGGTGCTGCTCATTAGCAATCGCACAACCGGCCTCGCGACTTTCTCTCACGTCCCTCGGCCGTCCTGCTCACCACACTCTTACAATAACAAAGGCGTATATTGATGACATATATTCCAAATTAAGCGTAATTATAGATCTTGTCGTCAAGCTGATGGATCTTTCACGGATGAGTGAATACATTGATGTTTTTAACATGTCTGGTATGAAGCAGGGCGCAATTGCTAGACGTCGTATACCAGCGCCACACGCAACGCGAGTCCCGCGGATATAAAGGAATAAGGACATTTCATTCTACCAAACTACAAGCAAGTGCTGAATTAATACTTACACATGTCAGTTTATCAGACGAATGAAACTTAAGGTAACAGCGCTATTTCACTTGCTCTAACAGGTTACACTATCTCACTAAACGGCATTTGAGTGTGTTGAATGTTGTTAGTTAGGTTGTGTGTTGGATGTATGAGACTAAATCCGTTAAGCTAGATCAACATTAGAATAATATACAGATCATATTCTAACATTTCATCATGTTGAACTAAATAACATTGATTAGTTTTATGTACATTTGCTCACCTGTCCAATAAAGTAACATGCAACACTCACTCGAAAGATATTGATCTTCGTTTTAGTACTCTTTTTTTTTGTCTCGGTCTGCTTGCCATGGTCCAAAATGTTTGAACAAAACAACAACAGCATGAGTGTCCTGCTAGGCATAATGGGCATAACCCAGTTGTCAACGTCTGTCGCCATGGTTACTATTGCAGTACAAGGTCAAACCTGGCGGAAACCGGGGGTAACGCGGATATGACCGCATTGACTGGCGACTCCTCAACCCTGCTCACGCGCTCCGTTTCCTTGGTTAAAATCGCAATTTTCTCACAATTTACAAATAGTTGGATACATTTGGGATATTGTAAATAATCAACTAAACATAATGTATAACATTGGCCTTGTGGTTTTTGGATATTTTACTGCAAAAATCTGCATATTGTACCTTTTAGTTACAGCAATAAAGTCCAGCAAGATAAAGTTGTTTTATGCGAAACCATAGACATTTATTTACTCATCAAGTTTAATAATAAATACATTATATCATCTTGGAGAGAGTTTCATCATGTTGACTGTTATAACCGAACGCGACGCGCTGTTAAATGCTGAATAGAGAATGACTGACAGTCGCAACGGAGGGGAAGTGTATGAGATCTTGAAGTTAATGACTTAAATATTAATTTCTACCTCACATTATACTATATAATGTCTTCAGAACACTTATAATATAGTGGCGAAAAATGTTATGGTGCTTTAGAATGTTTTTGTGCCTTTTTGTGAGGCTTAACAATAACAGAATAGTATACGCACAATATCGGATTTAGTTCGGCCTCGTCTGACTGATACCCGATCCGGTAAAAATGGCAGTATCGGAGCCGATACTGATACCGAGTATCGGATCGGTGCATCCCTACTTAAGTGTAAGCGTCATTGTTTGGGATAATTTATTTTCATTTATCTTTCACTCTTTCACTTTCGCAGTTCACTCTGGCCACGGACAAATTTCATTTGGGTTACACACCAGATGGGAATTGCAAGGGAGAGATTGAGCACTCCTTACTGCCTCCTCAACGCTTGAGCTGGGACATACCATTGGAGGCAAGATAATAAGTTTCTCTTTTCTCCAGTTATACTTTCCGTGTTCCTATTGTATCTAGGTATGCCATTGATGTCACACAGCAGGTTCTTCATAGAATCTACAAAACATCTGAGGATACTCACAAGGCACAAGAAACACACACAGAAACACAAACAAATAAGGACTTTTTCCTTCTTCTTCCTTCATGATATTATGAAGAGAGATGCATTAAACGTTTCTGTGTTTATCCACAGTAACATACAAGTAGTGGCCAAAAGTTAGGAGGGATATTTGGATATCTGGAGGGGATATTTGTTTTTGTTAACCTTACAAATTTAATTAAACCATCAAAACATGAGAAAAATGTTATAGTTTTCAAATGTAGCTATTCAAGCTCAAATAAAGGGATTATGTAAGGGTTAATGCCCGACGAGGTGTCCATTGTCAGGTTTTAATGGACGACGGCGAGGCGTAAACCGGCCGACGCGCAGCGGAGGACGGTTGCCTCCGCCGAAGTCCATTAAAACCTGACAATGGACACCTCGGAGGGCATTAACCCGCTTATACCATGGTCACTTGCCAAATAAAACATTAGTTTATATTTTAATTAGGCTAAATCTAGTTTTTACAAATAATAACTTGCCTTGCCTGCCTGACTGTTTATTTAGCAACCGGAGATATATATAGTCCGCTTAGCTCGTATCCCTTCAGGTTCACAAATGCATTTTTTTTTTCATGAAACACAAAGGTAGGCATAGTTTTTTTTTTTTTTTTTTTTTTACTCATAAAACAATTAATCAAACAACAATAAAAAAAACAATTAGCTGTGATCTCCAGCGATTTGCGCTTAACGTTATAGAGGGCAATAAATTAATCAGATCAAAGAGAGGGTAATTTGCCTCAGGCTCCTTAGGCTTGAAACGCTGTAACGTTCAGCCTTCTCCTGCCTTGGTTGTCTGGACAGCTGCGTAAAACTCCCGCAGGGTCTCATTCAGGGGTGCGTTTCCCGAAAGCATCGTTATCCAACTATGGTTGCAAGTTACGTCGTTACCAATAGAGTTCAATGGAGCAGAGCAGCAGCGGTGTAATTTTCTCCGTTTTATTTACATTTTTTCTTTCTTCAGCAGCATACCAGTCGTCAAAGTTGCCATATTCTCCATAAATGTTAAAAGAAATAGCACGAAGTCGCTCATTGTTCTAATTAGGCTATAATATCTAACGTTAGATGATAGAGCATGTGACTGCCTGTTGCTATGGTTACTCACAGCCGTTGTAGGCAGCGCATTTATTTATTAATTTCGAATGGTAAACAGGCAGTTTCACCAGAACTACTTTACTAGGTGTCCTCTATCACTTTTTAACGGACACCCTGCAGCCAATCAGAATCGAGTATTCACCCAGACCATGGTATAAAATTTTGATAACTGATCATGAATATGATAAGGAATCGCATACACAGATTTAAAGTACCCGTAAAGGGGATACGTTGCCAATGTATCTGTATACTATGGACAACTAAACACAACGGCTTATAATCAATTATCCATACAGGTAGCCAAAAATAGATCAATTGTATATAATCTATCACAATGAATTATAATTAAATATTATATAAATTAAATATAAATTAAATATAATTAAATATTAATATGTAAATTGTCTTGAATAGATTGATTCCAATTACGGAATTCATTCATCGAATAATCTGTTCGTCCAGCAAACTGACCGTACAATCTTTCGTCAACCCTAAAGAGAAGTTATCCTTAGACTCGCAAGAAAGGCTATCTTTCTGGCCATGAAAAATAACTTTCCTGTTTTATAAAAGTAGTAATTAAAGTATCAACAAATTGTAAACCGTGTAGCTTATATCGAGCAGAGACTTCGTAATATGAGCAACAGACAGAGTCAATAAATGAATATAATGGATTTAATAAAGGAAAACTATGCATACCGGTGATTAACGTTACAAGGAATAAATGTATATACAACAAAATAAAGCAACAAACAATGAAAGAAAATGAGAATAAGCCCCATATTTATCTGCCCCATATTTATCTGCGTCTCATTTGACGCTAAAGGGTGCCATGTGCGTTGGATTTCTACGCTTTGGCAAAAGTGTCGTATATGACGCCTTGGGATGAGAACGGGCTCATAGTTCTCTTGTGTTGCTGAGTAAAGTAGGTGTGTGTGTGTGTGTCGTTCCTTCAGAGCGTCACACATTCTCTCGGTTCTTCTGGAGTGAGTGTAGTCACAGGGAGTTCAAATATCCATTGAAAGTAAAGTTTGCCAGCTAATTCAGGCTAAGTTCATTTCACTCGCAAGTAAATTAACAAAGGAGATTACAAAATGAGAAAACAAAAACTAAAGAAATAAGACGAAGCATAACTGAAAACCGAAAAGAAGAGAATTGAAGAGAAGAGAGCGAGAAAACCACTGGTCCTGACCAATCACCTTAGAGATGTTTGAGAGGGAAAAGACTGTCATTGTCCTGTCAAGTCAGCTCATCTGAATAGTTTATGGCGGCATTGAAAGTCATCCTTTCTCCTTCGGAGAAATGTTATGCAGTACATATAATCATACATTTTACTGTATGCTTATCTGGCTTGTTGTGACCAAGAGGATCCTGGGCTTGGAATTCCTTTTGATGCGGCCCAAGTGAGTGGAGAGGAGTCTACGTTGTTTCTGGAGAGGATAGCAGAGTCGTAAATGGTGTCAGAAAACAATCTAATCCCAGACATGTTGGCACCGTGCCGGTAATTTAGATTGCAGAGAGTCCTGGGCCCGTAGTCATTAAGAATCTAAATGCAAAGAGTAGCTCCTAGTGACAAAATTCTAAGAAAGTTCTGTGGGCGTTTATCTGCGGCTGCTTTGCATCCTCTGGCACTGGAAACCTGCAGCGTTTGGAAGGCAAGATGGATTTATCAAAGTACTATCAGGAAATCCTGAAAACATCATGCCATCAGTGTGGAAGCTGAAGCTTGGGCGTCATTGAACTGGAACAGGGCATAGATCCCAGGCATACCTCAAATTCCACCAAGGCTTGGTTGCAGAAGAAGTCCTGGAAGATTCTACAGTGGCCATCATCACAGTCACCTGACTTGAACCCCATAGAAAATCTCTGGTGAGATTTGAAGGCCGTGGTTGCAGCAACTGGAGGTCAATTGGTTAACTGAACTGGAGGCCTTTGCTCATGAGGAATGGACTAAGATTCCTCAGAAACGCTGCCAGAAGCTGGTGTCTGGTTATACATCTCGTTTGCAGCAGGTCATAATAGCAAACGGGTGTTCTAAGAACTAAAGATGCTTCTGCCATGAAGAGGTTAAACAATTTTGAGACTGCAGAAGTCACTAAAAGTTGCTTTTTGTGTTGAATTTGGGTAAGCCACTTGATACATTTGTTGTGTTGAGATATTTAAATTACTTTTGTTTGATTTGTTAATTGCAAACAGCTAAAAGTTAGTACATTTTGTGAATAAACCTGATTTGCAATGGGTGTTGAATAATTTCGAGTACAACTGTAAATTGTTAAGAAAATGACACATAGACATATTTTAAAAAAAAATATTTATTCACGCTTTAATGTTAGGTAAACCAACAATAACATTACATTAACTAAATGACACATTAAAATAGTTTTATTTATTTTTTACTTCATACATTCAATTGATTTCTTCATTTTAATTTAAATGGTTCTCCGAGTGATAAATCATTTATAAAATAGTAGTTTAGTGAAAGTTAGCAGCCAAGAGTGTTACACAGCCTTGTTTTGCGCAGTCAGTTTACAGCCACGACAAACATATCAAAGTGTAATCTGAGAATCCCGCATTGATCAGAAACCTTTATTCATGTTTCATATCTCTATGGTTCACTGATGTTGTACTGGCTCATACTAATATTTGTATACAGGACATTTGCCTTTTTTAAGGAATTTAAATCTGTTATATTTTTACAATACCGGTATATTATAATGACTATAATCTTTTTAGTCATTATACTATACTATTGTCATAATTATGATTGCTGTAGCACTGTTCAGCCAAACTCTACACATGACTTTCTGTATAGTGTCTGTGGCACTGGGCAGCTCTGAAAACAAGTGTGTTTGATCAGGGATTTTCCCCTCAGCTTCTTCTCAGTGTAAGTAGTTCACTTTCAAATGAACAGTGCTGGGGATCTTTTTTTTTTTTTTTTTTTTTTTTGAGTGGACGGAATAATTAGATATTATGTGATAATGGCCAGCACTCTTCTGCTACACAGTGCTACACTTCTTCAGTCTGAGATTCCAAGTTGGCCTTACAAAATGATGTTGCTGAATTGCTTGCATCCACTGCGATCTTCTTATAGCTTCTTTAATTTAATTGACTTTCAGGAATATTTTTCTTTTCCAAATATGAAATGTATTTCTCTTCATTTCCCCCTAGAACTGAATAAGAAAATGGTTATAGAAACTAGAATTTCTACTTTCCTTCATGCTAAACCATGACCCTAGTTCATGATACACTGGCAACTTAATTTAATTTAACTTAATGTATAATTTAAATACAACATTCAGCAGTGTTCTTCGGGGACCAAAATAAATAAAAGCCATCACAGGCGTACTAATGTCTCCTCTCCTCTGTCTTTCTCTAGGTTCAGACACAAGTTTCCGAGTCGCTTGCTGTTGCGCAAGCCCTGGCTGATGATGTGGACTGTCATGTGTTTCCCTTCAGAGAATTTGGGAAAGGCCGCATTAAGAAAATGAAAATCAGCCCAGATTCATTTGTGCAGCTGGCACTGCAGCTGGCTTACTACAGGGTACATGCTACACATTTCGACACAAAGGCGAAAGCATTGATCATTAGTTAGTCATTCCCAAAATGGTGATATATGTGTTTTACACATGAAGTTGTCTTCTAGGATAAAGGGACTTTTTGTCTGAAATATGAAGCCTCAATGACCCGTTGCTTTTTAGGATGGAACTTCCTCTTGCCCCATAAAATGTGTCCATATTTTAATTGAATAATGAATGCTCAGATGAATGCAGTGTTTTACACATGAAGTTTACACATGAAGTTGTCTTCTAGGATAAAGGGACTTTCTGTCTGACATATGAAGCCTCAATGACCCGTCTGTTTCGTGAGGGTCGCACTGAGACTGTACGCTCCTGCTCCAATGAAAGCTGTGCCTTTGTCCTTGCACTGGAAGCAGGAGAGGTGATGGCTATGCTTTGATTTATTTATTTATTTTAAATACTTCCTTCTACCATTCAAAAAAAAAAATTTTTTTAAGAAGGAACTGTCGAAAACCCTATCAGCAGTTCATAATGCACTTTTCACTTTATCAGCATGCCTCAGTTGACTTAAAAAGCTAGTTGGAATTTTTTACAGTTTCCGTGTTGGTTATTGACAGCACTGCACCAATTAGCTGAATGCCAGTAAAAAATAACATGAAGGAATCAATTATCAATTTAGCAGTTCAAAAATTAAACATAGTATAACAATATTAAATATAACACTAAAATACATTAATAAATCACTTTTCAAATGGTCAAATAAAAAGACATTGAAAACTGTTTAATTCAGATTTAAAACGTTAGAGGTAAGTCCATTGACTGTTCTCATATTCAAACTGCCCAATACTTATATTAATTAGACAAAATAATAAAGAAAATCCATTTTTATTTTCTTTATAAAAATGCTATTTTAAAATTGAACTATTTTTAAACATTTTATTAAATAACTAAATACAGTTTTTTTCATTGTTTAATTTAATTCATTGCTCGTTAATTTCCTCATTTTATTTTTTATGTGCCACTGTCCTCCATAATTGGCACCTTACTTTTCTGAGAGACTTGTGCTGTCCTGTAACATCTCGCGTGCCAATTATTTAATTTTGCCTGCTTTTATTCATAGGACAGAGAACATTGCCAGAAGCTGTTCCGAAAGGCTTCCGAGAAGCATCAGAATCTTTACCGCTTGGCCATGACTGGATCTGGCATTGATAGGCATCTCTTCTGCCTATATGTGGTCTCAAAATACCTGGGAGTAGAGTCTCCTTTCCTCAAAGAGGTCAGTGTTTGTAATGGCCAGATTTGTGTGTTCATTTTGAAGAGTTAAGGATAAGATAATCTTAATCCAATCCAAGCCATCCAAAATGGTTTCATGAGGTTATGTGCTTTTTCCTTAGAGATCTACTCAAAATCCCAACCTAGTCACACTAAATGCATCTCAATAGCACTCGTTGTGTTTATCGTGCAATTTATATGTGAAAATTAGTTTTTACATGGATATGAAGTGTGGGGTATATGTATTATACGTTTGGGTTGGATTAGTGTTGCAGGAGGTGTGTGTATTACACGCAATAAAGTGCGTATCATATGCATGTAAAAACTAATTTACACACAATTTACACACAATTTATACACGTATAAATTGCATGATAAACGCAATACTTGCTATAGAGACGCATTTGCATGAGATCAGGCTGCAAAAGCCTAAGAAATAATAAGTGAATAACTCTTCAACTAAACTAGTGCATAAAGATGCAAAAACACATTAATTTGCAGCTGATTGTTTGTTAAAAATGTTCATGTGTGATATAAAGGGGATTCATGGGGGAGCGATGCATGTGCGTGCATGAAGTTGTTTATTTTGTTCATGTGGCTGTACGTGGCATGCAGGTTTTGTCAGAGCCTTGGCGCCTCTCCACTTCTCAGACTCCTGTGCAACAGATGGAGCTGTTTGATCTTGTCAACCATCCTGAGTTCATCTCGCTAGGAGGAGGCTTTGGTCCGGTGAGCAACTGATCAGCACATACAGTACATATACATAAACTGGTAGAAGCACTCCTTTGTTCACTGTGTTCGTGTTTTGTTTCTGTGCAAGGTGGCTGACGATGGCTACGGTGTCTCTTATATCATCATGGGAGAGGAAATGATCAGCTTCCATGTGTCCTGCAAGCACTCCTGCACAGAGACTGTAAGTGCAGTCAAGCATAACTTCAGATCAATGAATTGCTTGTCTTTTTATTTTTAATGTCCAAATCATGGCATTATTTTGACTTCTTGTTCTGCACTGCAAATTAGCTTAACCCTCAGGTGCTCTTCGTTTCGGAGTCACACTTGTTATCTTCCCGGTCAAAAGTGACCGGACACCTAAAAATGAAACTTTCTCCATCCCAGTAAAACCAATGCAATTTATTTTTGTTCAGTTATATTTTTTCTTTTTAATTTTGTATTTTGAGCCAATTTTATGTTACTTATTAATATTTATGCAATATTTATGGTCCATTTTTGCCATTGAAAATAATACAAACTTTTTTTATATATATACATTTTTTATTTTATTTTTTTTTAAGCAGTATTTTAGGTTAAAATAGAGACTAGGCCTTCCAAAAAAAATTTTTGAAGACAGATTAGCGCCATCTGGTAAGAGTATGGAGAGAAAGCGTAGAACCATGTTGTAACCACTAGATGAAATGTACAGTTCTCTATGGAGAGGCATGTGAATTCCCCAGCTGTTCATCGACACGTTTACTTATTTTTTTTTGTTATAGGTGGATTTCAACATATATTTAAACAATCTCAAAGACTATTTCTTATCAAGTTTTAGATTTTTTTTTTAATAGTGATTTAAAGTGTGATTTAATAGTGTTAGTTTTTGCATTATGATTACAGTCAAACCTAAACATTGTGTTAGAAAGAGAATGCTAGGAAGCAAATTTTATACACATTTTTTTTATTCTGAATTTGTACAAAAAACAAACAAAAAAAACAATGCAATTCATTCAATGATAACACTTTATGTAAAATAATATTTAATGAGCATGTCTATTTGTGTCACTGAACCGTAACAAATATATAGGTGTGTGTTTATTTGTGCGTGTGTGTGTCTGTTTGTGAGTGTGGGTGAGTGTCAATATCACAATCTTGATGTTTTAGAGTGTCACCCCTTCATTGTTGAGCACTTTTTTCTGCATCATGGCCAATTTGTAGATTGCAAATTGTAGTTTGAAGTTGTAGATTGTTGTTTTTGTCAATTTCCCATTCATTTCCTATGGTCGGTCATGTTTGACAGAAGAGCAGAAGTGTATCTCATTTTTTTACGACCACTTAAAGTGCTCGAATCATGACCTCAATTTTTTTGTGTGTTCACATACATGTTGCCATAAAAGTCACGAAGTTTCGTAATTTTCCGATGAAGCAGTGATTTTTAAGAAATTCAAAACAGATTTTTTAATCACAATTTATTGGTGTTTTTGTGTATAAAAGTGTGTGTGTGTGTGTGTGTGTGTGGGTGGGTGGGTATGTCTGTTTTGCACTCTTGATGTTTTAGAGTGTCACCCCTTCAATGCTGAGCACTTTTTTTCTGCATCGTGGCCGATTTGTTGATTGTACACACAAAAATTCTCAAAGTTTTTGTGATTTTGTCAATTTCCCATTCATTTCCTATGGTCGGTCATTTTTGACCGAAGAGCACAAGTGTGACTATTTTTTTTACGACCACTTAGCATGCTCGGATCATGACCTCAATTTTTTTGTGTGTTCACATACCCAATGGAATAAAAGTCACCAAGTTTCGTAACATTCCGATGAAGCTGTGATTTTTAACATTTCAAAACATACATTTTTTCGGTCAGAAATGACCGAAGAGCACCTGAGGGTTAATAACAGTGTCCAGTTCAAACTTATAGGCTTTGTAGCAGACCTTCAACTTGAAATAAACAGGCTTGGCAGTGTTTCCATACAACTGTACTTTAATTCAGATGAGTGAAAAAAACTTAAAAGGAAAATAACAAAGGCAGTTTAGCCAGAGACAAAATAATCCTTTGACAGCTAGCATCACATTGATAACAGCATAGCAGGTAACAGCCGAATCATGAAAATCATGAAATTAATCTCATTACCATTTACATGAATGTATAAAATGAATTAATATGAAATTACAAGTACATGTACAAGTATAAGTACATAAGTACATTACAATGAACCACATACCTCGCTCTGTATATCAAAGGGTGCTAAAGAGTGGTGATCCAGGAAAGGCTGCCGCCATTCAATTAACTTGGATGTTGGAAAGCTAAGTGAGCTTTATTACTGCCAAAACAAATCAAGCGCAGAGTGGAATAACACATCAAAGAAAAAAAAAAAACACTTTAGTTGAAGGTTACAGTATTTCCAGTCTCTTGACTTTAAACATGCATTGTCATGCAACGTGCTTTCTTGTTTTTTATTTTACGAGTATGAGTATGGAGAGATTAGTCACCCATGCAGTAAGTCGCATGAAATAAAAGGATAATGAAAACAGGATAATCATAATCAAACACTGCTAGTGGTCATCTACAGGCTACATAATAAATCATTCATTTTTTTCACCAAATTCTCAGTATAATAAATATAAAGCTGTTAAACATGTAGAGTACAAACACCAGGTTGCCAGGTCTTTGTAACAAAACCAGCTCAAAGGCCAATCCAAACTAGCCCAAAAAGCTAGCCCAATGACCCTATCCAAATATCAAAACTCAATGCCATTGTTACGCTTTCTCGTGTTTGGGTTATCCGTGTCCGTGGACGTATAGAGAAGCACACAACAAAGAGAATCCATTTCAGGAACTTGACTTTATTTCTTTGGGTTTGTATACAAGCATCTACAACCACCAGAGCCTGCTGCGAACATCTGCCGTTAAACATTAAACATTAAGCAATGACCCAACGTAATGACACAACCACATCTGTCTGGCTAAAACTGAACTCATGTAAAATGTGTAACAATATTTTACAGTCACTGTTTTGTGTTACACACTATTTCAACTTGAAAATCACATGTAGTAGCCTAGTGATTATAAACAGACAGTTTTCATAAAGGCTCTTCCCTCAGAAAACTTTCAATCTAGCACAATTTTCATGGGTAGAAAGCCAAACATTTCAATACAAGCTTTTCAGTCATACTATTTATGCACCATGTCAAACCTTTAAACCGCGAGACAAAATTTACCTGCGGCAACAGTTTAAAAGTAGCTCAATTTTGCTGGAAAACCACAAACTTGGCAACCCTGAGTACAAAGTACAAAAAGTTAAAGGAAAAAAGAGTTATACATCTGATATAGAATATACTGTAGTTCAGGTTTTGTGTTTCGGATACTCCAGATACTCCGATACTCGGATACTTTTTTTTTTTACTCAGATCTGCATGACAACATAAAATAATATGATTTAACTTTACCAGCTAGCAGTTGGATAGTTTTTCTCTTCGTAGTTATTTTGAAATCAAATTGAGACTATAAAACAAAAACAAAAAACCTACCTTGTGAGTACAGTTAGACTTTAAAGAATTTAGTATTCTCAGATATAACGGGCACTTGATGTCCTGCTCTGCAAGATAAGTGATTTTATTTCATAATGCGATGAATGGTGTTTTTTGTGTTCCCTAAAAATGACAAGTGGTGCTCACTGCAGAACAAAATGATTTCCAGCTCCCCCTCTGTGGACCTTATGGGTGGAGTTGTGTTTATCGCAAGGGTTATGGATGGGCTTAGAGTGCGGTTGCACTGAGCAGATGATGTCTTTCTAAAATGATGCTATTTTACACATAATCCAGAGTCTCTTGTACTCCTGTTTGGAAACTAAAATGCAGTGTTCTATTTTTTCTTGTTCATAGGATTCTCATAAATTTGGCTCTCAAATTAGTCAAGCCATGATGGATATTATGTCTCTGCTGAACCCAGACTTCAAGGCAGCAACAAAATCCAACCCTGCCAAACAGTCATAAAATTCTTACAGGAAGACTGGATGCACATTTGTTTGAAGACTGGCTTCTATTTATGTAATTTGTGGATTTTATATTTAATTATTTGATGTTTGTAGGTTTGTGGGTGCTATATATTGGAGCTATCGTAGTGTCAATAATGAAAATAAAATAAGTAGCGTTTCTGGTTTTGCTAATTGTTGCTAATTTGCTATGGCGGTATTCTGTATACAGTATATATATAATTAAAATAGGTGTTCCGAGGAATTACGTTTGTCTGTCTGATTGCTGGCTCTTTTTGTGAGAAAAAAAAAAAAAAAAAACGTGCAAAGATTTTATTTTTTTTGGTACCTTAAACGGACAATTTTTGTATCTTATATTCCTCCAAAAGGTGCAAATGCATACCGTAGACGTAGAGTATATTTATATGTACCCAAAAGTTACTACTACCAACCTTTTAGGGGTAAATAACATACAAAGTTTTCTTGTAGTATAATGTAGCTTTTAATGTGTGTGTTGAATTTCATTGTTTTGTAAATTAATTTGAAGAGAAAATTATTTTGCTAGCAAGTAAGATTCCTCCTCCATTTAAGAAATGCTGCTGTTTTTTTTCTTTTCTTTTGGAATATCAGATATAAAATGTCTATAGCACCTGTTAGATAACACTGAATTGATTTTGAGGAAATTACATCAGTACCCGAAAATAAACCAATCAATTATAGGGTTCTTGTGTCAATGTCCGGTGCTCTGCTGAAAATTTGTGGTGCCTTGCTAACCAGACAAACCTTGAAGAAAAATCTGTGTGGCTGCAGTGTGACAGTGAGAGGAGGGCATCCTGTCACGTGCAACACTCTTTAACATTTCAATACAATTCCATAGAACAAGGTTTGTTTGTTCCTTTTTACTGTCAAATGATGCTCACACACATCATGAAGATTACAATTTCTTACACATGGTTCAGAAATGACATGACGTCAGTCTCTTGCCAGATGTTTAATGGATCAACTTGCCAAAATGATTGTAAAAGCAGTATTAATAAATGTATATCAAATGGATCTGCTTGCTGACAGCGGATGCAGATCAGTAAAGTAATGCAGAGAATTCTTGGGAACTGAATTGTAGCATACTGTACTATTTGTGATTACTACTAAGATGGGATATTTGTTTTTAATGACCCTACAAGTTTGATTCAACCAGCAAAATGAGGAACTTTTTATTATTTTTGAAATATTTTAAATATGAGGAAAATTTATCTGACAAATTTATTTAGCAAAAAAGGCCAACGATAGCTTCAGGTTTTAATTTCACTATGCAAAAAATTCATATTGACTTCAAAACAATCAGTTATTAAAATTTTGTTGGTTCTCTCATTCTTGCTTGTGTTCATAATTTGTTTGTATGACAGCCACGCCAAAAATTATGTCAGCACAATTTACGTTTCAATGTGTTATCACAAATAAAACAATTAATTCAAAGCCAAACTATGCGTACTCAATAGGCTGACAAAAGTTTTAAACAATATTTGAATAAAGGATTATTCGAATAAATGTTGATTCACTTTTGACCACAACTTAAAATATAGCAAAGTAGGCTATTGTTACCGATTTGTTCTGATTTTTTTTTTTTTTATTATTAAAGGAGGAACAACATTGAATTGGTCTTGTAAATTATTCAATTATAGGCCTACTGTAATTTGTAATTGTCGTTTATATGTGCCTTTCAAATGGCTTCTTGTAGCCTATATGATAATCTAAAACATGAGTAGGCATAGCCTATACGTTCAAGCAGAGTTGACCTTCTTTTACCTTTAGGTGACACATTTATCTGTTGGAGAGACACTGTAAATAAGGTCAAATAAAATTATTTATATTGCCATGACATAGGTATTCCTCTGACGTCTTTCCAAAGTATTATTTTTATATTACACGTTGCCAAACAAAACAAGTTTTATTCACATTAGAAGTCACAAACGGTGCCGCGAAAGGGGGTGGGGACTTTCTCCATTTGTCAATAAGCAATTGCGCCTAAAGTTGCGGTTGGTTTTTAAACAGCACTGCTCTTAGCACAGTAAACCCACGCAACGTATAAGAACATGGTTTACTCTAAATAAACTGTCATATTCCACTCCGTCACTTTCTCCCGCTTCCTATCTGGTATCTTAGGGGGATTTTAAACTCCCGGCAACACAAGGGGGCTCGTTGCTTTAAAGCATGGAAAGCGAAAGTATGTTGTAGATCAAGACAAGGCGGCTGAAAGGTAAGGCGTATATTTGAGAGAGTGCTATTAGATGCATTATTTTCGAACTTAAATCTCCATGGGGGTTTAATTATTAGGCTATAACATGTAATGCTATTTATTTACTTCTTAAATATTACAACAAATTATATTGTTACAAGCTATTGTTTGGGTAGTCATATATTATGCTACTATTCCTGATTTTTCTGTCCCGTTTTGGCGGCTGTTTGATAATGTAAAGCCGACAGTATCGGTATTATTGAGTGGAATGGCAACTTTTCTTGCCACTGACACGCGCTGCTGAAGGCTGCTGCACCTTGTAGTGGGGAACATGTGCAGTTTTTTGGCAGCGCAACCGCTGGATTTTTGTGCGAAACGAGGTTTTCATCCTTTTGTTTGGCAGAAATTTAGTAACGTTAGACATTGATTTCCCCAACGATTGATGACAGCATTTTTGTAATCACACACTAACGGTTCAGATACATTATTGTATGTCTGATGTTGCATGCTTAGGCTAAGTTACTATAATATTGCATAGCCTACCTTCAGGACATGTAGCCTATCCATTGCAATAGCCAACTATGAGGTCATCGAGCTGTTTGTCTATACAGGGGTTGGACAATGAAACTGAAACACCTGGTTTTACAACACAATAATTTGTTAGTATGGTGAGGGCCTCATTTTGCATCCAAATACTTCATCTTGGGAATGACAGATAGAAGTCCTTCACAGTGACCAGAGGGATTATGAGCCGTTCCTCTTCCAGAACAGTGTCCAGGTCACTATATGATGCTGGTGGACTCTCTCCTCCAAAACACCTCAATAATATTTAGATCTGGTGACTGTGCATGTTCAACGTCACTTTCATCTTCATCAAACCCTTCTGTCACAAGTCTTGCTGTGTGTGTTGGTGCATGATCATGCTGATACACGGTTTGAGCATCAGGTGCTCATGATCCTCCAGAAGGGTTTGGTAGTCCTCGGCAGTGTCGTGTCCATCAAATACAATCAGGATTGTCATGATATTGGAGCTCAAACCATCACTGATCCACCCGTGCTTTACTCTGAAGATTGGCCGCCAGGCATATAGATGTGAAACCTCCAACATTGGCCAGTGTTTCAGTTTCATTGTCCAACCCCTGTACGTGTAATTAATTCAGTGTTAACAGTTGTCTGTTCATTGTCCTTTGCATGAAAATCAAGTGCTGCGTCCCAAGTCGCCTAACGTAACTTATACTACAGTACGACCTAAAAGTATATCTAACGTTATTTTTGTGAGGAAAAAGTACATACTTTTTTTTTTAGCAAAAGAGTAGGCAAGCTTTGGGACATATTACTTCGTCATCTTTAACGGACAGATCATCATCATGTGCATCCTATCAACATCACCGTAAACTGCCCTGTCGGCTCTAGTCTATGCATGCACGGCGGTGCATGACGTATTTCCGGGCAAGGTCTAAGGATGCTGGATTACTTCCGCCGACCGTAGAGTCCTGTGCCGAATTATCACGTCACTTTGTAGGCCAAAACGAGTTAGCATTTTAGCACTCCTGGTTCCCGTTCCCTCCTGGTTCCATTTTTGAATGGGTTTTTGCTAAATCGCCTGAAATAAGGTCTTTGGTGAACAAAGCCTCTAATTATTTTCTTATTACTTTTTTCTCTAACACACAGTTATAAACTGCTTGTGTTTTTTTTAAACTTTGCTTGTGCTTGTTTTTTTTTTAACTTTATGTAGGCTTCAAAATGTATAAATGTTGGATTAACTTGTAAAGATTATCTTGATAGACAAAACGTGTAAGGGTCACACAACTCTTTGTTGAACACAGATCTTATTTTTTGCGATTTTCCAAAAGTCTATGGGGAAAATGCATAGCTTTTCGATCGAGGGAACCCATGCGACGCTAACGACCGAGTTGTCCTACAAAGTGACATCATCACTTTGGCACTCTTTAGACCATAGGCTTGTTTGAGATGAGCAAAATTTGCGCAGAACCAATCACCGGTGATCAGCGCGAGATGCATGCCGGTTAGAAATGTGTTTTTTTTTTCTTTTTTTCTTTTCTTATTTTTGCCGGTTAGAAATGTGTCCGAGTGCGGTCCGCCTTGCTCTGATGTCATGCCGACGTATGTCAAAAAAACTCTCCACCATAGATATCTATATAAAGGCTAAATATCTCGTCCACGCTGCTGGCCAATGGAGGTCGACGTCTGCACCTGGTGGCCATCTTGTCACAGGCAGCTCGCTCACTCGTAACATTGTGTTAATGGTACATGTACTATTTAAATAACCATAACTTGCTCAATTTTCTACCGATTTTCAAACGGTTTGGTTTGTTATAAACGTCAGAGATGTAGTTATGACACAGCATACTTATGAATAATAAGTGTATAAATAAATAATCATCTAGATAATTATAGCCTCGTTAATAACGTTTGTAAGAAACCAAACCGTTTGTAAATCCGTCAAGATTTCAACGAGATAAGAGTATTTGTGTTCGTGTTGACCACTCATCTTACATCAGCTTATCTGTGACAAGATGGCCGCCGGTGAGGACGATAGAAACTCCGCCTTAAGACATCTAGCCTTTATATAGATGTCTATGCTCTCCACCGACTGCGCTGATCAAAAGCACGATGGAAACGACTTGCTGACGACACAATGCTCATTGGTTTAAACAACCGTGATGTATTGTTCTTTTTTTAAATGTTTAATTTTAAAACTGATATCATGTTTTATGTGTATACATATGGGTGAATAAACTCTCTGACAGTGCCATATGGGTTATTATGTGATGTCATTTTTATTAAAACAATATATAAAAACACGTCTGTATTAAAGAAAAAATAATTGATAAACACATATTTGGAATATAATTAAATAAAAAGTACTTTGGTTGTCTTGTTCATTATATTTATTTTCATATAAAAGCAGCAGAACTTAAAGGGTTAGTTCACCCAAAAATGAAAATTAAGTTATTAATTACTCACCCCCATGCTGTACCAACCCTGTAAGACCTTCATTCATCTTCGGAACACAAATGAAGATATTTTTGATTAAATTTGAGAGCTGTATCACTACCACATAGGCAAACTAAGGGATTGAAACTTGACGGCCCAGAATACTTTTTGTGCGGGAAAAAACAAACAAAAATAACGACTTTATTCGACTATTATTTTTCTACCTTCTGGGCCTGAGATGAGAGTTCAAGAGATTTCCACGATGCATGTGCGAGAACTGAACAAGAAGTAGTAGAAAAATAACGTAGTTCTCGCGCATGAGATTTCCACGAAGCATGAACAGCCACCGCTGTTACCCCAACGTGTGATGGGTTGTGGGCAATATTAGCCATTAGAATGTGCATCGATATGTGCGTAGAAGTAGTAGACCATCCGGGTCTCTTCGGAACACTCATTTCAACATACTACGATTTGGGACATACTATAACTATAAGATCATATAATGACAGTTTACAGAAAAGGAACAAATTATTTGTATAGTTATTTTGATAAAAGGTTACGAGTGCTCATGAATTAAAAATAATAAAATAATAATAATGATGTGCAGTGATAAATCATTTTTAATCGCCTATATAGGCAATTTCATGGTGATTTAATATGACAGTCTACAGAGAAGGTACATATATTTACTTGCCTGGTTAAAACCAGACCATTCTCAGCAGTAACCGAGTTATGGTCATGGCAAAGCTTCATAGACAAATCATTTCCAAAGGGACTTCGAGATGATATATAATCTTTCTGTCTCCAAAAATCACCAATTGCCTCCTGTGAAATGTCTCCTACTGTGACAGCTGCCATAGCACCTGTCCCTGAATGTTGACTGTTTTTTCTAGTGAGTGGAGGGGGTTATCCATAGGTCCATTCGCATATTATCCGTGCACTCAACTGCCATGCATTATATAAGGCTTGGTGAATGAATAAACAAATGAGTAAGCGATTATGAAAATGGTTTTCTTTTCAATATCAAACTTTTCAGCCCTATTGCACCATGACATTAAGCGGTATGTGCCACTGGAAATGCTTCACAGACCAGCGGTAACTTCCTGTTGCACATGCCAATTGCTTTATGTCATTGCATGTGCCACAACTTCCAAGTTCAACAGCATGTGCCACTGCCATCGAAATGTCAGTTTCACAGACAAGGTCATTGTCCTAACACCAATTATGTTTTTCTAAGGCATGTTTATAAAAGCTACTTAAATTTCCTTATTGAAAAAAGGCCAAATTCAATCTATTAATCTGTGAAACCTCAACGACTGGAGTTGAGAAAGAGATTTTGTGTATGCATGTGTTTGTCTTTACTGATATTAATGCTTAAATGATGTATACTTGGTTGGCAACTTCAACCAGATTTATAACAACTTTGACAGGATTTATAGTGATTGGGTATACACTCTTTCCAGTTCAGTAATATTAATATTGCTGCTGTTATACGTACTCTGTGTCCTTTAAGTGAAAATCCATTAAAGTTACTCTAGAGGCCACTAAATTGTCTATGTTGGGAACCATTAGTCACAAAGATAAAAGAGACAGTGCATTTGTCTAGAATATGAATCAATAAACAGTCCATTATAGAATGAGCTAATTGTCAATTTTAAATTCATATGATCTTTTTTGTCATTTCTTAAATACTTTCTCTTTCACTCTGACTCTCTTCTATGTTCCCCATGTTGTGCATCAGCAAGGAAAAGCATTGTGTTATATGGAGCTGAACTCTGATGGTTAACAAAGCACCGTAATGATTGGGAAAGTCTGGACACTCATCACTGTGAGTTATAATCAATAAGTCTTCGCTAATTAGAGCCTTTTAAAAAAAAAAGGCTTTTAGTGAGATGGATTGTTGTTTAAATTGTTTGGACATTGTATTACAAGAAGTCACAGTGTTTTACAGACTTATGAGACAAATTATTTCAAATGACACAGTAGCTCATTTTATTTCTTCTCTTTCCCTCACAGGCATTTTCATTCATCACGTATATTCATCATGTCCAATCTGAATGCATGCCTCAAGATTTGAAGACACATCTGGTGAGTCCTTCCTTCATGTTTTTGACATTTTCTGCACCACACAGTATTCAATTCAGTCTAAAAGTGGCCAGGTTAAAAAATTTATTAGGTTAAACTGTAGGTTAAAAATGATTGAAACAGTGACTCAGACAAATGAAATTTCTTAGAAAGGCTCTAGCATCATTTGTTTGCAGATGCCACTTGGTTTGATATTTTGAGTTTAATGTAATGACATTCCTACTACAATTGTTATCCAAATACTTGTTGAGGTCACTGTAAATACTGTACAGAAATATCCTGCTGAATGACTAAATAAGCTTAGTGAATTCATACACTAGACGACAAAGTACATGGTCAAATAGTGTTGCGTAATAACCACTAAAGTGTAAACTGTTGTACCTGACAAGCATGTGCTCGATTCATGTCTATTGTAGTAGTGTGGTGTTTTTATTTTCACAAAATCTTGCCATGCAATACTCAGGATAATCTACAATCATTGTAAAAAAATTAACCACTTTATTTATGATACAAGATGATATCCTAATCACCCTTTCAGATGTTTATTTAATGATTTACTATATACTGACTGTATGATTCCTTAAACATGTACTGTATCTTCTTTGAATCCTTATAGTATGATGAGTTGTTGAACGACCACATGTTTGAGATTAAGATATTCCCATCTGAAACGAAGGTAAGAGCAAACAACATAATATTACTTTTATTTACTTCTATTAGAAGTTGTGGGTAATAAACAGTATCAGCCACTTGCGATGTTGTTGTTGTAAAAAGGGCTACGAAATCGACCCAAATGGCGGGGTTCGATTCGTGGTGAAGGTTTCAAGCGTGTTCCGTCTTTTCCATAGCAAAGTGATGCTTAATTAAATGCAACACATTTAATCTTGTGTATTAACTCGTTTCATCTGACTCCATAAAATGAAAAGGGTTATCAATGATATCTGTGCATCATTTAATACGTTAATGCTCGACTATTCCTTTTAACTCTAATGAAAATAAAGTCAAAGTCTGTTAGAATAGTCAAGTATAACAATTTATTATGTCAGGTAAATGTATTATTACAGTTCCACAAGATAATCAGAGCAAACCATCTAATGTTTTAAAACAAAGAAACTTTACCCAACATATTAACTACATGAATGCAGAGTCTCGGAAGACCCAGCATCATGGGCTGATCTGATACAGAATAGCAGCCCTGAACTCTTGTGCATTTTCCTTAAATAGAGCTAGGCCTGATCCAATCACCAAATTTACCTGATCTAATCACCAAAGTACAATGGAAGGTTACTGAATCCCCCACCATGCTTACTGGGGGAAGGAGAATTTGCACTCAGACAAAAGGTAGAAGGTGATTAACTCAAAGATATTTCTATATTCTTAAAAACCTTATTACCTTTTCTTTTACTTCTTTGGGAACGAGACATTATTACCAGTCACCCTGAGACTTTCAAAATGATATCAAACACTCCTTAAAGATTATCACATTCACATTAAAACCATATATATTCTTGTGTGAGTTTCCTCTGCAAGAATGGGTGTGTGTGTGTGTGTTGTTCAAGCAAGGTCCTTTTATCTTTAGAAGACACTGGTCAGACTGATTACATCAACCGGTTCCAGTTTTCCAGTCTTACAGTTGTCCCACATATATTTGTACAGAAAAAGACTAAAAAAAATATTAACTTAAGCCACAAAACTGCAATTATCAGTCAGTCTATTGGTATGGATTTTAGTTTAAATAATTGAGTTTGGTAAATATTATGTTAAAAATGTTATGGTTATGATATTTTTTTCTGTTTAATCAGTGTATCCTGTGTGACTGTTTTTTTCAGGAGAACGAGCTTCTTTCAGTAATAAACACTCTATGTTCATCCTGGACTAAAAATAAGAATAAGGATAAAGATAAATTCAAGATACTAACAAGTTTTGAAATAATGCTTGTGAGTATACTTCTTATTCTATCATATTCTGTCATTCTGTTTTGAATATCGAATAGAATCATTTCTGACGGCATGATTTTTCTGTTCTTCTAGGAATTTTTTCAAGAAAGCAATTTTGAAATGATTTGTGCGAATCTCAATTGCACAGATGCTTACACATTAAGCTGGGTTAATGTAACCGTATTTGGTGATATGTATAGAAGATCTTGCAAAGGATCAATATCAGGTATGGACATTTAACCTTTTATCATCTACCCTGTTTCTTTCCCTTTTCCCCCCAACCTTTATTCATTCATAGTATGATCAATGGCCAACATAAATCTCATTGGCAAGACTTCCATCTATTAGTAGCTGAAAAAATTAATAAGCCAGAATATTTAATATACAAACAAAATTGCATGAAAAATGCAGATTTTGCTCACATTCTCTCACTTTTCTACTTAGATCTGAATTGCCCATCAAAAAGTAAGTTATTTGACTCTGTCTCCCTTGTATCCACAATGTATCTTTTTTTTTTTACTCTTTCTAAAAATTGTTGTTTTGGTCATCCTTTAGTTTAGGGTCCTATTCTCACTATTAACTATTAACTATGAATTTTGCCGTAATAAACTCCTAATAATAGTCAGTAAGATAGTTGTTAAGTTTAGATAATGGGAGGATTAAGGGATGCAGAACATGGTCATGGAGAATAAGGCATTACTATGTAATTTATTAGTATTAATAAATAGCCAATATCCTAGAAATTTGCTTGCTGATAAGCAACTATTTAATAGTGAGAATTGGACCCTAAAATTTCTTTCTAACCCTAAACGTTCTTGATAAACCAGATATGAAGCAGATATGAAAATGGTGCTAAAAGAATTTGTGTTTAAAAATAACTGATTGTTTTTCATACTTACACACAAGCTGTGACTTTTGTGTATGAAATGTTGTGATGTTGGGTCATTAAATTTGGTCTGGATGTTTCTAGTAACTCTTACTGTTAAATTTGAATTATTTCCATGAAACTGATTTCTATAGTTCTCTGAGCACACTGTAGTATACTTTCATCTCTGTTTGCTGAAGCACATGAATCATTGCTACAGTATATGGTGAAATTATGTGTAATATGCTACATTTTTAATCACATAGGCAAAATAACGACCAGCCCAAGCATTGCTGCTGCTGAAAGTAAGCTAACTCAGTTTTTAGTTTATTTTCACATTTGCAAACACCGATTTTTTAACTCATTCACAAGAATTACAATTTTAACAGAACATTCATGTACATGTATAATATGAATATTTATGGATATTAATATAAATATTCAAAGTTTTATGTTAGATTTAACTATTTTAAACTACATGAACTAAACAACCACTACTAAACAAACACCATTATTAATATGGTGACAACTAGCCACTAAGTATCTCTTTTTCTGTCTGCTTTTTGATAAGCATCTCTGTTTTTTTTACTTGTTGAACCACATTTGAACCTGAAGATAATGTTTGGGTAAAACCTCATTTTCAAAGGTTTTTAGCAAAAACACAAAATTTATAATTTACATTTTGACTCTTTTAAAAAAATACATTCTGTATTTTTATAGTACAGATTTTGTCAAAAATGTTTGTACATATATCCACTTTCTGAGCACATGCCTGGTATTAAATTGTTCTGTTGAATCTAACTCTAATATACTCTGTTTCTACTAAATTACATAAGAGACAACATTTGTTACAACGGTCGATTCAATCACCATAGCTCATAAAAGTAAGCAAAGTCAGTATTGTATTCAAATACTCAAAACATTTTACAGCACAGATGCTTTGACTGACATCTGAATTGACATCATACCCCGTTTTCTAATACATAGGCTCACCACCTTTAACAACGGTCAGCCCAAACATCGCTGCTCCTGAAAGTAAGCAAATTCAGCATTGAAGACATCATTGCCCGGTTTCACAGACATTTACACACTCTCTCATACATGCACAATATGACGGATAGCCTGCTCCAGATTACACTCCTTTACACTCTTATAAAAAAAGTTTTATAGGCTTCTATATAGAATCCTAATCCTTGACTCAATGATAAAGAACTGTAGGGAATACTCCTGTTAGCTCAGATACAGGGAATATAATTTAAATAACGAATCATAAACATGATCGGGAATTCCCTAGAAATTATACATTTACTCGTAAGGGAATAAGTTGCTAATGTTCTGCATGAATGACTAAATACAACAAATTATCTTCAGTTCTCCTTACAGGCAGGCAAAGATACAACAATTGTACTATCAATAATTAATCACAACAAATTATAATTAAATATTAATACGTCAATTTCGTAAAATAGATTGATTCTGAGGACAATTCCCCATGTGATTAATTTAGTACCGACTAATCTGTTTTGTTCAGCAAACTAATCATCCAATCTGTATCACCCCATGAAAAAGTATCCCTCTGATAGACTTTTAGGAGACGCCATTCCTCTGGAATTTAAGTATCAACAAATTTGTAAAGCACGTAGCTTGACCGCAACATTAAAGGGACTTTGAAAAATGCGCACGAGACAGTCAATAAAACGAATATAACGTATTTAATAAATGAAACTACACAGGTGAACTAAAGTTGCATGGAATAAATGTATATACAACAGACTAAAGCAACAAAACACTGACAGAGAATCTAGTAGGGAGGAGGGTAGACACAGAAAGCCAGCAAGAGACTGTCTTGCTGCTTGGCTGATGGTGTAAGCCAGCCAGGGAAGCTCAGCTTGGAGGGCAAACTAGGGAAGACAAAAGACACAGCAAGCACAAGACACGACGAGACTAAACTAGTTGAGACAAGAGTTAGCTTTGACTAGAAACTATTCTAGATTGTCAAACAATGTAGCACACAAAGTCTATGGCACATAGAAAGTATACCATGAGGGCAAGAGAACACATGTATGGAGCTGAGAGCAAGAGGAGCAGGTGAGCACACTCAGACAAACGAGGACCCAACTAGACAAGAGTGCGTGGTACTGGGAAACAAGGAGGCAGGAACAGAGTAGCACATGGCCAACACAAACAAAGACAGAGCCATATGTTCAAGCACAACACAAACAGAAACATGAAACAAAGAACACAGACAAGGCTGTCAGGGCAGAACCCTGACCGTTTTCTTCTAAGACTAATGCCATTGTTGGCACAGTCCTATCATGTTAAAGTGGCTGCGCTGAGTGAATACTAAAGCCATTATACTACTCATTACAGATGAAGCTGCTCTCACAAGAGACTGACTTAGGCTACTTTCTGTAGATGCTGATGAAACAGTTGACAAATCTACAAAATATTGCATATTCACATTGAAAACAGAATGACAGAAAGACTGATAGTCCACATATGAGCAAAGCAAGCATATTTCCAAGGATTAGGATTCTATATAGACCCCATAAAACCTTTTTATGACAGTGTAAATGAGTGTAATCCAGTGCGGTCTGGAGCAGGCTATCCGTCATATTGTGCATGTATGAGAAAGTGTGTCAATCATTGGGTTTTGAAACACTTGTACAATCAGTCATGCCATGGTCAAAGTCAACATTATGGATACAAACTCGTACTCGTTGACTTGCTGATGACTGGCTGATAGATATAGCAGGTGCACTAATAAAATATCCACAATTTGTGCATTTTCACTTATTACTAATCTCACTAATATAGCCTTTCACTAATCACTAATAATTTTTTTTCATTGCAATTATTACTAACATTTTTGTTCAATAAAAACTAATGTTGATTGTTTTCCCCTATTAACCATATCAGTTAATCTCCAACAAACCACACATTTTATAATTTAGCATGAATTCTCACTGTGCGATCTTTTAAGTTGACGATGGCTTCTATATCTAATGCTTTTGTATGGTTTCCCCTTTTATTACAGATAACGCATTAAAAGATGCTCAGAGTAAGTGTGAGAGCTGACCAGTTATTTTTTTGCTTGCCATTCTTCTTTCTCTCCCTGCAAATCTCTTTGTAAACAAAATATTTATTTTTTTGCAGGTACCATTAACACATGTTATGGAGTCCTTGTTTTCTCTCTACTACTGAATGTCGGTCTATTCCTGTACTTTTTTTGTTTACAGAAAAATAAGTCTCCAGCTAAGCAGGTGAGGCTCTTACTTGCTCGGCATCCCTAAACCAAAATGCTGTAACCACCCTGGTTAGGGGGTTTAGCTGTTTATATATTAAACTTAATTAATTTAGCACAGCACACAGTAATCATTAACTTGAGTACTGTGTCATTTGCTTTTTCTTTTAAAGGGACAATCACTTTTAAATAAGATATTTTGAAGAATGTTGGTAACCAGTTGACAGTTGATGGTAGCTTCCATTGTATTTTTTTTCCTACTGTTTAAGTCAATGAGTGCCTTCAACTGTCTGGTTACCAACATGGTAACACTTTACTATTTTACAGCCCTGCTATAAAAGAGGATCCATAAATCATTTCAAATGAAGTACAGAGTATTTATAAATTGCACACTGAGCATTTATTGCTACCTGTTCAGGGAAAAATATCAATTTGATCAAATTTGAATGTTTAAATAAACTGGAAATCATTTATTTGCTTACATGGCAATCTTTTTTTTATTATTATTATTTTTAACTTTTTTTCCTTTAGAATGAATGTAATATTTTGTAGATTTGTCCACCACCTTACCAGTAATGAAGCCAGTATTTTTTGTCTCTTGTAAGAGCAGATTTTTCAGTGATGAGTAGCATAATGCCTTTAGTAGTGACCAATTCAATTTGTACGGAAATAAAGCATTTTCTTTCCTTTTTCTTTTTACAGACAGCTGGAGAGAATGTGCCCCTTAATTAGATCTGATTAGGTAACACCAACTTTGTAGCTTTTAGAAAAGGGTTACAATGTGCAGGATACATATCAAGTTTTTACAACCTGGACATTGTTCAGCCATGTACACATCACATTATAGAGAAGAATGTTTGATTAATCATATTTTTCTTCTTTTTCTCTCTTCTACCCTCCAGTAAATGGACATTTTACCGCTTCAGTAAGATGGACTTTTTTTAAGCTGCTCTCTTCTATTATTATTTTTTAACAATAGAGGTTATACATCTAATCTATTTTTCTGTCAACAGTGTTTGAGAACAGTTAATCCATGCTATTCACCTGCCTTGTTCCAGTTGACTGTTTGGAACTGTTTTTTTTTTTTTTTTTTTTTTTTTCAGACAGTTTCTGTGGTCATCTTGCTACCACATATGCATAGCACAGTGCTGTCTTTGAATTTGTGACTAATCATCCAAAGTACAGCTTAATATTCTCAAACATGTCCACACAACCTGTGTGTTTCCATTTCTAAATGTGATTGTCTTGAATTTACCTCCATAACTGTTATCCTTAATCTGTCAAGCAACTTAACTGGTTTTTGAAGTTGTCATTTGTAAGTCGCTTGAAATAACTGTGTCTGTTAAATGATTAAATGTAAATGACTCTGTGTGCACTGTGATGATCCTGTCATTATGATATGCTTTAAAAAAAATCTGTGTGCCAGAGAGTTTCTTTAGGAAGGAGCGCGGGCCAGGAACAGTATTTACAGATACTGCTACAATAAATCTAATCCTGTTTTTTTTCAGCAGTTATTTTATTTTATTGTTTATATTGTTTATATTTTTGGCATATTTGTGTGTTTCAGGGTACAATGCATCATTTATATGTTCTGGGTATCTCAGAATGTTTAATTTTATTTTATTGATCTTTTACTGATGCTTCTGTGTACGTAAAAGTGTCTCTGGCAATTGTTTGCTGCAAAATGCTCACAATAAAACAAGAAATATGATGTGTATCTTGAACCTCATTTAATTTCACTTAAAAGTTCTCATTAAAAATGTTACTGACATTTTCATTTTCCTTGTCTTCATACCAAGATGGAGTTATGTGTTTGTTGCTTAGGCTACTCCATATTCTCATGTAAAATCGCTAGTGGGTTCACAAAGAAAGAACAAACTGACCATATAGAAATTATGCTTTGTCCATTAAAACACAAAACACCAAACACACATTTTTCGGTTAAAATTGAGTTTTTGTTTGTTTTGTATTTCTTGATTTTATTTAATAAAATCTTATTTAAGAAAAATTATTTAATTTTATTTGATTTTAAAACTTATTTAATTTTATTTAATAAAATCATGCCTCATTTAATTAATGAAATACCGCCTTATGTCATTTTCTTTCTCTTTTAAAGGAAGAACTCAATAGTTAACTTATAGATATTTAGAATGTTTGTGACAGTTGATTACTTCCATATTTTTTTCCCTTATGGTCGTGGTTGCCATCAACGGTCTGGTTACCAACTTTCTTTGTAAAATATCTTATTTTGTGTTCAAAATAACAAAGAAACTCATACAGATTTGGAACAACATGAGGGCGAGTAAATGATGACAGCATTTTAATTTTTTAGCGTGAACTATCCCTTTAAGGAGGAAAGCCATGGGTACTTTTATTTTGACACACCGTCATGTAGCTAACCCCTATGCTAAACTTACTGATATGAATATATAACGTTCCCTCTTATTGCCTGTCTGAGTATCTCAGTGAGTATATCATGCTGTAAACGTGCTTTCTGTATGTTTTTATATCTGCTTGTTCTCCAACCGTAAGCGCGCATGGGTAACGCGATCTTTTTAGTTTTTCTTCATAAGTTAGCTGTTTAGCACTGCTGCAATAACTCACTCTCCTTAACACCTTGATTTAATAACCGTTCCGATTACATTTGTGCTTTATGTACTAATTTGTCCTGCATGGACGCCCCTGTGTGTAGGCATGGAAACGGACGCGTCTCTCATGGGTGTTGAACTAGAGCAGAAACAGCAAGAAGAGCTGTATCAACAACTTTTGCTTCAGGTAAGTTAACCGCTTTGACACAACTAAGCTCAACAAATACACGAGTGCTCTGCGGTGTTTCGAATCAGATCTCAAATTATAAACATTTTCAAGTCACAGTAAACGAGCACTATTACCAATGCTTTTCATTAGTAGGTGCAACAAACATGCACATAGGTCACTCGAAAATGAAAATGCTGTAATCATTTACTGATCATGTATTACTGACTTCTTCTGCAAAACACAACACAAAAAAACCTGCAGGCACACCTGCTTTTTTATTTAAAGGGGTTGTTGATTATGATTTCACTTTTCTAACTTTAGTTAGTGTGTAATGTTGCTGTTGGAGCATAAACAACATCTGAAAAGTTACAAAGCTCGAAGTTCAAAGCAAAGGAAGATATTTGCTTTTAAAGAAATCGTTTTTTTAAGGACTACAACAAACGGCCAGTAGGAATTACATGACATTACTCCTGGGTTAGTGACATCACAATCCCTAAAATGTACATAAACCCCGCCCCCGGCTACACGATTTATAGATTATCAAGACAGATTGTGCTAATCAATGACTAGATTAGAAGATAACTACACATAAGCTACATAAAGTCATCAACTAACCATTCAGAAATGTTGTCACTTCTTGAGTCTCTCCATCTTTCTGACTCTAGTTTGAACATAAAAGGCTAGAAGTTTTTGAAAATTTCAGTGTGTGTGTGTGTGTGTGAGGTAATAGGAGCTGATAACACACAGCTCTTAAAGCGCTGCCACCTGTGCTAGGAGCAACAGCTCATTTGCATTTAAAGGGACAGACAAAAAAACTTCATTTTATGTAAAAATATCTGTGGGTATTTTCAGCTAAAACTTCACATACACACTCTGGGGACATCAGAGACTTATTTTACATCTTGTGAAAAGGGCACTGTACCATCCCCTTTAAATCTATGTTTGTAAATTCCATTACTTTACCTTCAGTTATTATTGAGTATTTATTTTATTTTTATCATTACCCCCTTATAAATGCATCATAAATAAAATAGAAAGGTTACTAACATATTGAGCTACAGCTAATGCGCTGGTGCTTACAAAATCAGATAATAGGTTTGGTTCCCAGGAATATACAGTATATATATATATATATATATGATAAAATATGCAGCTTGAATGCAATGTAAGTCCCTTTGGATAAAGGAAACTAAATTGGGGAACTAATCTAAGACAAAAAAAAATGTTATTTTCCAACATCACAGAGCATGGGGAAAATGCAAAACGACACTCCCCCTTCCAAAGTCATCCGTCCACAGCCAGGTTAGTCTGATATTTCAAAACATCTTCTCAGGACTTTTATATCAGTAACCCATCCAAATTCATCACACTTTTCTCTCTATGCCAGGCATGTGTGTGAAGACCTCCTCAGTGTCAGAAAAACAGAAGGTCTTTCTGAATATCTGTCAGTCACAGGCGGTACCGCCCCCTCCTCCTCTGTCCCAGGAAGCACTCGTGAAACTACTGGAGTCAGAGGACCCGACGAGTTACAGAGTGCCCATGAGTCTCGGCGAGCCACACACGGAAGTGGACAACAGTAAGAGGCACATTCACATTTTCAAATTTACCATTCTCCTTTAATTATTGTTTTCCCTTATCCAATCGAAACATCTATTGTTTCAATACAAGGTCATTTGTTGTCTGATCTGATTGACATAAAAAGCATCATTAACTGTGAATGGCAAAACAACCACCCTTATTTGTGATAACCCTTTCCTTCCTTCCTTTAATGATAAAGCATTTGATTTGAATTCAGAATATTTTTGTTTGCCAGGTTCACAAGGCTGTTCTGTGTATGATGTTGTGATCAATGATGAGTTCTTCCAGAAATGCCAGGTATGTGTCTTGTATGTACACATATTGAAAGTACCCCAGGAATATTGCAACTGCTATCCTGCCGCCAGATCAGGTCTCCCTCTTCACAATTGTCATCACCGTATGCTTGTATCCAACAGAAAGATACCCTATTCCAGCAGTTTCTTATTGCAGTTTCTTTGGAGGGACTGGAAAACAAATACAACCTTGAGTTAAGCAGAGGTCATCTTAAATAAAGAACATCTGATATTCAGTTCTCTACATGTTTCTATTTCAGAACATGTCTTTCCCATGCCATGTCCACTGATCCTATCTTTGTTTTTGTTTTTTAAGATATTAAGATTTTGAAGAACAGGAAGTTCATGGGCTCTGTAGCAGAACAAAGCATTCGTACCAAGAGCAAGCCAATTATCCAGGAAGTTACCTCAAAGTGAGTTCTTTATCTCTTTTGTGGATTGAGAGTGGCGCTGAATGAAGCAGGTTGTGAGAAGGACTGGGAGATCAACTCTAATAATACAATTAATATTCATTACTAGGCATACTCTTTAAATTCCCTAAAAAAAATATTGGAATCTACTGAGCTCCGCATATATGACATGGGGGAAAAAAATATGTATATTGTGACCAAGAATTAACAATTCATTCCCACTGTTAGATTGTGGCAAATTGCTTCACAACATTGTCCTGTGATGTTAAAAAAATTGAAGTGGAGACATTCTCTTATCTCCTACTGAAAACAAACATCCATTCAAACCACAAAAGGTAACACTTTATAATAACTTTCATTAATAGGTAATTAACAAACATCACATTGCTCAACAGTTCTTTAGTTAAAGGGGTAGTTCACCCAAAAATGAAAATTAAGTCATTAATTACTCACCCCATTGCTGTACCAACCCCGTAAGACCTTCGTTCATCTTTTGGAACACAAATGAAGATATTTTTGATTAAATTTGAGAGGTGGATCACTGCTACATAGGCTCCTAAGGGACTGAAACTTGATGGCCCAGAAAGTCATTGAAGAAAATGTTTAAATATTCCATGTGACTACAGTGGCTCAGGTATAAGTTTATCAAGCGACGCGAATACTTTTTGTGCGAAAAAACAAACAAAAATAACGACTTTATTACTTTAACAGCAAATTAATCATTTTTATTATTATTTACAGCAACCATGTGATTTAATACTCACACAGAAACAATCAGAAAACTGTGCAATTTCTCATTTATTTATTTACGTGTATTCATTTATTAGATTCAAAAGCAAATGTATCTCAGTGGATAGTTGCTCATACTTGACATCAACAAGGTGTGCCTAAAAAAGGAGAGCCAATCTGAAAAACAGTATGAATGCATATGTGATATATTTCGAATCTACCTTTTGGCTAAATATAATGATATCAAAAATGTCTGCACATTGCCAGGCCCTTGCTTAGTTGTATGATAAATATTGGTTTTGCTTTCAGTTACCAATAAGAGTTTAATGGTCACTGTTTAACACATTTTACCATTATGAAATTGATTCCGCAGATTACTGCAAATTTTGATTCAAAATCAGTGCTGCTAAATAACAAAGTCTGCAGATTCTGTCTGTACCTGCCTGGTCCTAAGTTATCAGTGACGCTTTGCCTGTCTGTCCCAACTGATCCTATCAGATCCTATCAGGAATTGCTCTAATCACTTTGTTCTTTGTGGACAGGGAACCTCACTCCTTGCCTTCATCAACCAAACGGTACGTATATTTGGAGTTATCTATTTGTAAATAGTTTGGTTTGACCCTTTCAAATGTGTTTTGAAACCAGAGACCAGTATATTTTTTTATGCTCCAGTTGTTATGTTCAGTGTGATGTATCTTTATTGTGAGGCAGAGCTTCACCTGAAACTTACGAATGTTTGCCTTTATTGTGTTTCATGAATTCCAGTCCAGAATTCAGTTTATTAGTGGAGCCCTCAATTGGAAATGCGGAGTATCTGATCGCTGAGATCTTGCTTCCTGGAGTGGTGAGTAATGGTTGCCTGGACTACATTCAATCATTGTTAACAAAAAGTAAGAGACTACTTTAGGCTTTACTGTGTCTTCATAGATATCTGCTCGCTCTCTTGTTTTGGATTTGGGAGAAGACAGACTAGTGCTGATTGCTCGACCTGCCCTTTTCCACTT